ATATTTCTCTGTGCCAATGTATATATTTTGGAGGCCTATGAGGTTTGTGTATCTGAAACTTTCATCAAAGTGAATCATCCACTCAAAAAACCATCAATTTACTGCTTGAGTAAATAAACCCAATCATCTGAGCATTTTAAATTAGTTCATATGTTCATAATGGCATCCTTTTACTCAAAAAAGATTTGTCATTTACAAATTTTGGAAATTATTGTATAAAATGTTCTATTATTAAGTTTACAAATCGAAATTGACAGATCAGAGGGTTACCCTCTGTTTAGGCCAATTTTAGTATTATATCTCGAGTTCTGATAAGCCGATTTCAGTCATCAAGAACTTATTAACTTGTAATGGAACGCCCCCTCAACTTTTGTATTGTATTTTTAAATGTATCAAGTAGTATTGTACACCCAAAAAAATCGATATGAAACGTAGGTCAATTTTACCTTATTTAAGATCAATTTTAATTTGATATGACGCCAGGTGAATTTGACCTGGTCGAAAAGGGTATAGATCTGGGTTTAGCATGATCTGAAATTTACATGGCCATATCGATTTTACGGTGACATGCTTTTTTTTTGAGTGTATGTATTCCTCTCATTCAGATCCCAAAATTTGTGGAGTGGTAACCGCCAACATAGGCGAGTCCACGGATGACAGTAGCACGCCGAAACTGGCGCCCGATAAGCCCGCACTGCCCGAAAAGTGCGTCTCCCCGGAACCAAGTAGAATCCGGGAGCACGGCGACCATCTGGACGCCTCGGTGAACACCAAGCAGCGGAGATCGCGGACCAACTTCACCCTGGACCAGCTGAACGAGCTGGAGCGACTCTTCGAGGAGACGCACTATCCCGATGCCTTCATGCGCGAGGAGCTGAGTCAGAGATTGGGCCTCAGCGAGGCCAGAGTGCAGGTAATTACGGCCCATAAATTTACTTGACAATGAAAAGGTCCGAAGGTCCTGCGAGCACAGGGCACAAATTGATTTTCAATGGATATTCATTACACTTGTACTTGTACTAATGACAAACAGGACATATATACATTGTCTCCCCAATTTCCAAGTTCCGGGCAAAGGCGAAAGCATTGACTTTGATTTTTCAACCACCGACGCTGGAAAAATATGGGGTGTTAAGTGGTTTACGCCACCCTTTGCCGTCTGGGATGCGAGTAGAAAATTGCTTAAGCATCAGGGGGCCGGTTAGAGATTAAATGCTCAATCAGGGTGCCGGCAATAGACACTATGTGGTCATGAAATATGTAGATACGACTTCGAGTGCCAGCAGGAGTGTCACTTTTTTTATGGCCCGTAATAAATTGTTTCGCTTTTCGGAACTTTGAGCTCGCCAAACTCGCCAAGAAGCATGCATCTGCTGTAATTAATGGCAAATAAACAGTGATAATTTAATGTTCTAGTATTACAAGAACTAATGATCAAATATTAAAGCTAAAGCATCCATGTATCAATATACTTTCAGGTTTGGTTTCAAAATAGAAGGGCGAAATGTAGAAAGCACGAAAACCAAATGCACAAAGGTGAGCAAAAAAATATCATAACTTTTTATTGGCAAATAAAATCCATTAGAATCCAAGAAAAGCTAGTCTTTAATTTAATTTTCGTACATTAGTTTCGTTTTTAAGCAGTGCTTATCACCATCAACCGCTCTCTAGCCAAGTTCTCCCCAATTAAGCTTAATTAAAGTGTAAATCGCAATTAGTTAAGTACACAAAAATCAGGCAAGACCATTTACATTTCGGAATACTGTTCATTTTCTGGCTTATCAACTCGCCGAGCCAATATGTTACGGTTTCACAGTTATTTAAATGTCTCTTCATTAATTCATTTGGCCCGGCTTTCAACCCTCGTTTCCAGGGACTTATCCTGTACTATCCCAGCGTATCCCATCCCATTCATCAGCTCCCCGGCTCACTCAATAGAATTTGTATTCTCCGCTTTTATTGCCCGAATATTTAATTTGATGAAGTTAGCAATGATTTGTGTTGCTGTCGCTAAAAAACGTTTTTATTTTATGTACAATTGCCGAAGGGATTTGGCCTGTTTCGCTGGTAAAATCTGAGCAGATGGGATTGTGACAATTGATTATAATGCGAAAGGCAAACAAAACGGAACAAATAGCGAGGTGTACGAAAAACGCGAGAATATTCTAGATTTAGTGAAACGCAAATCAATCCATTTAAGTTGAGCTCCTTAGTTGCGAAAGTGAGCTGCTCACATAAAAATAAATCTCCACATTTGCTATTAAAAAGCTTCGCCTAATTGGATTAAAAGATATAATCTCATTTATCAAATTCCCGCCTAATGCTGCCGTATTTCAATACTGGACCTCGGAGCATAAAAAAGTTTCGGAAATGTAATCAAATTGAAATTTGGCATAAAAAGCACGGCAGACACAACGAATGGGCAGCACTTTATGGGTTCATATCAATTCTCAGGCTTTTTGCGCCGGTGAACCACCATAAACAAGACGTTAACCTGGCCTTCGGTCCCCGGAGAGCCATTTGTATGTGCTCCAGCTCCATCTCCATCTACATCTCTATCTCATTCTCCTTTTCCAGTGCCAGGAGTAACACGTCCCTGTGGTTGAATGACGCAGCCTCCGGGTTTCGGGGCGTTTTCCGAGCAATAAATTACAAAATGAATTCAATTACTTGTCACTGAATCTTAAAACGATTTGCCAATCTACAAAGTACGGGTATTTTCATGGCTGAGCAGACTTAAAATTCACATTTATAACGGGTGCAACGTTATGTAATGTGTGGAAAAAAATAGTTATTATTTAGATAGTTTTTACGCAAGTAAATATTTATTTAAAAACTTTTCTAAAAGCATAATTAGGTATTTATAAAATCTTGAAAAAGGCTCTATAGTTGAAAACGTTAAATACAGTACTATCATGTAACCGGTTTTTCTATGTTATAATTTGTAAGCTAGTTTAATTGACTCTCATATAATACCTACACACATTGATTGTAATTTGAAATATTCTTAATTTCATAATTTTTTTATTTATTTAAAAACTGTTCTAAAAGCATAATTAGGTATTTATAAAATTTTGAAAAAGTTTCTATAGTTGGAAACTTTAAATACAGTAGTATCATGCAACCGTTATTTTGTTTGTTATAATTTGTAAGCTAGTTTAACTTACTCTTATGTAATACCTACACACATTGCAATTTAAAATTTTCATAACTTCATATTTATAAATCCCAAAGACCCCAAAAAAGTTCACCACGCGATATTTAATAAACGTACATTTTCAAGGATTTTTGGTGGGCAGTCGTAGTCCTCCGATTGCAACTCCGCTGGAACCCTGCCGCGTGGCACCCTACGTCAGTTTGGCCGCCCTTCGAAGCTCATCCGTTCCATCCCATCCTGCAACTGCGACAAGCTCGAATCCGAATCCCCAAGCACCTAGTGCCACGGGTTCCGGAAAAGTGGTCAATGTCGATTCGCCACACACCCCGGCGATATCGCGTTCGGCCATCAAACAGTTTTCCAGCACCGTTGCAGCAGCCGCCGCCTTTTCTGCATTCGATCCAGCGATTATTTCGGTCGCAGCTCATCAGGTAAAATTCTAGTTAATTTACACTAAAATATTTAGAAGATTAGAAGTATTCTGTCGACAGAAATTGTGTAAAGCAGGGAAGGATTAGAACAAACTTTAGGGAACAGTTTCAAAATTAAAATATTTAACAGAAAGTAGTTAATTTTTATTTTATCTTTCCAAAAAATTTAAAGAATTGTTCAAAAAAAAGTATTATTAGTGGGATTTTAAGAACAATTATATTGCACTTTTTCATTTCAAGGGGTGGGCGATAGGAATATTAGGGTGTGTCGATTTGGGACCCCAAAAATCGTATAGGGGGAACGTAATCCTTAAAGAATTCTAAGCCATATTGGCGAACATACTTATGGTCTAAAATGACGTTTGACCCCCCCCCCCACACACACACACACACACAGATATATTACTGAATATCAATTTTAAATTTTTATTTCAAATTTAGTAATACATCTGAGCTGACTACTATGATATTTTTCCCAAAAAAGCTGTATTTTTCATTCGCGTTTGGGGGTCAAACGTGATTTTAGAGAATAAGTATGTTCGCCAACATAGCTTAGAATCCTTTAAAGATTACGTTTCCCCCATACGAATCATCACTTTTTTCGGCCCCATACAAATCGACCCGCCCTAAGGAATATAGTAAAAATATATAAAATATTCTAAATCTAAAACATATATTTTTTTTCTTCTGACAATTTCAGTATGCTGCTGCTATAACCAACGGAAGCGTGCCGGCTGGACTTTTTTCTGTGCCACAATATTCAATAAATCTGGCTGCTTTCGCCGCCGCTCACAGCAAGAGTTCTTCAATAGCAGACCTTAGAATGAAGGCCAAAAAACACTCGGAATCGTTGGGTCTTCAAGCAGATATTGTTCTATAGTAGACAGCTTCAAATAGAATATAAAAATGTACATTCAAATGATGGTATGGTAATGTTCCGTCTATCATGGTAATAAAAAGGATAGCCACATTTATTTATTTAATAAAAGTTTTACTTAATAAATCTAACGAATAAGATTGATTTAAAAATTATCGACAAATAAAAGAACTGTTTTTTGAAAATGATTTGGGACTCATGTTATAATTGTTAAAATTACTTTCTTTCTGAATAATTTCAGAATGTGTTGAGCATGCATATTTAATAAGAAGTGCAACATAAATTAAATGGATTAGGTATAATCAAATAAAAACACCTCTTAACGAGGGGAAAAACTAGTGACGATGGCACTTTCAACATAGAAAAGTTTTGATATTAACATTTTATACACATTCTAAAACTTTCCCATTATCTTTCGATTGGACGATCACAGCAGAACTTCCTATAATATAGGTTAATTAATTCGAACCAATATTTTTCCTCCCCCAATTGAAACGAATTGATTTAATGTTAAAATTAAATTTCAGGCTTTTGTATTAAATATGGAATCATTATTGCGTAATAATAGAGAATTCACTTAAAATACCCGATACAGCAGTTGCTAGTGGAATTAAACATGCGTCTACATAATTAAAAACTCTTATTTTCTCCGACCGCCGAGCTTTTCCAAAACGAACTCTTTCAAAGGCTGATAGTACTGATAGCGCAAACAGAGCATTTCGGGGGAATTGCGCAATTGCTCAAAGGCCTCCGACTCGGATTCCATAATAAACACAGCCGTTCCGGCCATCGCAAAAGCCACAAAGATGACGGACGGCACAAAGGCGTGTAGTAGGTGGAATTTGCGAAACTTCTTCACTTTACGATTCGGATCAGTCGAATGCAGAAAGTTGTCGGCAGGCGAACTGGAGTTCAAGGCATCGGACTGTCCGTAGTACAGATTGGGGGAGTAGGATCCGTGTTGCTTCGAGTCGTTGTGCTTCCTCGGATGGTCGTAGCCATTCACAGTCAGGCCGCTCTCAGTGGAAGAATGTTCGACGGAATCCCGGTATGTGTAGCCCCCGATCTGGGTCGCCAAGTAGTTGACGCCCTCGATGTTCGACGACCTCAGCCGAGCCTCCTCGCACACGGGCTCCAGGCTGGAGATCTGGATACCCCCATTGACCTCACTCATTCCGTGGTCCTGCCCGTAGAAGTGGCCATTTGGCATCCCATAGCCCAGGGGCTCCGACATCGTTGATCTCGGTAAACTGCTGTATCCTAAAATAGTAATACAAATGCATTAGTGATCTGCAGGAAAAGTAACTTCACAGTTTATACCAGTACAAGTAAGTAAACGCTTAAATGATAAACTTTTAAGAGCGCGAATTCTTTAGGAGGAATTCATTTACTTACGTATTTGTGCTAAATCGCCTTGTGGGCTGGAGGGCGTGGCTGGCACACTGCTCGCCTTTCGCTTGCTTGAGTTTGAGTTATTTATTTTTTGTTCCCGCAATGCATTTATATTTTCAGTCAAAATTTCGCGCTCAGTTCTTCCAGTGTATCGGAATTTTGTACCCCAGGAGAAAAATCCTCCGCCTGAAATCACAGCAGCACTTTGGCTATTGGGCAATCTGAAGAATAAATACATTCAGTTAAATAAAATTATTACGATTAGATAAGGCTCATTCCACCTGAAACGTGACAGGCCAATTTGGGTCAAATCTCAGAATCAATCGAAACTTTTTTTTTCGATAGAGGATTGAAATATAAGGATCGGTTTTTATTTTTTTTTTTTAACTCTTACCGTTTATTTTTTAAAAATATTTTTGTAAATTATCTCCGGTTTTTCAGTTATGCATCACTTAAGACTCGTTTGAGTTATTTCAATATTTTGTATGCAACTTTGTGGGATATGTTCATGTCTTTCAGAAAAATAATTTTAAAAATTTTTAATTTTAAAATTAAGTATTTTTTAAGAGAATTTAAATTTTAAAAAATTCTGTACGCCGGAATACACGCGGTTTTCGAATAAAAAAATTATCCTCATATTGCTTCATCAATTTTTTACGAAGTGGTAAAATAAAATTTTTGTATTTGCAAGACCTACTAGTAAAGACAACGATTTTAGTTTAGCAACCTTGCATCATGCAACAACAGCGCAACGTGTAAGAAAGGGAAAGCACTATTGCTGCTCTCCCGTGTTCGTATTGCTGTTCTCTTCTTACACGTTGCGCTGTTGTTGCATGATGCAAAGTTGCTAAACTAAAATCGTTGTCTTTACTAGTAGGTCTTGCAAATAAAAAAATTGTATTTTACCACTTCGTAAAGAATTGATGAAGCAATATGAGGATTATTTTTTTATTCGGAAACCGCGTGTATTCTGGCGTACAGAATTTTTTAAAATTTAAATTCTCTTAAAAAATACTTAATTTTAAAATTAAAAATTTTTTTAATTATTTTTCTGAAAGACATGAACATATCCCACAAAGTTGCATACAAAATATTGAAATAACTCAAACGAGTCTTAAGTGATGCATAACTGAAAAATCGGAGATAATTTACAAAAATATTTTTAAAAAATAAACGGTAAGAGTTAAAAAAAAAAAAATAAAAACCGATCCTTATATTTCAATCCTCTATCGAAAAAAAAAGTTTCGATTGATTCTGAGATTTGACCAAAATTGGCCTGTCACGTTTCACGTGGAATGAGCCATAAATAACTTCTTACGTAAAGAACAGCATTTGTTCGATGGCACATCTCCACAAATATCGACAAGCGGCGCCGGTAGGACACTTGAAGCCCACTGTGTGTTTTTTCTAGAAATGATTAAAAAAAATAATAATTTTGAATCATTTAAAAATATTTTTAAGACCAAAACCTACCGGCTCACGGCTTGCGTCGGTATAACTAAGATGCGCTATAAACATTTTGCCTTCAAAATTGATTTTATGTATTTCGTTCCAGCGAAAGTGTTGAGATCGTTTGCCGGTAACGAACGTGCTAATACCCGAGTTATTTATTCCAATATACTGCTGCGATCCGCGGTGATCCTTCACTGGATGCGGATCAATGCCGTAGGTTTCCAAGCCGCGTGCTATGCCCAGGAACTCGTCCATTGCCAAGGAGAGATCCTGTCCAGGCTCCCGCTTTTTATGCAGCTCTATTATCTTCTTTTCCAGATACTCCGTCTGCCGTAGGGCTAATTCTATGGAAGATACATAACCTCCTATATGGACATCTTCGTTATAGTCGCCAAGCTCTTCTGCAAAGACAATGGGTATTAAAAACAGTTCAAAGATACCTGAGATCCTAAGTTTCACCTTGAACAATTAGAGCACCCAATGCTGCCGCTTCGCCCAAGGAGCAATACAAACGACCATGTCGAAGGTCCCTTTTTAATTGCTGGTATAGCATAATCCGTGCATTTCCAGTCAGTCGAAATGGATCCGCTGGGTAGAACTTCACTCGCAGCGAAAATAATAATGGATCCATTTCTGTACAAATAAAAGAATTCGCTTTAAGAAGAACACGCATTAGTTAGAAGACTACTTACCTTTACATTGCTTTATTATGGACTTGGACAGGTCGAGCCAGTGCTGTTGAAAATTGTTACAAGGAATATTTGCATATTAACTATAAATATTTGTATCCATATTGATTAAAGCTTAAACTTACCCTTTGTTTTGCGGAGTCAACATATCGCAAGCCGAAGTAATCCTTCTCTTTTATCTCCAACTCACCACACAAGTACTCCAGTAGGTAAATACCTTTATGGAACGGCTGTAAGAAAAGCAATTGAATGTTAAAATGAACTCATTTGTCAATTTTAAATCCAAATATATAAATGTATTTCAACTCAAAGCTTAAACACGGTTTGCAAAACTATAAGAAATTTATTTTAAAACATTTCTTTCGAAAACAACCCCAAAATTGCAAAAGTACAGGGGCAACCAATCCCAAATATTTCATGTTAAACACATATGACTAGAGTAAAGACTAATGTTATTAATAAATACATAATAATGTATAATATTACAATAAACTTTAAAAAATAAAATATCTTTCTTCAATATAAACTTTTTAACCCTAGTCTTAGATAGCTTTATTTTGGTGGCTCAAGGGATAACCACATACTTTTGCCGGCAAGCAGAAAGGGCGTTAGCCACCCATCTGTTTATAGCACAAGCTTATAAGATAGAAAATGAAAATAAAGTGTTCTGGCTTATAGATTTATTCAGAGCTTTGGGCCAGTAAAGCGATAATCAGATACAGAGATTACCTTTTTATTCAGCCATTATTTTTGTCGAGATAACCTGCGTTCTTTTCGTTTCTTACAGTATATTTATTTGTAGCACAATAACAGGATAGCAACGAAAATCTCATCAATGACAGATGACCACTGCTTCAGATGTCACACTCTATTCACGCAAACCCAATAATCTAGTCCAATTTACTTGAAAAAGGCAAAGTTCAAGAGCATTACAAACCTGAAATTCACATTCTAGGACGTCGGAATCGTCGAGGAGTCGCACTGTGCATTTGTACACAATATTCCCCTCATTTTTGCTCCTGAACATTTTGTTGATTGGAATGAATAAACTGTTACACTTTTATGTCTACTTTTGCTATTGCAAAAGTCACTGAATTGGGCGGATTAAGTTAGGGAGTTTATTTTAAAGCGATATTCTGACTGCTAGACATTTTATTCGTTATTTTTCCATCCAAATATTTCGGCTATGCCCGTGTCCTTTGCCGTCCTTTAGTTGTTCCCGTTAGGGGTGTTTTTCGTGTGGGGAGGCTACTAACAATATAAAAAGCACCAAATAAGGACAAATGCCTGCTCCGCGAAAGGAACCATAACATGTGTTTGTACAGATGTGACTATTGGTATATTGAGACCCTTGGGTGCTATATACCAGAATAGTCTTTCTGGCCCTATTGGCCAGAATAAATAAAATATAAGTAGAAAATTTAATGTAGGAAAAAAAAGAAATTGAAAAAGCGGTTTGGTATATATTTAAAAAACTATCGATATGTAAATTTTTTATCGATAGTAGTTATATTATTTCGATAAACAATTGTATTCAAACACCGGAAATAGGTTAATTAATCATCAAATTTATTATACACTTTGCATGTACATAAAGTTTAGATTATTTCCAAGCCAAAAAGCCTTTATGAAATAATCGTCATAGGTTGAATAATTAATTTTACCATTTACTTAAAGGCTTACTTCAATGAGCTCTACTTCCTCACACAAAACTGCATTCGACTCCTTTGCGCCTTGTACGTGTCCAATTTTAAAACATTTTTGCTCTCCGTTTGTAACTTCTTCAAATTCACGGCAAAATAGATCTGCGGCATCGGGGGTAAGGCAAATCAACAGTCCTCCAGAGGTTTCTACCGACCTTCCCGAACGAAACTTTGCGCTTTGGCCAATTAAAGTGCTGAACTTAAGTACATTTTTGATAATTGGCAGTTTGTTAATTTTGAACGAGACCTTTGCCTTTTGGAATTGGGCGAGGTTATTGGCGTGCCCCAATAAACCAAATCCTGTAATATCCGTAGCGCAATGCGCCTGGTACTTGTGCATTAAAAGTGCGGCTAAAATAAATGTTTGTTAATTTCATAAATAGGGATTAATGACTATAAAATTTACCATTTTTGTTCAAATAAGTCATAGATTTAACGGCGATATCAAAAGTTTCCCTAATGTCATCGTCGCTGAACTCAGACAGCAGGGTTTTGTACTTTTCAGTCTGGTTAAGTTGCCAAAGGTGAGCATCCATCGCCATTTGTCCTCCCAGAGGTTTTGTGAGGATTAAAACATCGCCAGGCTGCGCATTCGATGGCCTAAGGAAGTTATACTTTAAAGTTGTATCTTAATTTAATAATAATAATACTTACAGAATGATCTCATCACGTCGACACACAGATGTTGCTATGCCACCTATAATACACCAAGGATTGATCTTCAGTTGTCTTATCACAAGTGGTGTTTTATGATAGCCGTTTGCGTTTAAAGAGTTTTTAAAACCCTTTATGACTAATGAAATTACAATGTCTCGTTCTTTTTCAGTGAAACTCGTAGATGTACTGATTATCATTTCCACGGTATCAAAATCGGTCACCCCAACCGCATAAACATCACTCAGGACATTAGCAAGTGCAATACGTCCCAAGAGCTCAGGATCATTCACCATGGGATAAAAGAAGTCAACGGTTTGAACAAGTAAGTAGTCTTTGTGCCGGTGCAGAGGTATAACTGCGCAGTCCATTCCAGAGCCTGGAAAAAAGGTTTTAATGTAGAGATAATCCCACTATTAACTGATAATATTGCGTCTTACCGATAAGGTATCCATCATTGTTCTTATTTTCTATTTCTGTTCCCCTTAGGTACTTCTCAAGTACTTTTTGGGGGATTTTGCAAGATCATCCAGTGTGAGTGGTGAACTTTGTTAATTGAAAGTCGGGCTCAAGCCCATGTTTTTCTGGCTTAAACATTTTGTGCAAAAATTCTACGCACTATAACTAAAAAACAGCTGAATAATAACAAAAACTCGGCTAGCGATGGAATAAATATCGATATTTTCACGCTTGCAAAAGATAGATTTCGTTTCTAAAAATCAGCTGACCTCAGTTTATTTATTTAAAATATAGCAATAACAGTATTGCTTTGTTTATTTAAAATAAAAATTCAGATAAGAAAAGTCGAAGGAAAAAATATAATTATAAATTTAATTTTGGGAATTATCGGGTTTCAGTTTATCCAAAGTATTGAAATAAATATTTCAGGGTTTTAAAAGCTATACATGACTGTATTTAAAAGTGTATTTGATACTGAAACATAAGGTTGTATCCTAAAGTTACATATAAAATTTATGCAAGTAATTTCTTAATTTCGTCTTTTTCCGCTGCCTCAAGGTAGCTTTGGCCATCTGGAGTAGAACCGTTTTTGTTTGCTCCCTGTAATACAATTTTATTTAAGTTTATATATTTTTTGATGATTAAACTAACAAAAATATTAGAACCTTTTTTAGAAGAAATTCCACACAGCTCGTATGTCCTTCCCAAATGGCAGCAAGAATTGGAGTAATACCATGTTTGTCTTTTCTCTGCAATAGAAAATAATATTATATTTTGTTTTTATTTTATTATTATCAGAAAACCGGCAATAGTTTGAGGAACACCTGGTTCATTTTACTGTGGACTATGACTAAACAATTGTAGGTGGTGCAGACGTGTATATGTATACATATGTCGGTATGTAACCGGTAATGGATTTTAACTGCCGTAATATTAATGATTCATAGCAATACATTTTGGCAAAACTTACATCAACGTCGGCTCCTATATTAATCAAGAATTGAAGGACATTTAGCTGACCAAAATCCGCCGCATAGTGTACTGGGAAACGGCCCTTGATTTCCTCATTCACCTTTTGTGCCTGTGTACAGGTATATTTGGTTAAATAAAGATCAATTTATATAAATAAAGAAAACACACATCGTTCTGAAATGCGGCTTGCACAGCGTCGAACTCCCCGTTCTTTATGGTCCAAATAATATTTTCATTCGAAATTGCACTCATTTTTATTTTTCTTTTGGCTCGGCTTGTCAAATACTGCTAGAGATGGCAGTTGGGTATGACACTTGTCCAGATCCGATGATTTTCCTTTATATGGAGTGCACAAAAGATCCAGTTATTTGGGATTTTTTAGTGTATTAATTTAATAGTGAATTTCAAAAGTAAGCGTACGGATTAATTATAAATGTTAATTTACATTTTTGAAATATAAATCTAAAAGTCTTTTATTAGCCTTTTATCGTTTATTCGACTTTTGCTTTAATTAATTAATAACAAACGAACAATAATTTTTGTTAGACATACGCTAAACAATCACAATTACTATTGATATTGGAATTTCAATTATTATCACCATTTTTCTCATTGTATGAATATTGAGCAAACAGAAGGTTGTAGGATGGGAAGTTGCAACATTGCATGTCCGTTCGCTTCCAGTGCGATCCCTTGGAGTATTCTACTTCCAGCTCCTTCATGGTTTCGTAAGCCAACGAGCACTGTTTTACAATAAAATATTAATAATATAAGAATATTATATACAAATTTTTAACACACACCTTATTAGCAAAAATAGTTACAATAAATTTGCCCGGCTTGAAAGTATTGATAACTTGATTAATAAGTTTCCTATAGTTACTGAGCGCAACGTTTGTTTCAAAGCTCACATACGAAAACTTATTTTCCGGAGTTATGTGAATTGTCATGTATTCTCCCTGTAAATAAAATTAAATGAAAGTCTATTTTTTACCGTAAGAAGAGAATTCGATGAGTTACCTTATCATTAATTCCATTCATGGAATATCCACAGGGATCGAACAGAAAATCATCAATGTGCATACTTGGCAAAATTTTATCGATTCCAGATTTCTGAAATAAAAAACTATACTTATTGCATATTTTAGAATTATTCTTCATACCACAGTGGCCCCATGAGCATTATCGAATTTGCTTTTGGTAAATATCGACATGGTTTCCGGATCTAGATCTTGCATAAGTATTTCAATAGTTTGATCGGGTTCGGAGTCAACTTCTTTTTCATCCGTTATGAGTTGGGGAGAAACTTTGATATCAGAACGACTAAACGTGTAGAGATACCAACACTCCAGATTCATAGAGCCCAGACAATAGGATCTTCCATTCGGAAAAATGGAGTCCAGATAAGTAACTTCTTCTGTAAAGCCCTGATGAGGAGTTATCTGAAAAACGAAACTTATTACTGATAAAATACAAGTACTTTTATGAATTGTATTTACCTGTACTTCTGGTCTAGTAAAGTTCTTTCGCGAGTAAAACAAATCTGCTACTACATCAAAGCCGTTGGCCTCGGCTAGTTTTAGCAATAAGCCCAAGCACTTGAGAGGAGTTGTAGTTCCGCATGTTTTAAGAATCCATCGTCGCTTGGAAACAAACATACTACTCTCGCTAAAATCAAATAATTAATCAAACCTATTAATTTAAAAAAAATAATAATCAAGACGTTATCAGAAATAAATAAATTACCTCAGTACAAAAGCGTCGATAGCATCGTTTTTGGAAGTACTTATTATTTCACAGTTGACATTGCTCAGCACGTTTTCCCAATCAGATCTGAAACAATAACATTTACATTTGTTAGAAGTTCAAGGGCTTTTGGTTGAGAAAGTATTAGGAAGTTTCATTCAAAACTAAATTAGAGATTATGAGCCGTGCTTGATTAGAGCACATTATCAATAAGAAGGGTCAGGGCAAACTGTGAGTACCCTGTACTTTTACAAAGTATGAAACAATGTAGTGTTTCCGGTTCCGTTATTATATAATACGTATAGCATGGCAAGCTTTTTTTTTTTTTAATTTTATATTTCCGACCGAATTTAAAAAAAGAAAAAATTGTAATAAAAAGTGATTAAACATTTATTATTTAATGATCACATTGTAACAATTTATACTACCTAAAAATTCTAGATGATATAGCAATTTTATTAAGTTACAACGATTAAGCGTGTTTAACTAGATTTTAATTTAATTCCCCGAAAAATAGACAATTACTTTTTTTAAATTATACACATTAATGTTAGAATATAAAATTGCTCCTGAATAAATTTACTTTTGTCCGTGACTGTGCATGCAGTCTGCATGATTGAGAATTTGTCAAGAACTACGATTTGACACTTGTCAAAGGACTTACCTGCTAATGTTACGCAGATCATTCTCGCTATTGGAGCTTTCCTCGAACCAGATTTCAACTAGTTTCTCAACTCCCTCAAAAAAATGCTCACCGCTTTCCAACATGCTGCTCGACAAGCTCGACAATAACAGATGGATCGGGGTCTGATAACAAAACAACGCTTGGTGATGTAAAATGTACGATGGCACTATCGATGGAAAGTAGTCGTTGCACCATATCGATATTTCTCTGATCCGAGTAAATTTATAACCCGGATACACCGATTTTTAAATTAAAAAAAAAAACATTGTAAATTTTGTAATTTATTTTAACTAAAATTAAAAAATATATAGAAATTCCAAATATTTTGTTGTCTATCAACTCATACCCGAAATAGTCCAGCGCTTGACAGCTTCCAAAAAAACACAGCCAGCTTTTGATTTACATTTTACATTAACCAGTTTATTGTGATTGTTAAAAATTGTATAGAGTATTTTATTTGAAAAAATAAATGAGTAATATTTTTGTATCTTAGCCTATTATGAAGTCCTTATATTATTTAGACGATTTATGTAGATTCGAAAACAGCATTAAGTTTTTAGTTTCTTATAATTGTATATAATTTAAATATTTCCTTGAAAAGTTTGCATTGCGTGATTATTGCTTTTTGCATAGTTTTACTATTAAAATGTTTTGTGGAGATTATTATATTATCACATGATTTTCGTATAGGCAAGAGATTTAAAACATTATTTATTTTTTAGCTTTAGAAGTTGTTCAATTGCAAAGACAGCTGAAAAAATCATTGTTAAAACTGAACTTTTCATTTTAATAGAAGCAATTTGTGTTATTAAAAAATTAAAAATACTGTAAAATGGTTTTAATAAATATAAATATAATAAATTTTATTTTTAATTTAATTGCATTAAGTATTGATGTCCTTTCTTAGGGTCTATATTTAGTGTGATATTATTTAAAAGGTTTGACATACTGGTTCAATTTTTATACCTCTTTTACACTAATAAGTATTTTGGTATTAGTTTTTAAAGATACAAATGAATAAAATTTAGTTTTAAAGAATGAAAATTTTATTAATAATCTATACGTATTTTTAATCCTATACCTTTTGTTTTTTTCTTATGCGACCTCATAAATAAACAAAATGGGTGTTAAAGGTTTGTTTTCGAAAAGTGAGTAGGGGAATATATTTGGCGTTTTATGTTAACTTTGCATTATTTTCACTGGAAACAAGGTTAAGCGGTGCGGATAGATCCGCACTTTCACAGGTATCATTAAACGCCGGCAAAGAATTTGACTTCTTCCGCCTTAATAAAATATCTTTAAGTGCTGCTGCGGTTTCGGACTCATCGATTTCCTTTTTGTATTTCTAAAATTAAAACAAGTACATCGTTAGTAATAGTAAACTCTATAAATTATGTGATGGTCGGATTACCGACTTCACAATGCTGCATTCAAAAGAAATAAAATCTAAGACACGATAATCTAGTATACAAATAAAGATAATTCTTATACTTACATTTAAAACCAGACCAGAAATATCAAGGGGTTCCCTAGACGTCAAGAATTCTGGTTTCGTTGGTTCCATTGAAGAACATGATGACATTTGCTTGTGTTCTGCAAGGGGAATATAAAGACGTAAGTAATTTCCAAATGATAAATAAGAGTATAATATCTCTTAGCTCTATCAAGCTAAGTTGCTGCTGTTGGATACATGATTTCAGATCATCATACAAATAAAAGCATCGTTAATATTGGGCAAGATAAATTGGGAGTATGAATATACCCTTGTTGAAAATAACGTTTCTTAAAAACTTTGGAGCTTTAAAAATGTTATAATTCTTAATTATTAAAAATGTAAATCTTTAAAGGTAGATGTATAGATACTACCACACAACTTTAGGTGGCACACTTTTAGTTTCTGTCAATTGAATTCCACATACTGTATGCATAAACCATTTCATAAGGATTATATTTAACATTACTGCAGCTTTTGATATTTAAATGTATCTCAATTCATTAAATTTGGTAGGAGGAGGAAGGGATAATTAAGGCCAAAATTACAATTTAAAATGTAAATAACTAAAGCACTCACTCTTTTTAGATCGCTCCAATTCTTTAGGACGCCTGCGTCTGGTGTGTATGGTGTCGCGTCTCATCGAGTGTGGCCTGTTGACCCCATGCAGCTTGAAGTACAATCCGCAGGCGTTGCAAACCATTTCTCCTCGAACACTTCGCCTCCAAATTGTTGTGGTGAGGGTGCCACAATTCGAACATGACATATCTTTTTGAGCACCAGGTATGGCATTAAAAAGGTTAATGTTCTACAAACCGGAATTAAATAACAATTAATTCGTGTAGAAATAATGTAAGCTGCAAAACGTACCCTTTTATCTTTCTTCTCCTCTGGAGCTGCTTCTGAAGTGGTATAAGTATCAGTCACATTCTCGTTAACTACATCGATGCAATCAGTTTTGGTAGGAAAACTTTGTTTTCTTCTACATGGTTTTGATTTGCTGGATTGAGCCTCTGATAGATCCTATAAATACAAAATACAATTTATTGATTTTCTTAGAATTTTTTTCTACAGATCCGTCCTTACCTTTAATAGTGCTATGGGTTCTTCAGGTACTTTTGTAAATGATACTGTCGACGGAACCGGAAACACGAAAGACTGGGCGCTCATCATGTTACGAATTATTTGTGTGGCCTGATTTTCCTCTTTGCTTTTAGCTAAAGAACAAGGGGGAAAATAAAGATCAATATACTGCTGTTGAACAGATTATAAGCTTAGTACTTACCGGCTGATCGGGCCAGTGCCTGCCACAGTTGAGTAGTTGCCGCATCCGTTGCGTGATCCGAGCTTAGGCTATCCGGGGTCTTTCTATCGTTAATTGAGGACGTGATGTCCATCTCCAGTTTGTGAGAGTCGGAGCTGTCGCCAGAGTCTAGTAGGGATCCGGTACTCGCCTTCGGTGCCTTTGATTTGTAGTCGGACCCACCAACTTGGTTAATGGTAATACTGTAGTTTTGAAAGTCCTCTTCACTTCTTAAGTGTGACTGAATATCAAGCATTGGAGTTTGGCAAAAGTGGTGTATTGGGGCCGAGTTCCGTTGATGAGAGTAATCGTTCTTTTGTTTTTTGACGGATAAGTCAATTTCAACTCCGTCCTGAATTTCATTTTGGTTTAATGGACGTTTTGATTTTATCACAGAACTTTTAATACTTGTATCTACAGCTGCAGAGAAACACGGAGATTGGGGATTCGAGCATGGAGGGGAAATTACAATTTTCTTGCTTATATCCATTAGAACGGCAGCCGTTTCTAGCTGCTGCTGCAGATTTGCAAATTTCTCGCTTTCCGAGTCCTTTTGCAGTTTTGAGTCAAACTGGCTGTGTGAGGATCCAGACATTATTTTCGTTTTTTGTTCGCCTTTGTTAATAATTGATTTGAATAAACTTGGATAAAAGCTATGTTCTGGCATTTCTTGATTGCTAATCTCGATTTTCCTATCCAAACCAGGCTGGATGGCGGAATCTATTTTACTCTGGTCGTACTTAACTTTAGAAAACGTGCTTAGCTCCGTCAGAGCCTTTGCCGCTATAGCCTCCGATGAAGCCTTTAAAATAGCATCAAGCTTAATTTCCAAATCATTTGCGTCCTGGAAAAGAATAAAACGTTTTAGTATTAATTCTTTACTTATTTGTTTTGGGATCAAACAGTTCTCTTACGAAACCTATTTGGTTTTTACCAAGTTAGAAGAGATTTCTGAGTCAATACTTACTAGATTAAGATTTTTTGATATATTTAAAAATTCTTTCAAAGCTATTTGTGAGTTGTGCGCCATGGTACGAAATTTTTCAAATGAATCCAATTTTTGTCTGCACTCGCCACAAATCACGTTTGGTAATCCATCGTTAGGCAGTGCCTGAAAGAGATAGAAATTTATTTTTTAAAAATATAGTATTCACACAAAATATCGAGTTTATTGGAATGAGAATGATGCAATGAATAAAGAGAATGGCGGTAATAAAATCAATCGATAAGCTTGATGACTGTTTGTTCAGCGGTTCAACTAGCTGCTTAAATTTCACCACATTGCCTATAATAACAGATTTTGATTAAGATTTGATAGTATTACAGTATTCTTACCCATAATATTTTTTTGATAAGAGATTTACTTATTTTTAGTACATTTTTCTCATGTGTTATGTGTAAAAATGTGTATTTTACTAGTTACAAACAATTTGCATAATTATTAAAATTATCTGAATATTATTACTTTTTTATAAATAACGAAGTAATAGCGATTTAACTAAAAGAATTTATTGGGGCTTCTAAATATAGACTCATTCAAAGAGATAAAATAAATACATTTCTAAATCGAACAAAAATATAAACAAATGATAAATACAATAATTTAGCTCAAAGTGTCCCATACATATATGTATGTATTTAGGCCATATAAGGTGAACATACGTCCGTATATCGGTACTAAAACAATCCAATTGCAGTGAAACGAATGTTATCTCTGGCGTGGATTAATGTAGGTCTCTAACGCGTTCATACATATGTACGTACATTGTACATGCACATGTACATATCATTTATTTACATTCGTGTGCTGGCCACTGATGTACGATTAGAGTGGTGTGCGTGGGGCATTGCCTCGAAATGGTTCATCGAAAAAATACCAAACAATTGATACCGATTGTTAATAGGCCATGGGATAAAAGCGGCCCAATCATTTCCTATTATTTTGACGTGTGGTGTCGTAATCACATAGATAACGCACACAGCCACACGGCGAGCACTCGCAAAGGTGCGATGGTGTGCGGGCATAACCGTGTACATATACGCGATATATCCACCACACACACCGTATATCCACGCCAGTGTGTGTGCGTAATTAATGTAAATTCGTTTCTTTGCAAATGTGTTGGATGGAAATCTGCTTACCTTAATAGAGAGACAGTTGAATATCTGAAATGTAAGATGTGGTGATGAATCATCTCTGCCGTGCTCTTTGCCGTAGTTATCGGTTCCGCTTGTTTTTGTTATATCCACATTCACACATGTCTCCTCGCGCTGATTATGATTATGCTCATGCTCCTCTCGCGGGAGTTCCGATTTGGATTGGGAATGGGATTGGGACTGGACCTCCCCGCGTGCTATATGTTGTTGTTGTTGTGGTTGTTCGTGGGTCGACGATGACGACGATGACTGACTTTTGAATACTGATCTTTCGGCGATGTCCGACTCCAATTGGCGTTCGCGTTCACTCGATTTTGTGTCCGCAGCAGAAGGCACACTTGGCGTGTAATGGGTTTTAGTTTGGTGAAGGTGAAGGGTTTGGGTTTGGGTTTGCGTTTGCATTTGGGACTGCGACTTGGGTTGGAGTTGGCTTGGACCCGTTCCCGTTTCATTATTGGTCACCGCGGACACTGATAGCGAGTTATCACCGAGGCAGCTGCACTGATTGGGGCTCAAAGCACTGCAAAAGCAGTTGGCCCGCTTCTCGTCCCCACGAAAATCGGCCGTATTCCTGTCTGGGGCACTATTATGATTATGCGACGAAACATCGTACATTTGTAGTTCTGCAACATCGCACTCGTTAACCAATGTGAGGCACAATCGACAAACTTGACGAAACTTATGTGGTACATTATACATAATTAGAAATTTATATGTGTTGCACTGTGTAAAGAAACTTTCGCACGCCTCTCCGTTATCGAGACAAAAAAGATAACTTTAAAATAAATTATAAAATGAATGTAAACACTATTCCTCAATTTTTCATTGTCACAATCCACGTTCAGCTCACTAAAAATAATTCACTCCAGTGGTTCGCCACAGATTGCGTTCATTTGATCTAGTTTCCCCGTTCAAATTACCAAACGAGGGCTCCACCGCCTTTTGCATCAGCGTTTTTTTACACCACATCAGCAGCATGATTCATCTTGGTATCGCGATTAATAGTTAATTATGTTAATGTATTCAGGTGATAAAGTATCAAGGCCAGTGCAAAGAAATAAATAATAATAGTTCTTTCGAATTGTAAGACCAACGCATTTGTCAAATGAACTAGTAAGGCACACTGAAAAGTGGGTTTTTTGGTATTTTAGTTATCGATAAATGTGAGATGTTCAGCTAGAAGTAGCTAGATTATTAGTTTTATAGCTGTGCTTGATAATATTATTTGCTAAAAAATCTTATTTTTAAGTATATAGTGTTCAAACATATTGAAATTTTGAGAATTTTTTGTTTTTATATTCGGGTGATGCAATTTTAATAAACAAACAAGAAAATAAAAAGAAAGAAAACACTAAAAATGTTAGCACTGTTAAATGTAGGTTAATTTTTGAAAAACACAATTTTAATATTAATATTTTAATAATATTTAATAATACAATTTTCGTTGATCATGTCAATTTATAATCGTTTTGGAATTGAATAAAATAGAATTAAGAATAAAATGACAAATCAGCTGTGTGTAATGTGGAATGGTGGGAATGAAGTTACATATTCCCAAAATTCCAACTGTACCGCGAGCTATGCTCTGTGAACAAAGTACCAAAATGAAACGAGTGGAAGTGATGTTTTGGGCACTCTAGATGTCCACCAATTTAAATTATTTCGCGATTATCTGAGCAATCCAATTACAAGTGTTTATTGCACCTGTTTTAGTTTCAGGATTTCCCCTATACTAAACATAAATATTTATCAAGGACGTGGTGTCATTTATTCCTTAAAGAAAACAAATTTGTCCCACAGAGGTACGATTTTCCTTAATATTAAATGACTATTTGTTTTTACAAGTTGCAGAACTCTTAGTATATTTGTGTAACGATACTCAACATTTTTTCGTATGAATGTTAATGTTACTATCTAGGACCTTCGGCTACGGCGACGGGGAGGACGTTTCCAAGACTACTAGCAGACTGCTTTATTGCGATGTAGGTGGAATCCTTTTTCTTTTCCTCTCCGGCGGGTTTGCTGAAATACCACTCCTTTTTGTTGGCCAGAAACAGGAGCATCAGGGCGGGCAGGTGAATAAGTGAAAAGCGGAAAAGCTTCCGCGAACTCCCACTATCCGACTTTTCATAAAACCGATACGCTGCAGGTAAAAGAAAAGAATTAAACAAAATTCTCAAAAGGTAATAGAAGAGATTTACCAAGGTATGCGAAGTACGCGTTCAGAGGTAGTGTTTCCAGAGCAAACCAGTAGTTGGTGACGTCCAGGACCGGTGCCATGACCGAAAGTCCAGCGATGGCCACCGAATAACGCAAGGCGGTGCGGCGACACAGTCCCGGATTGGTGACGGCCATCATCCGGTAGCCCGCACGCGAGTAGTCAGGTCGAAGGTTCCAGGACAGGGCGTTGAAGTGGGGAAACTGCCAGGCGTACAGTATTCCGGCCAGGATCATGGCTCCAGCGTCGAGGGTGCCGGCGCATCCTGCCCAGCCCATCAGCGGAGGGATGGCTCCCACTATCGAGCCCACCCAGGTGTTGGCAATGCTGATGCGCTTCATGGGCGTGTATATCGATGTGTAGAGCAGGAGGTTTCCCGCTCCCAGCGCCGCCGTCAGTCCATTGGCACCGAAGTACAGCATGCTCAGGCCAGCGGTTGCCGATACCGCGGCGAAGGTAACGGCATGCAGCGGCGTCATTTGTCCCGTGACCAGCAGACGGTTTTTCGTCCTCGACATCTGCGAATCGAAAGGAACTTCGTGATACTGATTGATGGCATTTGCCGCAGCCGAAACGAGTCCTGTGCCCAGGGAGCACATCACAAAGGTGGTGGGATCGAAGGCAGCCGGAGCCATGGCATAGCCTCCCATGGTTGTGATGACCACCAGAGCTGGAATGGAAGAGGGTAAACCTTATTTCGGTGCTCCATGAATGGGAAACCATCTCACTAACATGTCAGCCGGAATTTGGACAGCTTCTTGTACTGGCTGAGGGTTTTCCCGGGGATGGTGTACGGACTGGGCATCCAAGAAACTTGACTTTCGGGTACATGCTGGACCTTTCCCGTCTGGGGTACTTGGGATACCGGTGGCAGTGGACTGGCACCTCTGTCATCTTGGGTGGATATTGTTGCAGCCGTAGAGTACTAGAATAATTGTGAAAGTTATAGTTTGTTGGGCATTGCGTAATGGCCAAGAACCTCACCCGAATGAGCACCAAGTCAACCGGCGTTTTTAGCTGGGTTTGCACCCTCCGAATTCCTTTGAATAATATCATTTTTATTCACTAATACGTAACGCCTCCGGTTATTCCATTTTCCTAGTCGTGTTTTAGTTTCTACTACTTTTATACATCAATATTATGGTTGTTTTTAAATCACATTGTGCTTAAAGTGTTACCATATTTGAAAAGGAAGAAAATGCCAAGTGCAAAAAAATAAGTCAGGGCATTCAGACTCTAATTTGCTTTTTAATTTATTGGTGGAATAAAATTTTTAAAAAAATAAATATTTATGTAAAAAAACGTTTTTAATTTTCTAGCCTTAATAAAATTGAATATTTGGCTTTAAATTTGAATTATAATTTAGATTCATTAAACAAAGGTATATTTCTAACTAAAAAAAGCAATTTATTGATTTCAACATTAAACTTTCGTGTTCTAAAAAATTATATTTAAAAAAGATATCATAATAATTGGTATTATTATAAACACTATGGACAAGGGTCTTAAAATTTGCGCATGCGTTAAACATGTAATTTAGCTTTTGTGTGTGGGAGTAATTTTTACATCTGAATGCAGGAAGGCCTAAGTCCTTGTAAGTCTTCATTGATTTAATAATTGAAATTTTGTGTTGTTTTCAGTACAATAAATATTTTATAGTAAATATAAAAATGTTAAGAGTAATAGTTTGAACAAATCGAATGAGATAATATATTATAATTATCAGAAACTTTGGACACGTAAAAATATAAAAACTCTACCTATGCCAACATTTTTTGGCTCTGTTAATATTTTATCCATTTAAGTATATAGGTAAAGATATTTAATATATCTGTAGAAAATATATTACGAAGACCTTTGGATAATGTTTTAAAGACATAAGGAAACCACAAGTTTTTACAAACACATTTTATGAGTGCAAATTGTAATAAGACAGTAGTGCGATAGCAAGGTCCTTTTACAAGTCTGAGCGAAAAATAAAAAACAAATTATACAGAAATATTTTAATGGTCAAACTATATACTATAGTTAAACATAATTTACAAAATTTTACCAAGAACATTTAAGTTTCTGTTATTTTGTTTTTATTATTTGATAAGTAAATTACATACATATTTAAGTTTACTAACTGAATTCCTTATATCAATATCTTTTCATATAGGTAAATTACTCAAATGCCCAGCTCAAGAATGGATATTTATATAACAAAGGGAATTACCAACCCCAACTATCCTGGTTTTCAAAAATTTGCCCATACCCTCTCTGATGACTACATTGAATACTCCGACATGGAATGTAATGAAAGTGATTTAACGGATAGTGACAGAGAGGATGACCAAATCCCGTTCCGTAATAAGGTTGTCAGCAAAGCTGCTTCTGAAACGTTTGAAAATGCCCAAGATTTGATTTTAAATAATTGTGACAATGGAAACACATATTCATTTGAGCAAACCGGAATCATATCGTCGCCTCCAAATGTACCGGACATTGTAAATAAGAATTATAGTGGAACATCAGAAAACTCTATGCGAACTTTAAATAAGCCGGACCTTATTTATAACCTAAGTCAGAATTATTCGACCAATTCTGACTTCTCTCCCTGGTCATGTACAATTAATTCTAAGTATGAGGGCCAACTGCAAGGACAAAGTCCTATTGATATTGTTGGAGATTTTGGCGGAGAGGTGGAGCGGGAATTCGAACTACTTATCACCGGTTATAAAAACAAGAAATCACAAGATGGGTTAGAGGGATCAAATTTGACCAAGGTAAATTGAAGTGATCATTAAATATAAATCGAATAATGCCCAAAGTAACATTTAACTTTCAGGTTTGCGATGCAGAACTATCAAATGGAACAGAAGCTTTAAAGCACACATCCTCAACGCGATTGTCCGGAAACAGCACTCGCAAAAATAAAAAGAAAAACACACCGTATGGGCATGAGTTGATGAAAACCAAACCTCAGAAACCATCACATGATGAACGACAGTTACCACCAGACACCTTTGACTATAAAACATATAGTCAACGAAAGTTTATTACTTGTGATCCTGATTATTCGTCCGTTTCGGAAAAAAACAAGAATGAAATGCAAAGTATCAATCAGGGTGAAATACCCAACTTGAGCAATTTAGAAATCGGTCAAAGCCAGCAGCATCTTGAGGAAGACAATAAAAAGGTGACAAACCGGAGGTATTTAAATCAGTCGTGCTGGTCTCAATACTTGGAAGATCCGATAAAGTATTCAAAAGATCCATCTGCTACAATGGTTTTAGGTAAACATTTTTTCCTCTCTTCTTATTTATAACTATTACTATAATGTTTTTCTCCTTATTCACAGAACAATTTGATGCATACAAGGTAGCTAATGATATGGACGTGGAAACATTACAAAACCATTTTAAAAAGGTTAAACAAATAGAAAAAAAGGTAGTTATTCGAGGAATGGGAAACAAAAATATGAATTGTATTAATTAAAAATTTTTTTTAAATATATTGGTTACAGCGCCGTTTTAATCGAGATGAAATACGTAAGAGATTGGCGATCGGAGATAAAGATCCTTTGAATAATGGTAAGTAAATGTTCTCATCACTACAAAATTCTTACTAATCTTAATAATCTTTTTTCCAGAAATTAAAAAGGAGGAATTTCTAACCGGTTCCGACAATGAGAGCTATAGTTCCGACTCCGAAACATGTCCCAAATTATCAAGTGGGGTACTTCGCAAGCAATCTGATTTTTGTGAAACCAAACGCAATAAGGAATTTGAAAACGATAAAATTTTTCAAAAGAACCAAATTAACCAAGAAAAAACCATGAATCACTCGATTAATGGTAACCCCATTGAAAAATCGGATTTTCAATCAAATGAAAATTTGTTTTTCTTTGCGAACCAATCAAAGCTCCAAATAGAGGTTAGAATAGCCCTAGCTCAATCGAAGGAAATAGCCCAAATGAAAGTTAAGGTAAGTTTCAAAAAATATAAGTTTGTAAGTTCCTCAATTAATTGTTCTTTATTCTCTATTTTTAGGCAAAGAAGCATGGAGTCACACCAATTGTAGAAGTAATCCGTTCAATGCTGAGTGACGTTGGTATAAAAATGGACTCAAACCATCGGTGGATCTCAAGGCAGTTGCTCACTGGAATTCAAGTTCCGATTCTTCAGTTATTGGTCAACAATCTTCAGAAATATATTGAAAACTTAAATGTTACTCTACTAGAAAGCCTTAAAGAACGAGACGATCTTAATTCGGACCAAGATGATATACTACACGATCTGGAAAAAATAAATAACTTTTTGTAAGTATTCAGAATGTTTTAATTTTTGATTTCATTTTATACATTTTTCAAATTTTCCTTTCTTTCTAGTGTTTTTCAACAGCAATCTGGACAGCAAGTCAATAAAATAGTTAGACACGGCCTTCTCGATTAATCACTCTAAAGTTGCATGTTTTATTATTAATTTGTTTAAAAATATTATAATCACTTGTATAATTGATAACAATCTACCGAGACCGTTTATAAAACACATACTCAAAAAATGTTCTTTAAACACTGTTATATTTATGTAATCATTTAATACTATATAAATAAAAGCTAACACAAATTATTTATATTAATATTAAAACAAATTTATCGTTTGAAATATTTATTTAATCAAGTGGAACAAAGTGAAATAATTAATATTCCCGATCGTTTCAAAAGTGTGCTATGGGAATTAGGGTATATGGTGATCTTATCGCACGGTAACACTGAAATCGGCATTAATTTGGCGCCTTTTTATGTTTGCAACAAGCAATTTTCCGCCTCTTGTGAAATTTAGCAGTCAACATGTTGAAGAATAAATCTATAAAAACATCCAAGTTATATGTTATTAAGCGAGGTAAGTTGGTTTGCAATGCAGCTGCGACTGTTCTAAACGTGTGTATTTCAGATGGCAGGCAGGAGGAAGTGCATTTCGATAAAATAACCTCAAGAATCCAGAAGCTTTGCTACAACTTGAACATGGACTTTGTAGATCCTGTAAGTTTAATTCCCTAGTGTAATTATGGGGTTCTTATGGGTTCCACAAAGGTATTGCAGTTGGATGTAGAAGTTCTGCAAAGAATTAAGTGATCGCCTAAGGTGGCAAAGTCATGTGGGACTTCCAGGAACCGAAGAATTTCTGTCAACTAAAATTTAAATCATTGGATAGTTGATAAAGTATTATTAATCTATAATAATCTGTATATGTATTTGGTACATTTTCAAAAACTAAAATATGCACTTCCGTTATAGGTCTCCATTACCTTGCAAGTCATCAATGGTCTTTATTGCGGAGTCACTACTCAGGAACTGGACAACTTGGCTGCTGAGATCGCAGCTGGCTTAACTTGTAATCACGCCGACTACGCAATCTTGGCTGCTCGCATTGCAGTCTCCAATTTGCACAAGGAAACCAAGAAGGTATTTTCCGGTAAGTTTCCCTAGCTTTATTCAAGACTAAGTAACCGAAAGACTGTTTCAATTAGATGTCTTTGATGATCTGTACAATCATGTGAACAAGGAAACGAACCAGAAAGTTCCCTTGGTATCGGAATTCCACTACAATGTGGTTCAGAAGAACGCCACTCGCTTGAACTCCTCCATAATCTACGATCGCGACTTTGGGTACAACTACTTTGGGTTCAAGACCCTCGAACGTTCCTATCTGCTGAAGAGAAACGGCAAGATCGCCGAGCGCCCGCAGCACATGCTGATGCGCGTGGCGATCGGAATCCATGGCGAGGATATCGATGCGGCCGTGGAGACCTATAATCTCTTGTCGGAGCGATACTTCACCCATGCGTCGCCCACGCTCTTTGCCGCTGCCACGAATCGGCCGCAGCTGTCCTCGTGTTTCCTCCTCACCATGACGGCCGACTCCATCGAGGGCATCTTCAAGTCCGTGGAGCAGTGCGCCATGATCTCGAAGTCGGCTGGCGGCATTGGGCTAAATGTCCACTGCATCCGGGCGAAGGGCACCTCGATTTGCGGCACGAACGGCACCTCCAATGGCCTGGTTCCCATGCTGAGGGTCTTCAACAATGTGGCTCGCTATGTGGATCAGGGCGGCGGCAAGCGTCCCGGTGCCTTTGCCATTTACCTGGAGCCCTGGCACTCGGACGTCTTTGAGTTCCTGGAACTGAAGAAGAACACCGGCAAGGAGGAGAACCGCGCCCGCGATCTGTTCTACGCCCTGTGGATACCCGATCTCTTTATGAAGCGCGTCGAGGCCAATGGCGATTGGTCGCTCATGTGCCCCCACAAATGCCCCGGCCTTCACGATGTGTGGGGCGATGAGTTCGAAAGGTTGTACGAGAAGTACGAGCAAGAGGGTCGTGCCAACCGAACGGTGAAGGCTCAGTCCCTGTGGTTTGCCATCATTGAGGCTCAGGTGGAAACTGGGAACCCCTACATGCTGTTCAAGGATGCCTGCAACCGGAAGAGCAACCAGCAGAATGTCGGCACCATCAAGTGCAGCAACTTGTGCACCGAAATCGTCGAGTACTCCTCGCCGGATGAGATTGCAGTCTGCAACTTGGCCTCGATCGCCCTCAATATGTTTGTCACGCCCGAGAAGACGTATGACTTCAAGAAGCTCAAGGAAGTTACCAAGACGGTGACCAAAAATCTCAACAAGATCATCGACATCAACTTTTATCCCCTGCCAGAGGCAAAGAAGTCCAACTTGAGGCATCGCCCTGTGGGCATTGGTGTTCAGGGATTCGCTGACGCCCTGATTCTCATGCGTTTCCCCTACGAGAGTGAGGAAGCCGGCCTCTTGAACCAGCAGATATTCGAGACCATCTACTACGGCGCCCTGGAAGCCAGCTGCGAATTGGCCCAGGTGGAAGGACCCTACGAAACCTACGAGGGCAGCCCCGTGAGCAAGGGAATTCTGCAGTACGACATGTGGGACAAGGAGCCAACGAACCTGTGGGACTGGCAGAAACTGAAGGAGTCCATCAAGCAGCACGGTGTCCGGAACTCCCTGCTTGTCGCTCCCATGCCCACGGCCTCTACTGCCCAGATTATGGGCAACAACGAATCTTTCGAGCCGTATACCACAAATATTTACACCAGGCGCGTGCTGTCTGGCGAGTTCCAAGTGGTTAACCATCATTTGCTGAGGGACCTAACGGAGCTGGACTTGTGGGACGATGACATGAAGAACCAGATCATCTCGAGCCGGGGCTCCATCCAAAATATCGAGTCCATTCCCCAGAAGGTTCGCGATCTGTACAAGACCGTGTGGGAAATCTCGGTGAAGTCCACGATTAAAATGGCCGCAGATCGTGGTGCGTTCATAGACCAGAGTCAGTCGTTCAATATTCATGTGGCAGAGCCGAACTACGGAAAGCTGACGTCCATACACTTTTATTCCTGGAAAGCTGGTCTCAAAACAGGGATGTATTACCTGCGCACAAAGCCAGCTGCCAATGCTATTCAGTTCACCGTGGACAAGAAGCAGGGTGCCGTGAAGGTGAATGGCCAAAATGGCACCGCTGAGGAAAGTCCCCAGGACTTCGAATCGGACAGGGAACGAAAAATGGCCGACATGGTTTGTTCTCTCGAAAATAAGGATGCCTGTATGTCCTGCGGCTCTTAGGGGCAACCACTTAAGTTAACTTTTATTTAATTGTATTATGTAAACACAACTTTGAAATAAACATAAATTATGGATCGGTAGTTTTATTTATTTATTTATATTCTGGTTCTGAGGCAATTACAATTGGCTTCCAACCAATTTTTTTAGCTATAGCTTCTAGGCCTTAAGCTTGTGGAGATTATTTACATTGTTTTTACATCTAAATTGTGTGGATATAAATATTATTATTTTATATATTATTATTTTATATATTATTATACAGGTTTATTGCCTTGGTAAATTCCGTGGATAGTATGATACTTTGGAATTTTGGGGAAAAGAAATCTATTGAATTTGTGAGTGGGATGTTGTTCCTTGTCGTCTCGTATGCTAAAAATTCTAAGGAGAAATGCCGAACGTTGTGTGGATCGGAAAATAAGATGAACCAACCCTTTTATTAAATAACAAACAAAAACATTTAAAAAGGTACTAAAAAATTTGATTTATTTTAAATTACAATCGGATGCTAAACGGGATTTCGATTCTTTGGAAATGTTTATTGTGCTACTTGTATAGTGGTTTTGAACGACTTCCTGAGGTGTGGACACATACTGATGAGATAGGGCATTGTCCGTTATTATTTTCCGCACAACTTCCTCAACCGTTGGCGCCGTCGTCTCCAGGTCCGCTTGGCTCTTATTGTCCAGGTTCACCAGAGTAAGTGGCTGATCGGAGTTCACCACGGAATCCATGCCCGTCTTGGCGTTAAAGAAGTCCAGGACCCAGGACACCACAAAGAAGCAGGCGGCGTTCATCGGAAATGCTCTGATCAAGGTGGAGTTTAGACCGCGGAAAAAAAATTGCGGGCCTTCGTTTTTAAAGCCTTTTATTGCGCAATCGACAAATCCATTATATTTGGCGTTCGTTCCCAGGGCATCTGCTTGCATGTGGGTCTTCACCACGTCGATGGGATAGCAGGCCAACCAGGAGGACATGCCCGCACATCCTCCGGCGGTTAGAGTATACGGAATGCTCGGAGTTTCCACCTGCCGCATGAAGAACTCGAAGGACACGAAATAGGCGGCAAAACCTTGTCGAAAAGAGGAATTAGTGGTAAGCATTAATAGGATATTAGAGTAGAGTAAGAGTGTGTGCGCCCACATTTTTAAAGATTTCCGAGAAGAATAAATGCAATTTTGTTGTGTATTTTTATACCTATCGAAATGTAAGACATTTTTCAAATCGGACCATTCATTAAAAAGTTATACACAATCAAAATTGTTTATATATCTATCTCCCTCGCACTCCCTTTAGCTGAGTTACGATTATTAGATAGTCGGGACACCAACCCGCGTTCGCACTCCCTTTGGCTGAGTGACGGGTATTAAATAGTCGGGACACCAACCCGACTATAGCGTTATCTCTTGTTTTCTCTATAGATTTTTGTGACGCTCCCAATATTTTATAAAATTTTATTACGATAACTTACCTGGAATATCTCTTAGAATCGTGGCAGTAAGTCCCTTAAAGGCGCCTTTGATTCCCTCGGTTTTTAGAATATACTTGAGGCAGTGAATGGGTCCTGTGAATTTTAGTCCCCCATCAATCTGCGACGACAATTGTAGCCTCGTTTTGGCCAGCTCCATGGGTGCACAAACGAAACTTTGGGCTACGCCGGCGATAGAGCCCGCGTAAAAGTGTGACGTCAGTGAATTGGGGTCGTTAGACAATCGCTGAACATTTCCGTATACCCCGAAAACAATGGCGTTCACCAGTCCAATTCCACCCATGGGGCTGCTAATTCCTCGATACAGTCCTCTGAAGCTGTCTCTTTGCAGTATCGTCCGAAAGCAGTGCAATGTGCCTTTGTATTTGGGGTTACGAGGATCATCGGTTTGCAGGTGGACTTTCACGGTATCGAATGGGTGACCAACGAGAACGCCAGCAGCACCTGGAATTCGAAAGCAGAGTATCTGATAAAAGGTGCCATGAATATAGTACGCATTTTTAAGCCAGCTTACCTCCCAAAAGTCCGGCGACAAAATCCACAACCATTTTTGGCGATAAAGTTTCAGAGGTAGCCTTCAATTGTATGCCTCCGATCTCTGAACCTCTCTTTCCATATGGATCCTAAAAGGAATGAAATTAAAAAGGTTCAATAGGGCCGTAAAATATTTTTTTACGATTCGTCTAACCAAAAATGGCAAATACTTCACTACTAAACGGTGAAATAATTTGTCGCGTGTGTCCTAAACAAATTTTTCAGTTGTCGCGATGATTTTTTTAATCGGCGGAGGTTAGAGTAACTGATAACGCGCTTTTGATGCTTTAATTCAAAACATTCAATTTAAACTAAAGGTATAGGCTAATATTGCGACTAAAAATTACCACTTATTTTAAATTTTGTTTTATTTTTATTTAACTGGCGCAGGACTTCAACAAGGTTTTAAAAAGTGTATTAAAACTTAAAAAAGATACAATATCTAAAAATCCTTAACTAAGGTTACGCCAACCTTATGATTCATAATTAGCTTTTGGGGTATTCAATAGTCGATACTTTTAATTTTTTTATTTATTTGTATTCTACATTATGTAATAAAACTGAGCTTGGACATTTTCACAGTTGTCGCGACTCGTTCTTTGTGTTAGAGATTAAAAATAAAATGTCATTATTGCGACCTCTCAGAATCCTAATCGCATTGGGCATCGACGACTTTGTAAATTAAAAAACAGTGTATTAACTTATTGTTTTCTAAATAAATCTATCTTTAATATTCTTAATAAATTTCATCTATGAAAAAATCCTAATATTCTGTTCTTGGAACCTTTTTAAACACGAAGTGGGTCAAATCTTTAAAAATTATTTATTTTGCAGAGGGCAAGAGTATATTGTATTCGAGGATGTCTATCTAATAGAGACAAGGAAACGTTTTTAAGCATAGGTACATAAATACATATATTATTTTTAAACACTAACAGCCAAGCTAAACACATTTTGATAACGGTCATAAAAAACATACCTACATGTGTAAAAGTCAGAGAAAAATTTAAAATAAATACATGAATTCATTACCTTTCCATTGCTAACACGAAGTATAAGTGATATTGGATGCATCTTGGAGTTGTTATGATTTCACATATTATACAGGACCCACATAAATTTTAAACCACCAGAGGTTGTCAGTATCTGTTATGCTGGAAAACGAAATTTAATATTTTATTTAAAGCCTTAGTAATTAATTGACTTGACTCTTCATAATGGCGATTCATCTAATCAAAAATGTATAATGTTGATGCAGATGAATTTAAAACATATGTTCAACCTTAAAAACCGACTTAAGTCTGGCAAAGTAAAGGAAGATTTTCATTTAAAAACCAACATTTCTTTTCAGCGTAAAATTGTTCGACGACTTATCTACTTACCACAAAGATGAGTTATATGCATTTCTTCCCATATTATTTTACAAAAATAAATAATTGTGTCATCGAATATTTATGCATTTAAAAAAAAGCCGACTTTGTTTTAAAATGTAAAAGGTGTATACGATCTTACTGTTTTTACTCTAATAATATTCCCAGTAATCATTCAAACATTTAATATTCGATATAATACAAGTTATTTATTAAATAATAAGTTATTATTAATAATTGGCAGAAATATATTATAAATAATATTAAATTTAAATCGAAAAAATGTATCATTAATACATTTCCGTTGGATATTTAAGAATATATACAGATTGCTTAAAAATACTTTAAAATATTTGATATCAATAAAAGACTTTTACAGCCCAAATATTTCCATTCGAATTACTCATATTTACTTAATTTTTGCTGAAAACATTATTTTTTTTCTTTTTAAGAATATCTCATATGCAGCCATATGATCTCTGCTTAAGTTTAAATTTCTAGACAAAGTGCAACCATTCTCAAAGGTTTTTCTTGCTCTTAACGACTCAAGCGATCATAATAGAATCGTCACATTCATTCGCTTCTGTATTTGTTCATGTGCTATAGCTTTTAACAAGAAAGAGAGATAGCTTCGGTCAGCCGAAGTTTATATACTCTTGCAGATCATTCCAATTAAATCACAAATTAAAAATGTTAAATCTTGATTTACTTGCGTATTTGTCAAAAATAAATTATAGCAGTTGTCGTATTATTTTGGACCAAAATTTTTGGTATTTAAAAAATTATAATCCCAAGAGTAGAAGGTAATATCTCAAGAAACAACGAAACTGTATTTTTTTTCATTATTGTTCCGATTCTTTCTATGGGAGCTATTAGATATAGTTGTCCGATCCGGCTGGTTCCGACCTGCAATACAAATAAAGTTATATCCCGATAGTTGTATGACTAGTTTGCAAAGAAACGGACAGACGGACGGACAAACGGACATGTCTCGATCAGCAGATCAAAAATGTATATATTTTATGGGATCGGAAACGTCTTCTTCACTGCGTTGCAAACTTCTGACTGTAATTATAATACCCTCTGCAAGGGTATAAAAAGCCCTCGAAACATTTCAAAGCTTTCTATCTATGTATATAAGTTCATTTTAGTCTTAAAGTACAACTCGGTGGGTGAGTATCGTGCGAAAAGCTTGCCGCTAAATATTTGAGGTCATCTGGAACACATTACCTTTCCTTGGCAATACCTGTGTATATTTTTATCTACATTTGTACTTATGTGTACCCAGAGCATATATGCGATAGTTAATCTGTAAATGGATACAAAAGTGATAGTCAAATGTGAAAATTCTTTATATAACGCCAATGTTTATACCCCTGATCTATGTGCATGTACACAAAACTGTGTGTAGATTGAAAAGTGTGTATTTGTTTGTGTTTAAAATAATCTAAATGATCTCACATTAGTGACGTGCGCGTGTGTCATAATAAAACTTCGTGCGTGACCATTTTTACCTGTTGAATTGGCGAAAGCGGAAAGCTTTAAAGTATCTAAAACAATAAAATCCCTTGTTTAACTTTGATAGAACTAAATAAATATAAGACCCGTAGCTAATGACCCGAAGCTCGGGTGCGTTCAATCATATGATTCTAGATTACCTTAAAATACCATCGAAAGTGTCAATAGTGCGCTATCAAATATTGATGTTATTGATTTCGATGCGATGTGTGCCTATGTGTTCATTCAATCCGATCGTGTTCAACACGCGCCGATCTCTAGCTCATCTTTACAGCCGTGTATCTTAAATTTTCCAGGGATGCCCAACTAAAGCAACCTAAACCGATCAGAACAAGATTTTCTTAACGGAATTAATGGAGTTTTAAGATCAATCAATATGGGATCGGTTTATTTTACGAAAAAGATCACAAAATAATATAGGATTGCCAAGGAAAAAAATTTAAGAAATATAATAAACTGAAGATCATTTCCACTTGAAATAAAATTGTATTCTAATTAAGAAGGGAGGGCAAATTTGTTAGGAAATAAGTAGCGAAGTGAGTTTTTCGCAAATACATGGTATGTTATGTGTATACAAGAACAAGAGTACTTTTAAATAGTGAAAGTATTTTAAAAACGTTTGAACCAAGTAGATTTTTATTTATTAAAATCCATTTATTATATACTTCGTTATGCGTCACCAAATTATTCTGTCATCAACGGTGTTTCCTAATTTGCCTCTCGAAATCGAAAGAAAGTTCGCAGTAATTGTATAATTATACATAGTAGATAATAGTCTGATAAGGGGAATGGTTACGACAATATTTAATCAAAAGCAATTCAGGGGAAAGGTTGGCCGAATTTGTTGGGTGTGACGATTGCTGTTTTGGGTCTTAAGCCTAAACTGCTCGATAATTTTGTGCTAATTTAATAATAATTTGTTATATAATGTGCGACTAATAGATTGATTGACAAAATACACCTTCTTTATAGTTCATATAACCATTTTCGAAGGCCACCAAACCCGGTTTGTAGATGGAAACGTACTGCACCCATCAACAAGTAATGTCGTCATACTGGTGATTATATTTATACTCAATAATCACTGAGATCAACAGCAAATATATAAAACAACCACAGAAAAGCTTTTGGAATCCTATAAATACATATATATCTGAACCCTCATAGCCTTAAAGTTGATCTTTGCAAATTTTTAACTAAGTTTGGTATTTCTAATTTTTTTTTCAGATTTATTTAACGCGGGCATAAATACTAATCGACAATGAGTTGGAATAAGCGGAATACTAGTCACATATCAATATACAACTACCCGGAACATTTAAATCCATTCTACGAAGATGACAACCACAAGCGCCTTCGATTTTGGGGATTTAGCAAAAAGAAGAACGAAAATGGCAGGCACAGTTTGTCTATTGGAAACTTGCAAGAATTGTGGTGAGTTCTTTCTGTTTATTTAGTATGTGTCGATCCCTAAGAAGTATAAATAACTTACCCCTTGTACCAATTTTATCTGTACAAATGTATAGATCATTCGCTCATTTATTTTAAATTTGTTTTAAAACTATTTTTTATTATATTATAGGAAATCGTATTCTTTTCGTAAAAAGAAGTCCTCAACATTGGGAATAAATAAAACCTCTGAGAGCCCGCCGACCCTAAGACGAGACCTAAATGATAAGTATGTATAATAATATCTCGAAACTAAGCACAGATTTTATAAACAATCAAATAGTTCGTATTTGAATTCTAGGGTTTTCCGGGGAGACCGTCACACATCCCTTCAATCCCTTCCCATGGATTCCCGAAGAGAGGTAATTATAAAACTCGAAATATTTACAGAAAATAAAAATTCTAATGAATTATACTCTTTGTAAATTTAGTCTGATTCAATCTCCAATGGGGCTTACTTTAATCGTAATGATCGCTACAGAAGCACAACGCAGTTTTCTGGATATTCCTCGCCAAATCAACAAAATATAAGGTGTGTATATATATTTTTTTTCTTTTCATATAAATCTTACAAAATAAAAAAAAAATTGTTTTTGTAGGTTATCACAAACTAGTCTAGCCAGCTCAAATCCTTTCGAATCGCAACCGGATTCGTGTCCCAGCTCCCCGATGAGTAGTAGAAGATATCGCAAGAAGAGGAGAGCTCCGCCGCCGCCAAAACTAGTGGTAATTTTAAATATATTTCCACTCAGTTCATTTATATTCAATTTAACACTAATTTGTAGGTCGAGGACTACCTAGCAACCAAAGACATCGAGACTCTTGCCTCTGAAATTGACGAGTTTGTTAACAACAGAAAAGAATCTTTAATAAAGCAAGAAGTTGGAGTGGAAGTACCGAAATCAAATCAACCCGCACCGATCTCCGAAAGCGAACTTAACCCCAGCACGTCCAAAGCACCACAAACCATTGATATAAAGCAATCCAATGGAATAAGCACGGTCACTGAAAAGGAAAATGTCACTATCCTTGAATCTAATACCAAAACTAATACCCGCACTTCCCCAACACAACAATGGATTGGCACAGTACACTTAAAGCAGTCGAAAGAACCGGAAATATTAATCACACCTACTGAGGGTCAAAAAGTCATTTCCTCTAATACTTCTAGCCAGGCTAAGCCCTGTATTTCCAAAAAACCCGAGTGCATTGCGAGCGTACATATTAACCAATCCTCTGAACACATAACAGTATGCTCTGAACAAAAACCAAATAACGAATTCAGCGTTCAGCTAGAAGAAAAGAAAAAACAAAACGGCACTGTACCTGTGCATATCAGGGAAGAGCTTTTAGTTACTAAAGGTATTTCAAATGAGGCAGATATTCCGCGTAGTTCAGAAATTGTGAAACAATCAGTCATTTTGGTAGATTCTGAAGAATCTATTAGCCCTAGCACTTCCAAAACACAACAGTCTATTGCCCACAAAGATGTTAAACTATCCAATGAAACCGAAAGTGTAAGCACCGATGTAGAACTAAGAGATAGCGCCTGCGTAGAAGATAGAAAAACGAATTCGTTTGGCACGGTTAAGCAAATTTCCCAGATCTTTGAAGAGAACATTAGTTCCAGTGGTCCTAGTGTTATTCCCAAACGAAATACAGCAAATATCTGTGAGTCAAATGGTGCAATATCAAAGAATACAGAGAATCATCTTGTTTCTAATGTAATCCAACCAAACCCAGCTCAAATTAGCGAAGATTTACAAATAAGAGAAGAGTTTGAATTGGAAAGTGATCTAAGAATTGGTGAAAGGCCAAGAAGGTCTTCCATCTCAGCGGAACGGGAATCAAATTCTACACCAACACCGCGGATGCGGAAGAAGAAGTCCATAAAGGAAGTGCTAGAATCTATAAGCAGAAATCAGAAGATTTTGAATGAAAGTGCGGCCAAGGGCACAAAGGTGTATCTAACACCCTCCTATGCGGAGAATAAATACAACTATCCCAATGAGTTGAATAACGTTAATAACAGATCTTCCAAAGAAGTCACGTCTACCAATATTTCTGTTAGCACATCGGATACCGATGAGTTACCATCGCAAAGTAATTTGTTTATAAGCAAGATAAGCAAATTCAAGGGTCAATTCAGGGAGTCATCTCCCACTTCATCAAACCTAGATTGGAACCCATTGCCGAAACCAAGTCGAGCCCATAATTCAGCTAGTTCTAATTTCAACAACGGCTCGTGTTAAGAGTTAAATTAATTATGCTTTACACAAAACAAATATTTATATTAAACCAAAACCAAATTTATACGCAATAAAATAAAAAGTGTACTTATTTAAAAATGAAGTTATTTTAATGGCGAACATGCACTAGGAAATCTATTAGCAGGGTCAATTATGATCGACCGATTTCTACATTTTTATAGAATTTATTATCTTTAAAGTAACAAGTGTTCAATTAGCTTTAGTAAAGTTTTGAAAAATAATTTGGACATCAATTTTCCTACTTGCAAATATTAAATTACTCAACACCAATTTGTTACTTAATGCGATTTCATTTTAAGTCTTTCAGAAGAGTGTCCGTTGAGTTGTCCCACGGGATCCTCTTTGGTTAACTTCGATACTTCATCGTAGAACCGGGGAAAGTATTGGATGGCGAGGAATACAGCCAAAAGGTATACGCCAATAACAAAAGTTAAGAAGAGATCGAAGATCGCCGGCTTAACTCTGTAAACATTCAGTTTCACATCGTTCTCATTGTAGAACATAAATTCTGGATCTCTGCCGTCGGGCTTATCGTATATGATTTTAACATTGTTGAGGTATTTTTCGAAAGCATCCTTGACGTCGTTATTATGCAGTATGGATTTAACTCCAAAGTATGGCACGATGTTTTCTTCTTTAATGGCCTATTAACAGAAACAGAATACATTAAAGATCTACTCAATCAAGGAATTTAGTTACTTACCAATTGCCCATCGAAAATGCTGGAAATTGGATCCACTTTGTACATATAACTGGCCAGAGCTTCCGCAATAATTCGAGATGTGTTGAGAGTGTGTTCCACGATGCGACTCTCATCGTTTTTGAAGATTGTTGTCCGAATGGGGCTCCTTGGACTCTTAACGGACGACAGGGTGAATGAGGGATAGCGTTTTATGCTGAAGCGCTCATGCTCCCAGGCAAGTTTGGTGTCAGCTAGGTTGATCTTCTTATGCACACCCTCGACCGTTAAGCCACTCGAATACTTTTCAGCTGATGACTTCAACAGTTTGAAGAAATTACTGATGGAAGTCTTATCTTTGGGTGGCTTAGAGACGTGCATATACAAAGCATTGTCTGCGGTGTAAGATAAACTTTCGGTGATGGTGTCCAAACAGAGAACAAACTCAACATTCTAGAAAAAGAATTTGGAACTCATATTAAGACCTTTGTACCTTTCATTTTATTTAGCTAATCAAACCTGCAGCGCATTATCATCCACTTCGAGCCACTTCTTTGAGCCTTGGAAGTTTAGTAGGACGCCAGCGTCCGAAAGCAAAAATCGGAGACGGTACTTGGGTGCCATGCTGGATGTATAGTGCAATTTGCTAAACAGTTCCATAAGCACCAGTAAAACGGCAGCATCAGCATTCACTGGATAGTCCTACGATTCAAAGAGAAAACCAAAAATAGTATGACATTTTATAAAACATTTTTTTTAGAGATACATGCTATAGATAACCACTCTTGACCTCTTAAATAATTGTCATAATAATCGTGAAACCACACTAAAAGATCAGATAAAGATTATCATCTTTTAGATAGGGAGGCCCTTATCTTTGAGGTACAAATGCGTTTATTTGTACTTCTTGAATTATGTTAAGGTGTTACCTCCACGTTTAATAGTTTAATTTACTTTTGAATAAAATAAATTGAAAAACGGAGCAGATAATATTAAAAAAAATGAATTAAATGAATTAAAAGTAAAGTTTAGAAGATAACATTACTTACATTATATATTCCGAAGGTTTTCAGATTCGCGGTAATCAAGATGACAGGAAGTTTTTGTCCATCGCCAACTGATTCTGTGGGTTTTAGGGCCAATTGATTTGGAATCAGCTCGCCGTGAATGATGGGAACCTTGCTGTTTTTGTTGGCCACAATACTTCCGCCACCGACATTCACATGGTATCTGTTGGCCGAGACTGTTACGATCAATTGTCCCAGTGCAGTCTGATTTTGACCCGCATTATCCGTAGTCGTATAGGTAATGTCGTCGATGATCTTTTCCAAGTCCTTATTATATGGGGCAAAGTAAATGGGGACTGCAGCTGTGTGTGTCAGCATAGATTGCTCCAAAATAGTTATAAGTTCTTTGGCTTCTAGATCTAGACCCAAGATATTCGACGGAAGCATGAGAATAAGTCCTCCAGCATTTTTTAACTTGTCAAAATCATGGAGAGACAAGTCGGTTAACCTGTGAATAATAAATTATATTATATTTATATATTATATTATAATTTTAAGATTACTTACCGCGTAAGAACACAGTGCCTAGACGTATTCCAAGAATACAAAGATCGCGCTTCCAGGGATATTGCAGCTACCCGGCTTCCTAAAAGTGACAAGGAAATTAATAAAAATAGTTAACTTATGTGCCTAAAAAATTCAGATAATTATGACTATTTAGTTTAAGATTGGGCTCCGAAAAAGGGCGGATATGAATAATAATTAGAGGCAGTCCAAAGGGTATTTGAAAATAAATTCAGAGCAGGGCAGCTTAAGATATAATGTCTTCTAACAGCTAACGAAATTTCCCAAGCCATACATGGCACAAATTTAAAATAAAGAACACGTTCGATAGTTTTAATGAGATTCCATGTTACTAATTAAATAAAGGAGAAAACCCCTCGTCAATGCTTATTAGAATTTAGGTCAGATGCACCGTCGAAAAATAAAAGCATATTAGTGTACACATGTAAAAGGGCTGCGCTACAATGAACTTACATAATTAGTATTTATCTTTTTTATTATTTACTCACCATAATGTTGCCCATTTAGATCGTATTTGGACATGGAAATAACCTCGAATTCGCTGGGCATTACCGGTGAACATATTAACAACATAGAAAAAACAATAAGAAGGCAGTGGGGTAAGCCGCCTCTAAATATTTCCGCAAAACTATCCGCTTCATTCATCTTTTATCTTTTTAATATGACTATTTTCTAATAAATCTGCCGATGTGGGCAATTAATTAATTGTAAAAAAGAATTTGGAAAAGTGTCAGCTGTTTTATCGATGTTTATGGTGGTTGAAAAAAGTGGGCAATCGGGACGTGACATTTTTGTCTTTATCGGAATTCTTGAAACGAAACACAATTTATATCGCATAGGAATGGCCAGAATGGTGAAATATTTTAGATGTTTACATTATTCTAGAAGAAGAAGGTTAATTTATTTATTTTCTTATTATTTTAAGACCTTTTTTTATTTTCAATTTATACAAATTACTCCAAATTCCTGAAAGACTTATTTTAGATAGTTCCGTTTCCGCCGTTCCAAGCGCGACGATATTTTCGTGCAGTTAATCTAGTTGGCGCTGCAAAAAAGTATCGCTGCTTTGCGCATCTCTGCTTCGGCTAGTATGACTTTGAATTTTACTTTTACAGAAAGAACAACTTTTATTAACGAAAAATTTAGCCATGCCCGCATTTAAAGGTACCTAGTGTTTTTCGCCGCTGCTTGCACAAAACCTGACCATTTTGCTTTCAGTTAAGGTGAAGTGGGGCCGGGAGCTCTACACAGACATCGATGTAAACACCGATGAGGAGCCGATTTTGTTTAAGGCCCAGTTGTTTGCACTTACTGGCGTTCAACCGGATCGCCAGAAAGTGATGTGCAAGGGCGGCATTCTCAAGGATGACCAGTGGAACTTGCAGATCAAAGACGTAAGTGGGCAGCTACAGTGTTTCCGGTGACTTGGTCCTAACCAGAATCCTGTTTTTTCTCAGGGAGCTGTGGTGTTGTTGCTGGGCAGCAAGGAGAGTGTTCCAGAAGTGCCCACTACACAGGTCAAATTCATTGAGGACATGAATGAGGCGGAAGCCGCCACAGCGGTAGGTATCCTGATTTAATTTAGATATCGGTATCTTTATACTTTGTAATGCTGCCTTTTCTATTAATTATTTTGGTTTCTGAAAATTCTGGCTGTAAGCCACCAAAATATTTATCCCTTAAAGTGGTTATAATAGCGATTTTTTATAAAAGGTTCTAAGTTGCTTTACTTTTAAGTACTGGAAGTTAATAGTTTTTGTTTATACCAAATGTGCTGAGTCATGAAACCAGTTTCATACTTATCATAAAACTAATTTTAAAATTCCGATGCTTATGCTTCGTTTATATTAAAAAGCACTTCATGCTTTAAATACAAATGTGTCATTAGGTGAATATTTCTGTAAAATTATATTTTTTTTTGCTGTGACTAAAGCCTTATTTGTTTAAGCTTTATTAAAAGACTTAAAACTTCTTTGTTAAGATCATATAAAAAGTATACAAATTAAAATAGAAAAAAAACCTAATTAATTTATTCGATTTAAATTAAATTATTTAATAGTAATAGTATAAATAATAGGAAATTTTGTTTGTACCTCTGCTGTTTCATATATTCTAATATGAGATCATCCTATTTGCAGATGCGTTTACCGGCCGGGCTCACAAATCTGGGCAATACGTGCTACATGAATGCCACTGTTCAGTGCTTGAATGCAGTGCCTGAGCTTCGCACTGCCTTGACCACTTACAGTAACGATGGAACTGACACCATGTCGACTGCCTTTTCCATTTCGTCCGCCATGAAGTCCATATTTGCTCAAATGGAGAAGGGCACAACCGTGACGCCAATTGTTCTGCTGCAGGCATTGCACCGGGCATCGCCGCAATTTGCCCAGACCGGCGAAAACGGCACTTACAGGCAGCAGGACGCCAACGAGTGCTGGGCAGAAATCCTGAAAATGTTGCAGCAAAAGCTGCGACCAACAAACCAGGATCCATCGAATACTGTTCAGAAAAAGCACAGGTGAGTCAATATTTTAATGCCATATAACAGATACTTATATTTATTTAATTCCTCTTAAAGCTCGTTTATTGACCAATTTTTCGGTGGCACTTTTGAAGTTAAGATGAGCTCAGAAGAGGTTCCCGATGAACCTTCTACCGTGACCACTGAGAATTTCTTGCAATTGAGTTGCTTTATATCCATGGATGTTAAGTACATGCAGAGCGGACTTAAATCCGTAAGTAAAATTACCAGGAAAAGGAGCTGCATTAACTTTGATATGCATTTTCAGAAAATGAAAGAGCAGTTGGTGAAAAAATCGGAAACTTTGGGACGCGATGCAAAGTACATTCGAACTGTAAGAGGGGTTTGGTTCGCTATTACGCCGGTAAACTAATTCTTTTCCGTTTCAGTACTTGGTGAGCCGACTTCCAGCCTATCTCACCGTACAATTTGTTCGCTTCCAATACAAGGGAAAGGAGGGCATTAATGCCAAAGTGTTGAAGGATATTAAATTTCCCATTGAGTTTGATGCCTTCGAGTTGTGTACTCCCGAATTGCAAAACAAGCTGTGCCCAATGCGCTCGAAATTCAAGGATTTGGAGGACAAGAAGATGGAAGTTGACGTTGTCAAGCCCAATGAAGCCAAGGAGGAGAACAAGGACATTAAGTACGAGCAGTTCTGGTTCGATGACGACTTGGGCAGCAACAATTCGGGATTCTATACATTGCAAGCCGTGCTGACGCACAAAGGTCGCTCGAGCTCCTCGGGCCATTATGTGGCTTGGGTTCGCTCCAGCGGCGACGTGTGGTTCAAGTTCGACGACGACGAGGTGTCTGCCGTGGCCACAGACGAGATCTTGCGGCTGTCCGGCGGTGGCGACTGGCATTGCGCATACGTCCTTTTATACGCACCCAGACGTCTGGAGAAAATATAAGTTATTGTGTTAACGTCATTACATTTGTATTGTTAATATAATAATTCTGAATAAATAACCAAAACCTTAAAGGGCGTAAAATCGATTAGGATGACGATAAATACAATTTTTTTTTTAACTTTTCTGTAATTAAAATAGTTTTTGACAAATTAATTAAAAAAAAGGATTTACAATAATTATCCACTCATCAAAATCCTGCTCCTCGCAGCAGTAAATCCACTCAACCAGCAAATATTTGACAAGCTGGCCCAATTAATCCAGAAAAAGAAATTAACTTTATTTTGTAATCTCCAGTTATTGGATTACATATTTTTATTTTTTGTTCTCGATTAACCTCTTGGAAGGTTTGTCTAAATCTATGCTGTATAGAATTTGGGGTCAATATTCCAAATCTTCAATTTAGCGTCAATCCATGGACGAAGTTTAGCCACGCTGGCATACACACCGGGTATGTTTTCCTCTCCACAGCCGATTCCCCAGGCAACAATGCCGGCCGACTTGAATCGTCCCTTCTGGCCCTTAATGGGGCATACTAATGGGGAACCTCCGTCTCCCTTGCAAGTATCCTTATCCTTTTCGCCGCCAGCACAAATAAAGCTGTCGTGCAAAATAAAGTGCCTGCCGAGACGAGTTTCGCGCAGGTTGGTCTGGCACTGTTGTTCCGGGACCACAGGCATATCCACCTTTTTCAGGATTACCTGGTATTCCCCGTCCTTGCCAAACTTGTTCTTACCCCAGCCGGTAGCATAACAACGATCATAATCAAAGTTTTCACCCACGTCGGGCAGGCAGACGGTTTGAATGTTGGGCTGGAAGGTAAATGGGCTTTCCAGCAGCATCACAGCAACATCGTTGTAAAGGGCTCCCTTATTATACTGTTCATGATACACTATTTCCTTCACATATCGGTCCTCATGCGCAATGATTTCAGTCTTTGTCTGCGTGTCCCATTCCCCGGCTCTCACTGAAATCAGCAATTAAAAAATGGGTATAAGTAATCCCAAGGACGGAACTTACTTACTAGAGCCCTGCGTGAATCATTCAATTTTGGCTATAATAGTTTGCCATGAATTTTCTGATATGTTTAATTGAATTAAATTAATTCAATTCTATGTGAAATAAATTGAATGTTTTTCTAATTTATTTTGAATTGAAAGAATGAATGAATAATTTTTATGAATTTGCCAGATTTTTCTTGTGCTTTATTTTGAGAACAAAAAGTAGACATTTTTTAACAAATCAATGTTAACTACATAGTAAATAAAATTCATGCCGATTTAATCACAAAATTATGGCCCTTTCTTCTTTAAAAGAAATTGTCGTTTGAATTATTTGGGAATTCATGCCATTCATTCATTCGATTCTATTAAACTCAAAATTCAAATTCATTCAATTCTATTAAACTCAAAATTCTAATTAATTCATTCATATAAAACAAAAAATTCAAAATAATTTATTGAATCCATTCAGGGCTCTATTTTGGTTGGTTACTTACCAACAATGGAACTTGGTTGCTTGTTGTGAACACAATGAGCAGCAGTCAGAACCACATTGGGAGCTATTAAAGCTCCTCCGCATTCGTACAAGTTGAGCTGTCCTTCCTCTCGGAGAATTGCCAGCATCCAAGGGAATTCTCCGAACTCAGCCTCCTGGTTTACAGCTCCAGTGATTTTGAAGCCAACGCCGTTGGGATTCGAGTAGCCGCAGCCTTCAGGATTCTCAGGGGCGACTGGGAATATGGGATCTTTTCTCTTTAGCATAAAAATAGGTTAGAAATCAGAAAGTTAAAATTTAAAATATTTTTAAATACATACCTTGTTTGGAAGATCGCAGCACAGATCCAAATAGTTTTTGCATTGTGCGCCCGTATCGATTCGAATATCAATTATACCATCGCCACTGGTGTTGATCGTGTCATTTGCACACAGCCAGCGTGGAACACACTCTTTTTGATCGCCACAGGATTGATATTGGGCTGCTCCTGATCCGTTTCCTGATCCTGAGTTACTGGACGAATCTTTTGGATTGACAACTGGAGTTGGAGGGCTCGTTGTGGAGGAGCTAGGTGTTTCATCGGTTTTGAAAATGTCTGCAATCAGGTTGTCCAGGGAAGTATCTTGCGCTCCACAAGTGAATATGCAGACGCATATTATAAGGCTGTTTAGTAATATCATAATACTAGAAAAGAAAAATAAATATTCCGTTCATTACTTTTAAGAAACCAAATTTAGGTCAAAAAAGCTCATTTAATCGAAAATATGTTAACTCAAGGTAAACATTATGACAAAAGCTTAAGTATTGATGATATAACGACGCTTGTTATTGGTGGAATATCGCACTTAAAGCGGTAAAGGTAATTCCCCCGAAGAGAATGACACATATTTCTGAGCAAAACAGGCGGATACGGATACTTTTATGCGTTTAAGCTGGCATCCATTAAGGCTTTAAAGCTTTCTCCCCATCAATTTTAAAATTTATTATCTGGCCAGTTTGGCTTTGCTTTCTTTTTGTATTTAACATATGTATTGTTCTTAATCAAATACATAATAAATAAGAACATGTCGCTATCAGGCCTATTTGCTTTTAGGTTCGAATAAAAGTTCAGGCGATAAGAAATCCAAGTGTTTGGGGGCTCACAAATGCACAGGAGTTAGGGTGGGTCAATTTTAATAGAAACAGAGCAATTATAATTTTAAAATACACAAAAGAAGAGGCAAGCTTTAACGTTACGTAATTAGAACTCAACATCTCTCAGGTTTTCTCATGGTAAACTACCAAAATGGCCCTTGGTATGTATGTACATCAAAATCATACCAATTCCTGATTGAAATACCAATTAAACCTTTTTTCAACCAAGTATGGGTAACTTTCAGGGACTATTTTCTCCCAATTAAATAATAAATTAGAAGAGCACCAACCATTTTGTATTAACATACAAAAGGTACACGACTTATCCGTCATTATCATGGTCTTTAGTAAAAAAAAATAAACTATCTTTTTTGCAAATGAAATACACAAATAACTGGTTTTGGATTCGAGTTAACATGTGCATTATACAATTCATATTCATGAATGTATGTGAATAGCAGAATTTTACTCAAAACATATATGAACGTGAGCCAGGGTTATTTTTTACACTTTATATATTGAACTTTAACATCCACAGATTGATTACACTTCAAATATACATGCTACAAACATATATATATTTTTTTTTGAGAGAGAGCATAAAACGCTGAGATAGGAAGAAATCTATCTAGATATTATTTTAGAAAAATTATGTGCACCTATTTTCATTTTATTACTCTTAGTCTTAATTTTAATTTATACAATACGTACTCTATAATTTAAACCTCTTTAATTTGATAAGGTAGCAAAGCGTTCGGCAAGTAATGAACAATACACTCGACTGATTTGATTTCTGATTCAGTCTTAAGTGTGAGCTGACGATCTTCGCTTCCGACGAGCTTTAAAGCTGGTTCTAAATGAAGTTCCCAGCTTACGTATCACACAGTAAAAAACTAGTGGAACTTTAAAAAAATATAAAAATTTTTTAAGTCAAATGGGACTATAGTATAATGAGTTTGTTTAACCGTCTATAACCGGTTCCCTCTCATTGATTAATTACATTATTTTCTGTTTAAAGTGGCTTCAATGGATCCAGTTCAGTATCCTGGTCAGTACCTTTGTTGTTTCATTCTCGCGCCAAAAATTTGAAAACTTCCAGAGAAGAAAAAAAAAATTAAGGTATTATTTATTTTATAGTATTTATATGTCTCAGAATAAATTTGTTAAAAAACTGAATTAATTAAACGCGCATCACATAGTAAAAATATCAAATCATTTCTTCTTGGGACGTTACTTAAAAATTCCGTTTTCCACTGGTCCAAAATTGTCAAGACATCGGCTTTATCTTGACATATTTACCAGAAAACGGTCATACAAAATATAAGAAATTTCAAGTTAACTTTGTGTTTATAAATATGGATAATAATGATTCAAAAGCAACAGATGAAATTTCTGCTCAGCAGTCTATTGCGTTGAGACGTGAACTACGTAGAAAGAAAATATTGGAAGCCTCTAAGTCACGACTAGACAAATTAAATGGCAGAGTTTCAGCACTACAGAACGAAAACATAGGTAACACGTGATAATTTATGCACAGCTAAGTACATTGTTCATATGTACATCATTCATACATATGTAAATAAAAGTCTTGTGATTTCGGTCAAAATCCACATCAAATTGAAATCTTTTCAGAAACCATACAAAAATGTTTTTTATACATTATATTTGATTATTAATTTCTTTCAGATGACGGACCTACAAATACCCAATACTCCGACCCAGAGGTGGAGCCGGATATTCCCGTTAAACGTTCATTTTTGCCGGAACAACCTGCGACCCCGGTAGTCAGTGCTCCAAATATATTGCTGAAGAGCAGAGTTCACATTATCTTGGCAGCTGTCGTAGGATTCATACTAGCGTTATATACCAATAGCAGCGTTTTCTTTCCTGTTCTGCTCTTTGTGATTTTGGAACTTGCATTTCTGCAGTATCATAAACGCGACTGCTTGCCGCCCAGCGTGGGACCGATGTTACTTATGTTCATTAATCCAAATATTACCAACAAAATTAAGCAGTTTAGCAGTATATTTTTGATCCTCCAGTCACTTTTGGGTGATCTTGCTATCACTGTCTGTGTGGTGTGCTCAGGAAGCGTGTTGTTATTAAATTTTAACTCTGATTTTGTTACCGTCTTGAAATAAAGATAATAGTTGTGACTTTTGAGTTTTATTAAGGGAAACTAGATTATTATAAGCAAGGGTCTAAAAATCCAGACCCTTCTATTATTTTAAACTAAATATTTAAACAAATATCCTAGAAATCCTCTTATTTTTTATTAAAAGACTAGTCTCGAATTAAAATCTCCCGCCTTTGCGATTTCAACACTGGTAGGGACTTTGAAAGTTATGCAACACTAGGGTATTTTTTAAATATCTACTTATGTATGTGTGTGAGACCGTTATCTTAAAACTTAATCTAAATATTTAAATAAAAATGTAATTTTCATTAACAAGGTTTAATAAAAGGTTTTTAATAAATATTAAAGAATTAAACCTAATAATCAGATGTATAAAAAATTATCTTATATAAAAATTGAAATGCGTCAGATAAAAAAAACTAAACACAAAAATAATTCAAATTCTAGTAAGGGTTTCAGCATTGTAACCTCAAGTCCTAGCAATATTCAAATGGTGGTACAAAACACCTTTACTGAGCATGCTCAGAAATGCAAAAAAGGAAAAGTGCCCACCCTCGCCTGTGGGCCTGCGCATACTTTGTATCGATTTTAAGACTGTGTACTTATTTCATAAGCTTGTAGCGAAAAGATGTTTTCATAAACAAGTGCTACGTTGAAATCTGTGCTAAAAAATATATGATTGGTGGAAACAGACTCCGTAGATAAGTACAATTATGCAGCCGTTAAAAATGGCATAACACCGTGCTTCTACAAAAGGATATTCGCGTTTTTAAACAGTCTTGGCAGATTTTTTCCCCCGAGTAATAAAAAACTAATAAGGTAAAAACGGCCTCTAGTTTTAGTATCCATAGAAATACTTTGAGATATTATTTTTAAGCAAAGAGTGTTCTTGACGTGTTTTTTCTTGCACATTCCTGCTTACGCGCAGAGTATGCATATGAGGCATGAGTACTTTGATTAAAAATCAATATTTTAAAATAACCTCACCAACAACAGCGAAGGAGGGCGTTCGAGGGTCTTATTGATTTAAACCTTAATTCCAGCCACCATGGGAACGGTGTTGAGTTTTAATCCGCGGGATCGGCATCCCATATACTCGTCTCAGCCAAATTTTCAATATAATCACTCGACCGATATACGAAACGAAAACGACAGTACTGGTTCAATTGATTCACACCTAAATAACTTCTCGTACGAGCAATTAAATAACGCCAAGAACAGGGAGAACAAGAAGTCGGCCTGCCATCAAATGTCCAAGAACGTCATAGGACAGCCTGGTACTTGTGGGGGAGTGCACATAAACCTACAGACACAAACTCAGCTGAGCTCGCACAATTTGAACAACTTGACAAATGCCTCCAAGGATACGATTACCAATGTCCTGGACAGCCACAACGAGAACTCGGTCCTCAAGGCGGAGAAGAGCTCCTTCGAGAAGAACCTGAAGAAGCACTCGATCTTCATAAACGCCCTCTCCTGGAAGAAGCTCTCCACGTCGCATAACAAGAAGAAGATCGAGAACAAGAACAAGTGTGCAAACCTGCCCACTGCCTGCTTCAAGGCCCAGCTCCTGGAGTCCTCCGCGTTCGCCTCCTCCTCGGACAAGAATCGAAACATCCAGCTGCACTGCAACCGCATCGAGGAGCACAACCAGCAGCACTGCAACCAGCATCAGCACCAGCATCAGCATCAGCACCAGAATCAGAATCAGAATCAGGCCCAGGACATCCGCGAGGAGGTCATCACCGGACCGCCCAGCAAATCGCAGAACCCTTCCAAGGCGAAAGACCCCGTCAAGGTCAACAACAAGAACTCGATATCGCACCACAACAAGCTCATCCAGAAGCAGCCCCTGACGCTCAGCCTGCCCCAGCAAGTCCAGGCATCGTCCATTCAGATCAAAAATACCAACCAGATCCCTCGCAAGACCGTCATTCAGGTTAGTAATCTGGCAGGATTTACCAAGTTATATATACCCATCTATTCGTTTAAGATCCTTTAATAAATGGTTTTTTTCAACCGCTTTATATAATTTATATTATTGATTCACTTTAGATAATTTAGATATTTTTTTCACAAACATTTTGACAGTCTGAACCGAATTAAAGTAGTTTTTGTCATGATTAGAAGTCAGATTTACAGTGAATTAATTTATTTCCAGTCATTCAAGATTATTTTTAAGAAATTGCGTCAATCAACTTACTTAAGAGCTTGTCTCGTTTGAATACATTTCATTTTTATTTTATTTTTAAAGATTTTTCTGGGCCAATATGGTAAATTTTCTATTATTTTATTTGCGTTTTGTGAAGCTTAAAGCAAAAACTACTTGCTTTGAAGTCAAGTTAAATTTAAGGAAGTTAAACTTCACTTTTATTAAACTTTTCTTTAACCGTAACTTGATAAAAATCTATGCGTTGGCCGAAGGACTTCAGTTTCCAGTGCCATTTTCTTTAAATTAATTTTAGTATTGTATACTAGCTTTAATATGACAAAATAAATAAAAATAAAAAATCTATGCAGGCATCTACTTCGGAATTGCTTAAGTGCTTGGGAATGTTTTTGCACTGTCGTTGTCAAAGACTAAACAACTTCGATGCCGGAGATGCTGTAATGTGGCTGAGAGCTGTGGATCGCAGCCTTTTGCTCCAAGGATGGCAGGTATGAGATCTTAACACTCCAAATTTCTGATCGAAATTTCTTAAAAACATGTTCCTTGGATTTATAGGATGTAGCGTTTATAAACCCGGCAAACGTGGTATTTGTCTACATGCTAGTTCGCGAATTGGTTAGCGGAGAAGAGAGCAAGGAATCAGATCTTCAGGCTTCAGTACTCACCTGTTTGTATCTGTCCTACTCGTACATGGGCAATGAAATTAGCTATCCTCTCAAACCATTTTTGGTTGAAGACTCAAAGGAAAAGTTTTGGGACAGGTAATACTATATGCTTAATTAAGCTTTCATCTTTGAATATACATAGAGTCCAAATAAAGTACAAAACATATTTATCTCCTTTATTGATTTCTAACCCCATACCCCATTTTTATTTTACAGATGCCTCGTCATTGTAAACAAGCTAAGTGATAAAATGCTTAAAATCAATGCTGAGCCTGGATTTTTTACCGAAGTCTTTACTGAGCTGAAATCTTGTGGTCAATATCATCCTACAATTAAATCGTACTGCGGAGGCGCCTGACGGACGGACGACCGGGAGATTATTGTCAACCTCTCATTGTCTGCGCATCGCCAGAAATTTCCCGACGAAATGATGGCGAAGTACCGTTAATAAAACTTAATATTTTATAAAACATTAGACAATTTCATTATGTCACTATCACAATCGTTCAAATCAAATAATAAAGATTAGTGTTTAAATAAATTAACATCTACGATATGTGTAAAACAAACGTTTCGCTTTTCTGGTTGGTTTGAGGGTCTAGTAAAAAGGATTAAGGCTTATTGAGATTTATATGCAAATAAATGGTAATTTATTTTACACCTTATATACATAAATCGTTCCATGATCTAGAAACTATTAAGAGCAATTTAATTTGGATACAGTATATCGTAGTGGCCTGGTCTATAAATCAGGTAAATTCTGGGCTCAGTTCCCTCGGGGAAATCGTGGGCCTTGACGGTGCCGCCTTCGCCTCGATCCAAGTACTCAACCCGTACCCCTGCGCCGAGGGCAGTGCAAAGGGCGATTATGTGGATGTGATCCGACTCCTTGTACATCGGTTCCACTTCGAGATGCCGGAAGGCCTCGATGGTTAGGTCCCCCTCGATGAAATTCTGGTAAAAGTCGGCCTCCTCCTGCAGTTTTCCCGAGGTAATCAAACGGAGGTAGACCACCACGTAGTCCGAATATCCCTGCTCGTTGAAGATTTTGTGCAACTCGCTCTGAACCTGGCTGTGTCCGCCTGGATTGTCGGGACTGACGCGCTTGATGACCTCCATGAACTAGGTAATACAAAGGGCATAAGTAATACAATTCACGCTTGACAAGATGTACTTACGGTCTCATGGAAGTCCTCTAGGGTGAAGCTGGGAAATCCCAGCTGAACTAGCTTCTCCTTGGACTCCTCGGCCAGCTTGCGGAACTCCTGATAGGCACTGCTGTTTGAGATCAAGTACTCCAAGTACGAGTAGGCGAAGGCCCGGAAGAAACAATTGCCATCGGGGCGGGTGCGGCGAATGAACTTGTACTTCTTGGCGAGGTCCTGGATCTTGGCGGTGAAGATCTCGTCGCCATTGTACTCCGCCCACAGGCAAGTCAGGGGCAACTGCTCGCTGACCAAGGGAGTAGTATCACTGATCTGAAATTATTATGCAGGGCGTTATTATTGCCCTGTACACTGCCTTCTTTCTGCACACTCACCTCCTTCTCGATGTCCCGCTGCTGCTGAATAATTAGCTCGTCACGATTGCCGTCGTTCTGCTTAAACGATTCCATGTTTCTGTTTCCGTAAGTACCGAACAATTGAAGTCGGCGTTCCGTTTGGATTTACAAATTTGTGTTCATTTGATGAATAAACTGAGAATTCCTGTTCATCATATGTATGTGTAAGCGCATCGAATATTACACACACACGTTCAGAAGCGAAGCCCCCAGACACATTGATGCTTTCGATTTTATCGCAGCGTTATCGATATGGGGTTCCACTTCCAATTATTTCTTTTGTTTTATTTATTATTAAATAAATTATTATTATAAATAAAAATAAAACAAAATAAGGTAATACGATTTCATAACTTTAATTTAAATATTTTTAATAATAAGCTTTACACCGAGACTACCATAGTTCTTTAAACTATCGATTGCAAATTCTCCCGCTAAAAAAATTTAAATTTGAATTCAATTCATTTTCCAAACTCTCTTAAGTTATAACTCAATATTTGAACTGTAATAAGTTTATTTATATTTATCCCAATTCGTCAGAAAGTACATAATAAAATATTTAATTATTACATTTTGATTTTAGGGTGTATAATAGGTGGGATCAATATTCCAATTTTGCAATTTTGCGTCAATCCACGGACGAAGATAGGCCACGTTGGCATACAAACCGGGGATGTTTTCTTCGCCACAGAGGACTCCCCAGGAAATAATTCCGGCCGACACAAATCGGTCTTTCTGGCCCTTAATTGGGCATACTAGGGGGGAACCTCCGTCTCCCTTGCAAGTATCCTTGTCCTTTTCGCCGCCAGCGCAAATGAAACTGTCGTGTAAAATAAAGTGCCTGCCGAGACGAGTTTCTCGCAGGTTTGCCTGGCACTGTTGTGCAGGCACCACGGGCATATCCACCTTTTTCAGGATTACCTGGTATTCCCCGTCCTTGCCAAACTGGTTTTTGCCCCAGCCGGTTGCATAACAACGATCAAAATCAAAGTTCTCACCCACATTGGGCAAACAAACTGGTTGAATGTTTGGTTTGGAGGAAAATGGGCTTTCCAGTAACATAAGAGCAATGTCGTTGTAAAGGGCTCCCTTATTAAACTGTTCATGATACACTATTTCCTTCACATGTCGGTCCTCATGGCCAATGATTTCTTGCGTTATTTGCGTGTCCCATTCCCCAGCTCTCACTGAAATTATTAGCTTAGAATTAGTATTAGAAATAACATTAAAGACACTTTCTTACCAACAATAGAACTCCGTTCTTTGTTGCGAGCACAATGAGCCGCAGTCAAAACCACATTCGGAGCTATCAAAGCTCCTCCGCATTCGTACACGTTACGTGGTCCTTCTTCTCGGAGAATTGCTAACATCCAAGGGAATTCTCCAAACTCGGCCTCCTGGTTTACAGCTCCAATAATTTTAAAGCCAACGCCGTTGGAATTCTTGTAACCACAGCCCTTGGGATTATCAGGTGCAATCGGGAATATAGGGTCAACGCTCTATATTACCAGATTAGATAAAAAATTGGAATAAAAACTTTTTTAACATTTTTTACTTTTACTTCACCTTGTTTGAAAGATCACAGCACAGGTCCATATAGTTTTTGCATTGTGAGCCAGATCCGATTCGAATATCAATTAGACCTTCTCCATTGGTGTTAATCGTGCCACTTTTACACAACCAACGGCGAACACACTCTTTTTGATAGCCACAGGATTCAATTTGGACTGATCCTGGATTTGCATTTGAAGTAATTGGTCCGATTGAGCTACGTGTATCACCGGTTCTAAAAATTTCTGCAATCAAATTGTCCACGGAAGTGTTTTGCGCTCCACAAGTTAAAATGCAGGCGCATAATATAAGGAAATTGAGTAATATCATGTTACTGAAAAATAAAAATACGATTTCTTGGTAAAATCTTTCAAAATATGTGCCTAAACATCCGCTTGGGTGGATATTGCCTATTCTTACACATTGGTTGGGTAAACCATAAAATACTTCAGCACAAGAAGATACAATTTTCTTTCTTCAACACAAGATCATCTATATTTTTTTTAAAGCTTTAAAATTTGAACTTTTTTTTTCTCTCACAAGACTTTATATATTAAATTATAAGCGAAAAAACAACCTTTCAGTATACGACTGAGCGATAATTATCATGGCTTTTAATGCTAACAGTACTTTTATTTGTTAATAAAAATGCCATATAACTGGTGTTAGTTACAATGTAACACGTGCATTAAAAATGTTTATCAATGCCCATATGACCATATATAAATGTCATAAGCCAGAACTTTTTTATACACTTTATTCATTAATCTTTAACATCTGGCAGAATAAATACATATGTATATGGATGTATATTTACACAGGTATTCAATTATAAAGACATTTCCCTAAAATATATTTTGAATATATATTTTGAATTGCTTATTAGAAATCGATTTCAAAATCGCACTTCAAGATTTTTAAACTTAAAAGTAAATTTTAATCATAGCAAAAAAAATTTAAGATAAGTTTTCATTTTATGCTTTAGCGAGGATATAAACATTATTACTGGATGTATCTTCCTAAATAGTGAGTGAGCAAAATCTTTTAGGACTTAAATCGCGCAGACAGGAAGATCTTAAAGTTAAGTTATTAAAATATAATACATACTCGTTTGCTTAGACTTATTTAATTTGACGAGGTAGCGAAACGTTCGGCCAGCAATGAACCAAAATCACAACTAATTTGATTTCTGAAACAATCTTTCTTAAAGCCAATCAGCTTTAAAGCTGCTTCCCAATAAAGTTCTTAGCTTACGTTTTACACAGAAAATTCCAGTTTCAATTTAAGAGTCAGTTATATTCTATGATAGAATTTCTATCATATCAAATGGGACTTTTAAACGTTGAATAGAATCTACTAAAACCCCTTATATTTCTGCAGTTTTTATAAATTCATTTGATATAGAAGACTTTAACTTAACTTTCCATTACATTTAAACTGGTTTTGTTCAGTGTAACACGTAAGCTGGGAACTATAGTTAAAACCAGCTTTAAAGCTTCTTTACATTCTGTGACCCCGTCGGTTTTGGTTTGTTGATTTCCAAACCAATCGTCCCCAAAACCATCAACGGTTTCGGTGACACCCACAACCTTAAAACAAGAAATTATATTATTGTTATTATTATTAACAATTTATTATTATAAATTAACACTAGATTTTTAAGAAACAGGGGGATTCCCTAAACTGTTGAATTGCTGAATTGTTGAATTTTGGTCAGCTGTTAATTAGCTGTTCCATACAAAGTCAACTTTCAGAAATTTCAGCAATTCAACAGCCTCGGGGCTGTTTAAAATTTTGTTGAATTGCTGAAAAGCCAGAGTTGTCACCTTTTTTTAAAAGTCGTGGCAACTCTGTAACATTTTAGTATCACCAGTAAGCATTATTTATTTTAAAATAAACTTTGAAAGCATATTTGTGGTTCTTTTTACCTTGGTAACACTTTTAGACAGTAACTAGCAATAATAAATCAAATTTTACATGCTTTAAGTTCCGTGAAACTTTTCAACAAATAACAGCTGTTTGAAAATTCAACAGGAACCATTTTGGGTCGTTCCCTTAATTGCTGAAATTTTTGTTGAATTTTCAACAATTCAGCAATTCAACAGTTTAGGGAATCCCCTATAATTAAATAACGAATTTTAAAAATGATAATAATCGATAGAGCCTAGTAAAACATGCATCCAAACAATTTAAAAACATCGATACATTGAGTTTTCTATCGCTGTTTTTCCACCCCTAGTCTTGTGCATGGAAAAAGAAGAGTAAAAAAATCACATTTGTCACAACGTTTTCGCTTCAAATAGAATATCTGCTAGGACATGGATAACTTCGGCTTTGGAGGCGCCGAGCTGAGCAAGGGACAAATGTTCCAAGTGCTGATTCGTCTTTCTGTGGCCTCGCTGATAACGTTTTATTCGGTGAAATGGATGATGAACCAGTTGGACCCGACCAGTAAAAACAAGAAAAAAGCCAAAGTCCTGGCCGAAGAGCAGTTGAAAAGGTTTTTATTGATTTAAGATAGAGAAGGGCGTTATTTATGACACTTATCTAAATTCTTGCCTTGCAGACTGGCCGAGAAAGACGGGTTCAAGCTGAATGCCCAAGAGTTTAACGACTACGAGTTAATGATTGCGTCACATTTGGTTGTTCCGGCCGACATAACAGTCAGTTGGTCCGATATCGCCGGTCTGGATACCGTCATTCAGGAGCTGAGGGAATCGGTGGTTCTGCCGGTCCAGCACAAGGATCTCTTCAAGCGCTCGAAGTTGTGGCAGGCGCCCAAAGGCGTTCTGCTCCATGGGCCTCCCGGCTGCGGAAAAACGCTGATAGCGAAGGCGACGGCAAAGGAGGCGGGAATGCGCTTTATCAACTTAGACGTCGCCATTCTCACCGATAAGTGGTACGGGGAATCCCAGAAATTGACTTCGGCCGTCTTTTCGCTGGCTGCGAAAATCGAGCCATGCATCATATTCATTGACGAAATCGATTCCTTCCTGCGTTCCCGCAACTTGAACGACCACGAGGCCACCGCCATGATGAAGACCCAGTTTATGATGCTGTGGGATGGCCTCAGCACAAACTCCAATTCGACTGTGATCGTAATGGGCGCCACGAACAGACCTCAGGATCTGGACAAGGCCATTCTCCGCAGGATGCCAGCTCAGTTCCACATTGGCCTTCCTACCGAAACGCAGCGAAACGACATTCTGAAATTGATTCTGCAGTCGGAGGAAATAAGCCAGGATGTCGACCTGAACCGCTTGTCCAAGCTCACAAATAACTTTTCGGGCTCTGACCTCCGGGAAATGTGCCGGAATGCATCGGTTTACAGGATGAGGCAGCTCATCACTTCTAGCGACCCATCCGGCGCAGCTCTGGATCGAAATAACGTTAGCATCACCATGGATGATTTGCTAAGCTCACACTTAAAAATTAAGGAGTCTAAGATGCACACGGGAAGTCTATTTTTAGAAAATAGAATCGAGTTAGACTAAGTTTATTATTGTTGATTTCATGCAGTCAATATATCCAAAAACTTAAATAGTTCTAATACATTGTTTATTTTTCTTTCGCTTGGAAATAATCAGAGGTGTGTGTGATGAGTAATAATAGAAAATGTTCCATAGGGAGCTTCTTATCGGAAATGGTTTCTGTCAGTTACTTAACCCTGTTCTGTAATCACCAAATGGGTGTACGGAAAATGCAATTTATTCACTCTTGAAAACTGCAACGGATACTGCAGGAAATTACATAATTCATGGCGTTTCCGTAAACCGGAGCTCAATGCACTTTAATTACTACAGGAGCGAGCTTCTTTGAAATATTCACCTAGAGAAATTTCAAACATTTAAAAAAATATTGCACTTGTACAAATGCATATAAAACTAAAGTCACGCGACCGCGGGCTTTCAATCGTAAAGAAATATAAGTGTACTTTTGCTGATTTATCCACTTCCAAGAGGGCAAGTTAAATCTCTGATGATTTTTGCATTTGCTTAGTAAAAATAAAAAAGGCTGTTTTATATTTTAATGGAATTTTTGAACGAAATTTCTAGCGCAATAAATTAATGTATTAACCTAAAAAAAACATTTAAGAAAAAAATACATTAATTGTAGTGTATTCAAAGTTCAGTTCAAGAAATTAAACTTCATAAATTTTTAATTATGTTTCATGTTCATATAAATACTTTCTTGGAACGGCGAAAAAATCATTTCTGTTCAAGGCGTTGAACAAACCACATCCCAAATCCAAGCGAGACTAAAAAAAATTTTAAGAATGAACCCTATGGTAAGCTATACTCAAAAACGTCTTGTAAAATGTTACTTACAAATTTCCCATTTCAGATAACTTTCTTTCCTGGATATTTATTTATACCTTTAATCATTTTTGGAAGTGCGGCACAAAGTAATTCCTATGCTGTGAATAAAAGCAGAAATGTTGAAAGCCATGATTGGAGCTATCCTGATTTCGGAAAGGAACCTATTCATAATACCGGAAGAAGACCGGACAAACTGGCTATGCAACATTTTAACCGAGAGCCTGATCGAAACGTGACTTTAAAGCGCGGCCTGAAAACCTATCAAAAGCCATCCGAGAGAATAACGAGACATAAAAACAAATATAAACCGCCAAATGCTCTGAGGAAAAATGTCAGTCCCCATTACACGGATGACAGTTCGGAAAGTAAGCACTACCACACTTTTGAGGAAATTCATGAGCATATAGATGAAGAGGATGGACAGTACCAGGCATCTGAGCAAATCGGAACCCAATCCATTCTGCATGAACAGGGGGAACAGCAGCAACACTCAAGTAAGAAGGATAGCAAGCGGATGAAAGTCAAGATCAAGCATCATCATCACCACCATCATCACAACCACATCAAGGAAATGATTAAAACAGTCCCTCAACCGTATCCCGTGGAAAAAGTTGTGCACGTACCCATTGAGAAAATTGTGGAGAAGATCGTACATGTACCCAAGCTTGTAAATGTAACGGTTGAGAAAATAATACATGTGCCAATTGAAAAAATTGTGGAGAAGGTGATACACATCCCCAAACCGGTCCAAGTTCCAAAACCATATGTGGTCGAAAAAATCATTGAGAAAATAGTCCATGTCCCAAAACCGTATCCAGTTCTACGGACCGTGCCCTATCCAGTGGAAATCAAAGTGCCCCAGAAAGTGCCAGTTCCCTACAAGGTTGAGGTAGAACGAAAGGTCCCAGTTTACATTCGATCAAGTGAGCCATATAAATTCGAGCCATCACCTTTTGAACACTATCCCCGACCGGAGGAGTTCAAATACAATGTGGAATTGGAGCATCCGCCGCCTAGAGAGCATGAGCCTTCTTCTCTACCATCATCAAATTATTATAACAGGGTATATAAATCAAGGGAACTGGACCATCCCCCGAGGATAGAAGACTATCAAAATACAATACCATCGCAGTATGGTCAGGAATATGTAACCAAAAGCAGTACTGAGCCGCAGTATAAGCAGGAATACATGACCAAAAGTAATCTGGAACCGCAGTATAAGCACGAATACATAGCCAAAAGTAATCTTGAAACAACTTCTACTGGACGAGATGCAGTTTCCCTCAAACTTGTGGGTCCCACTACTCATTTTAATATAACGGGAAAGGATTTGGAGACCGCAAACTCAGCTCCAGAATTTGTTAATAGCTCAAATGTAGACCTAAGTCCGCAGGAATCGGCTAATGCCTTTCGCGGAATGCCTTTCTCCTTTCCATTCCAATTTGTTCAGCTGCAACCAATGGGCTTTCAAAATGCTATAAACTTGGAACTACCAGTTCCATCCACAGCAGCTGAGGGACCTCAGAAGTAAATTAAGGAACAGCTGTTGAACTTAATCCTGCCTATAAAAACTGTTACATATGACTAGAATTCATTGCTTTTAATTTGGACTCCAACAGAATTATAAACAACAATAAAAATAGATTAAATTCTAGAACGTATTAAACACTTTACCGAAATATTTGATATATGTTGTAAATTATGTCTAAAAACGAAAATTATTTAAGAAAATATATTTAAAAACTTGTACGTAATAAAAAAAATTGGTAAACGAGAGGATAAACTCTGTTAGACATTTGTTTTGACCTATGTATCGTACTCCTACAGTTAATTGAGCAAAAAAAAATGTACACCTCGTCAAAAGTTTTACTGATAATGGATATACAATTTAAAAAATCAATCAGAAATCTGTAATCTTTTGCAAATTAGATCCAAAATAAGACAAAAAACCTTTTACATAACAGTCGGACTCGACCGTAGTCTGGACAGGGCCTTACAGGAACACCATTAATGTTAATCGAAAATCGATGACGATATCCAGAATTTATTCCAATCGCATTCTAAAAGACACAAAATAGTATAAATACCAAAATATAATTCAAGGATATAACTACTATCTTATTTGTTTGTTATAAACATATGTTTAGGACTGAAATTGTAATAAAACTTTGGTAACAATGGGTCGGCCACCTCAGTCACTTGGCATTCCGGTCGGCAACAACATTTGTAAATCGATGTAGTGACGTTGTTGTGTGTCATTGTTTTTATCAATTAGGGAACAATTTTAGGGGAATCGTGATTGTTATTTGATGTAATTGGTACTTGAAGACTTCTTTTGTGAAAATGTGCGCAAGATCCGCTCAATAAGGTAGAAAACATTGCCTGTTTATTAAAATGATTTCAGAGCAACCTGATGTCGCGTACATACATACATACGTTTGTATGCAAGCAAATGCAAACAAGCAGTTACATCAATAATCAAGGCCGATTTCCGTTTAACTTACAAATGTACATACAAATGTATATAGACAGCTGTGTAAAATATAAAATGATGGTTCCTTAAAGATACTTAAACAAACAGCTAGTCACCATTCATATTTAATAAATACGATTTTATTTAATCATTACAACTTTTTCTTATACAGCCTTTAGTTGGAAATAATGAATTCCAAATCCGATCATGAAGCCGAAAAAGAAAAAAAGTTAACCATTACTAATAGATTTAGTGACTCCCTGGAGAACTATGAACTATCCAACGAGAGCGAGCACAAAACCCATGTTTATCCAAAGAAGATTCCCAATAGAAAAAATGGAATATTAAAGTAAGTAGATCAGATGGCAGTTATTAAATAAAGCTAATCAACTTACAATATTTAGAAACAGCGAGGGAAACCATGGAGCTGTGGAAAATCCCTATCACGAGGATGTTGATTTGGCAGACATTCTTGGAACAAATTGGCCCAAACGAGCGGGAGCGGCTGCTATGATTTTAAACAACAAAAGCAAATCGGCAACAGAACCAAATATTTGCGAAGATACAATTCTGAAACCATCTTCCCCTACATTACCAAAAGTTGAACCAGAGGAACCCCTACGTAAGTTTCTGTTAGCGGTTTGCCTAGAAGCTTAAAGAGGAATTCTTGTATTGGTTGAGCGCGATAACGGGGAAGTCCCTATTTTTAATAACTTTAAAGCGTTATGAATACAAAACAAAGTTTAATGATTAGGATTTTTTGTTGATTTGGGGCACTTATTTATGGTTTTAAGTTTTTTTACTCAAAAGTTGCACTACAGTTAAACTTTTCAAACAGGAAATCACTCTTGAGGCTTTTATTAACATAAATCTTTGTTCGCTATTATTATTATTAGTTCACACACTTGTTTACATATTTCTCTGTATAAAAATAATCGTTTTATACTTCGAAGTTCCATATTTCCTTTTTTTTTTAACTATGCAATAGATAATAGATAATTTTACAACGATAAATTTTTAAACCTATAATCGATGATTTTTTAAAGTTTTTGTAAGTTATTTATTCACTTTGCTATCTTGCAAAACATCTCAGAAGAAAATGTGCATTTATTTTTAGACCGCCGGCCAAATACATACAAATACATATATTCTATTTACGTTCACGTAAAATGCCAGTTCTCTGAGTTGATACATGCAGTTGTTGAGGAGTTTTATTTGCGTTGAACTTTGTCAAAGCTCACAACTGCTAAATAATATTAACATCATTAACGAAACCGTGCTGTGCGAATATTCAAAATGAATATGTACCAAAAACCAGTGTCTTCTGAGTTGGATATCCACAACAATATCCCATTGACAGTGTTGGAATTTTATTCACCGAATTACATGCCCGAAGAACCGGGTATGTTTGATTACGAAACGGAACGCTATTTCAGAAAGAGGGACACTTTGAGTTTCTGAGGGAGCTGTTTCTAGATTTTAAGAATACCACAAGAAAGATCTTTCTAATTTTTGTATTTTTATTTATTCTAGGATTCACAATCGCTGATTACCAGCCTCTGATTGAAATACCTGGAACCGAGCTAGCGATTGGTTCCCTTGTAGAAGTCTCGAATTCTGGAGTGTGTGACGATTTATATGGCGTTATAAGATGGATTGGTATTCCTCCTGGGCTACCAAGAAACGTACTCGTTGGTATAGAGGTTGAAGACGAATCAAACTTGAAAAATGTTGTGACATCGGATGGAAGGCATAATGGTGTTCGGTATGATATTTTTGATAACTCTAAATTAGGAGTACAATTTTCTCACTTCTCTTCCAGTCGCATATATACTAAAAACTATCTTTTTATCTCGCATTGTTTCAGCTTATTTACTTGCCACGATGGTCGAGCTATTTTTGTACCAGCCAACAGATGCACTGCTGACCGACGATTCGCTGATGTTGATAATAGTATTTCTGCAAACAGAGTTTCCACTAACCAAGCAAAGAAATTTGGTGTCGCTGACTGCCCAGCTATTTATGGTTCGATACCACCACTAGGTAAGTGGTAAACACACTTGAGAGAATGTAAATAAATTTACTTACTTATTTACTTATTTGTTTTTAGAAATACACAGCTCTGAAGAGCTTGCAAGTATTTGTGGGAAGTTCAAAGGAATACAAGGACACCATAATTCCTGCTATCTTGATGCCACACTATTTTCAATGTTCACATTCACCAGTGTGTTTGATTCAATTCTGTACAGGCACCCGGGACCACAAGTAAGCAATTCAAATTGTCTACCGATTTCCATAATTTATTATATTTTCCACAGGACATTCGTAATTATGGTGAAGTTCAGAAGGTTTTGCGCGATGAAATCGTCAATCCACTGCGAAAAAACGTTTTTGTGCGATCTGATCGTGTGATGAAGCTTCGCGAATTGTTGGATCAGCTTAGTTCTGTTAGCGGTCTCACCTGCGAGGAGAAAGATCCAGAAGAGTTCCTAAATAGTTTGCTCTCACAAATAATGCGAGTTGAACCCTTTTTAAAGGTGAGCTGATATACCATTTGTTTAAGTTTATTACTAAATAACTAATTCCTTTTATAGCTAAGCTCGGGACAAGATTCTTATTTTTACCAATTATTCGTGGAGAAGGATGAAAAGTTAACATTGCCGAGTGTCCAGCAACTGTTTGAGCAAAGCTTTCACTCCTCGGATATAAAACTCAAGGAGGTTCCTTCTTGTTTCATCATTCAAATGCCTCGTTTCGGAAAAAATTATAAGATGTATCCAAGAATATTGCCATCGCAAGTACTTGATGTGACGGACATTATTGAAAATTGTAGGTTTTCGCAATGCTCTGTTTTAAAATTTTATTAATTAATCGAATACCTTACCCTAGCTCCACGACAGTGCTCTCTTTGTGGCAAACTGGCTGAGTACGAATGCCGCGATTGCTTTGGTAGCCTGCAAGCTGGGTCGGGACTTGAATGCACAGCGTTTTGTCCAAAGTGTCTTAAAACGTTTCACTCTCACATCAAGAGGTTCGATAGCTTAAATAAGTAAATACTCGTATATCACTGAAACCACTTTCTTTCAGAACTAATCATGTGTCGAAGAAGATCTACAGCCCGAAAGAATTTAGAATCATGGCCGAGCACATGGTTGTTCCGCGATTGTACATGGAATTATTTGCAGTCGTGTGCATAGAAACGTCTCATTACGTGGCGTTTGTAAAGTCTGGGTCTGGGCCTGATGCACCGTGGTGCTTTTTCGATTCAATGGCGGATAGAAAAGGTAAGCTCCCCGCTCATGTTAAATACACTGAACAATCCTTTTACAATTGGCTTACCATTTTAACTTCTGGATTATATTTCGGTTCTCATCAATTGTAGGATTAATAAAGTGGGAAGTAAAAAGAACTTGGCTACCATCAGAACAGTTTATATTTTCTGAACAAGCCATTTCCTTCCGAACACTCGTTTTATTGTTTTGTTTGCCCTAATCATTTTTTCATCAATCATTTCAGGTGAACAGAATGGATACAATATACCTGAAATTACGTGTGTTCCAGAATTAACACAGTGGCTCTCGGAAGAAGGCGCACGATCTATAAATGAAACTTCAACGAACGATAAAGTATTACCTGAACACGCTAAGCGTATTTTTTGCGATGCCTATATGTGTCTGTACCAAAGCACAGATATTATGATGTACCATTAGAACAAATTTATCTATAATAAAGATGGATACAATAAACATTTTTGTAAAATTCACCAGTGCAATGAATTTTGTAATTATTTATGGATATTGGTAATTTCGTAAGTAAACTTTTAAGGAATTGTTTGGTAAGCTTAGTATTACCACACAAATCGGGCATATTCTTATCCAATTAGTCTAATAGTACAATTATAATCAATACAATATTACCAGAAGAAGATAAATTATAACAACAAACTTTTGAAGCACAGGGCGGCAACACTACTACTATTTTGACCGCAGCTGTATACTTTTATGTTTTTTGACTATGTTTTCTAGAATTTGTTTCTCCCTTTAAAAAAAATCGTAAAATTATTCTAAGTATGGGGTTTGAAAGATAAAGAGTGTGTAATTTGAAAAACTTTAACGTTTAAACAAACCATAAATCCGTTTGCTTCTGAGGCCTCCGGAGAGATGGCCAGTTTCAGCATTTTTCGAACTTTGAGGTCCTTGTGCTAAGAATCCGTGCGTCGGGGAACTTTTTGGAAAACGCAGTTTAGCTTGGGTATTCGAAACGAATTCAAAAATATAGCATCCATCGAGGTAAATTTAAAAAGCATTCATTTTGTTGCACAGTGTTACCTTTCGAGTCCATGCAAAAAAAACAATGAAGCCATTTCGATTTTTCATTAATCCCGGCGAATCGACTTATGTATACTCTATAGTATATGGGCACTTCCAAAATGTCGCTCGGGACATTTGCACACCTTTAAAGTTGAAAAAAAATTGTAAAACAATGGATTTTAATTTTAATTATGGGCTTTTCTATTCACTCTTCCCAAGCTCTATTTTTGGTAAAAATCTTGATTTTGTACCACTTTTAGTTTTTAAGATATCGGTAAAAAACTGCCATATTCGCTCGGGACAAAAATAGAAGTGGATTTCGGGGAAGTTCATACAACACCAGAAATTAGCGAATTCTGATGGAATATTTGAATGCGATTTTTTTTAGAATGTTGTTCAAACATGTCGCTGTGAAATGCTTTTGGTTTCACTCAAAAATTCTTTGCCGTTTTTTTTTTATGCAGTTTCAACCACATTCGCTCGGGACATGTCGCTCGGGACATTTTTTCCGACTGTTTTGTAAAGCGGATTTCTTTACCTCTATCTCTCAATTGCTGGATGTTTTGCTTTTAACTTAATAGTTTAGCATGTGAATGAAGCATTCAGTACAGAAAAATGTCACATATTAGCATTCCTATAGGATAAATTAACAACAGAAGACAGGTCCAAAAAATAACAAAAAAATAGCCAAAAACTGATTTTTGCGTATATTGGTGGGGTTTGTCATAAAAATAATCAAACTATACTCCAAATTTGTAGTTAAGCTCAGTATCCAACTAATTAGAAACTAATATTGAGGCAAAATCAGGTGGAAATATGTTTTATTCAAGTTTCAAGGTTTTTGGCTTGGTGGACTTTTTTTTGGAAGTGCCCATATATGTATATGTAGGTATATCTACGATTGGACAACTTTTGAACAGTTTTATCCAGATAGCTTTCAAACATACATTTATGGATAGGTTTATAAATTTTGGCGGCAAGGTCTTCTTCAAACACTTTAAAATAAAATTGTAACTCCCTCTGCAAGGGTAAACAAAATAATGATTATTGGACTATTTCGTGACTGATATTATTTCCTTCAAAAATATGGCTCAAAATTTGAAAACAAAATTATTTACTGCAGAAATTAAAATAGGTATTATAAAAAATTAAAATTTCTATAAAAAAATATTGAGTTTTTTAAGCAAAAAATAAACATTTTCCAATCATGTTTTCTGTACCCTATACCTTCTCTGTATAGTCAAAGAATTTTTTTATCTATAACCAATTTACAAGCTCCTAATAAAATGTTTATCCCCAAACTTTTAGTATTAGTAGAGTTTTTAGTCAAGGCAACAGGACTGATAGAACGACTTAGTACAAATGGCTCAAACACAGAGGAACTAGACCATGGAAGGCAAGTCATATTCGGATAGATAATCAAACATATATACATACATACACGGGTACATACAATCTTGAAGTGCTCACTATTGGCCGGCGGAGATATTACAAAAAGGCAGCGCTCGGATTGGTGGATTTTTGAGGGAGGATATCCAGATGCTGCTGCTTACTCATTGAACAAGTGAAACAGTTTTTCAGTTCCGTCCCAGCCAGCAAAGACGAATTTTATGTTCCGTACCAGCAGTGAAAATGAAGATCTCCAATCGCGAAATTATTTTCAATTTATATAATTAAAATAAAAAATGTTTAAAAATTCGGTTGCCTTGGGGCGTGAATACTCAACCATGTATTATAACTCAGTATATAATGCAGCTACCATGTTCGACATGAAACGTAAATGTTTAACTCATTTGTTCTTTGTGGCAGTGAAATCAATTAAATTAATCAGATATTTGCAAACAACTTAAATCTTAATTTGTGGAACTACCAAAAATTATAGTACAAATTCAACTGAAGTGATTTAAAATGGAACATTTTAAGAAATCCGCAATTATTGTAGAGTTGTTTTAATTAAAGCTTATATGTTTTAATGTTGTTTCAGACTCTGAAAGTCAAGTTCAGCAACAGATATATAACACAAATCACATAGGTTATGTGCCAGCTTCGAGTACTCGGATCGTTAAGAAACGAAATACAGCTAACAAAAAGGAGAGGAGGCGGACACAAAGCATAAACAACGCGTTTTCCTACCTTCGGGAAAAGATACCTAACGTTCCTACAGATACAAAATTATCGAAGGTACTTTCACCGGCGGAGATTAATCTGCTTGAATTTTTATCGCAAATATTTTAATATTAAATATTTGCTACATTTTGATCGATATAATGTTAAGTAATTGTTTGGTTTACTTAACAGATTAAAACATTGAAGTTGGCCATATTGTACATAAACTACTTAGTTAATGTTCTTGATGGAGATCAGGATCCGAAAGGCGGTTTTCGAGCAGAACTAAAGCCGGCCAGCCGGAAAATTTGTAGCGAAAAGAAACACTGTTTAAAGTCAGAGCCTCAAGTAAGAAAAACATTTTTTGTTTTACTAAATTAGTTTTTAATTTACTTTTGCATAAGGACTGCTATTGATTTTCTACCATATTCAATCAATGCAAAAACCTTGGATGTGTTGATCCGACGGAATAATAGAACTAGACAACTTACATTTTTTTTATTAAACGATTTTTGTGATTATTGTGCTTGGCAATTATCGTCATGTAGTTTTACTGACGACTATATTTATGCAAATTGATATTTTTTTGCTCAAGATATCAATTTAAGATTTTAAGTAACGATAATTTCGTAGATACCTAATCAAAAGAACATTGCGCTTTTTATACTTTTGTTGCTAAGAAATAGAGATACAAGAGGCTTCTGCTTATTGGGGGCGTTTAATTTATTATTTTTGTAGATAGTTATCATGAGCCTAATACATTTCTGTGTATATTTTAAACCAATTCTCATCTTAAATTCTGTTTTCATCTTATTGAGGTCTATAGTCGGAATTTGTATTTTTATTGTACACAAGATTGGTTCTCCCCACCCTCAATACTTTGTTTCTGCACTGGGGTAGATATCTCAATTGTTTGTTTATTATAAGAAATAAAAGCACTTGACTTTATAAAAGAACATTTGAGTTCTGCGTTCAAAAAGAATCCAACCGTAAAGCGCGGGGCAATTTTCTCTTTTAATACGCAAGTGAAAACACGATTGATTTTCTTAATGGAAATGCAGTGCCATGTTTAGCATCAAAAATCGAGATTGGACATATGTATAAGACCAGTGACCGGTTGTAAGTTGTACTTTATTGTGCAATTTGGGAAGTGATAAACCGCAGACACACGCAGGCGTAATTGAGAATCCATGCTATCCGAGCGCCGCCCTCACGAAAAGAGGGGTGAATGCTGGCAGCATTACTTTAATAGGGCAATCTGGTTACAGATATGAATGTAAGAGACAAGTGCCTAAGTGCGGTTTCAAAAGTGTTTAATCCATTAAGGGTTTGATTAATCAAGTGCTTTGTCAAAACACTTCGCTGGGAAATATTGAAAACATCAAGGAAATAATTTCAGATGGTTTTTTTGAAAAATTGTTTGTTCTTTTTGAATTAAGAGATTAGATGTAATCTTTAACATTTCAAGCACTCCACAATGGAAAACTTTATAGATTTGTTTTACAAACTCAGAATGATTTCCCAATGCCAATTTTTTGGATGTTGTCTTGCCTTCCAAACAAAAACAATTAAAACTGAACTACATTTCTAAATAAAATAGCAAAGTGTTTCCATAGTGCTTCCGTGCACGTGTTATCTTTTTGTTTACTTCTTAATTATCTATTTGTGGGTTCAAGTTGTATACAAAAAGAGAAACTATGATCTATACAAACAAAGCGAGTGCGTTAAACATCAGCCAGTACTTTTTGATTGAAGCTGCACATATGTACAAATATACATATATTCAAAATTAGCTACCAATTTGTCTAGTTTACCAATGAAGGTGTAAAAATGGTCCCAGGCCGTTAAAATCAAAATCTGTTACGAGAATAGAATTAAAAAATGAAACGATGGAAATCCCAAAAAAAACCTATTGAAAATCACTTTGTGTTTCAACATAACATGAACGAATCAAACCAACCTCCTATGGAAAATATGTATTGAAATGTAGATTTATTTGAAATTTTTAGAGATTGTTTTCTTGTTAACTGTTTTCTGCGATGGCTTCAAATTTAGTTTTATCCCAGTAGTAGCACCTGAGATATAAGAAGTTTTAAAGTCTTGCCAGGGGCATTCCAGATGCTCGAAGAGTTGCATTCAGAAACCACCAAAAACTCCCTTGTTAACTGTTTTGGTTGTTTCCAAATGTACATTTTTGACCTCCTATATTAGGATCAGGTTAGTCGTTTAAAAAGAATATTTACACATCTTTAATTGAGGTGTAATAAAATGATTGAATTAAAAAGTCGATTTAAGTTTATAAACTAAAAAAAAGTACTATTTTTTAACCAAAAACTTAATGGCTAATTCCTATTTCAGAATGTTCCCATGTCGACTAAGGGCCGTACAGGTTGGCCACAAGATGTTTGGGCATCGGAACTTATTCCAGAGCATAATTAGACTACCGTAATTTACTTACATTTTATTTCATAATAAATACACATTAATTAAGCATAAATAAATAAAAACATAAAATAAACAATATTACCAAAATAAAACATATTGTTTGCAACTTTATTTTAGAAATTGGTCTGTGTCACGGTCGATACTTACTTTTTGAAAATGTAAATCATTACAAAATTCTTCTGGATACAATTTTTTAGGCATACTCCACAGACAGCCATCGACCATCGTTCTACAGAAGGTCCAAAGTTTTGCCGTTCCGAAGATGTGACAGTTGGTCCGCCATGGTAATCCGCAATTTGTAGTATTTGCTTCAAACGATTTGTATTATGATGTTACCTAAATTAAGAGCTGCTTCACGTCAGCTGTTATCGGATGGTGCTCTGAGCGAATCTGAGTTTCATACTGTCTAAAATCCCAACTGTTTCTCCTCTGTGGCAATTAAATTTTTACATTTTCAAAATGGAAATCGGTTATTAGTTGTATGCCTTAGAAAATCATAACCTTCTGTATGAATTAAACAAATATATAAAACAGCTGTTCGTGTTGTGTATATGAATTTCTATTTAGAAACGCTTGGAATTTAACAGGTAAGGAAAATTTCACGGGGGAACGATTGAAATTTTATAATAGTGTCTATAGTCTACCTACAATACTGATAATACGATATCGCAAGACCTATTTATTTAAAACAATAAAACCAATTGATTTTAGATCAATATTCTGAAAAAGAGTTTCGGGGAACGCATTATTATTATATGTGAATACCCCTATTTTTATTTATTTTTATTGTATGACATCGAGAAATCGCTGTACATATCGCCTGTTTGTCATCTCTATAATCAATTTTCGATATCGATACACAGAGCTGCTGGATATTTGTGTGAAGTGAATAAAAATAGTGGTGTATTGAGTAATTGTTAAAAGCTTTAAAAAAGCAGCTTTAAAAAAGATTGCAATCAGTAGCAAAATATTCAATATAATGCAAAAAAGGTAGATTAACTCGGTTCAATAGCAATTTAGTCAAAATTGGTGTATTCATATGCTTATGTATGTATGTGTGTACGTATGTATTTGAGCAGACACGACACTAATGTTAATAAATAATGGACAATTACATTACGTACACATGTTTTCGTGTTGGTTCACATATGTATTGTGAAATGCGTACATACCTTTCTGAAGACAATGGACATTACAACTGCGTTTTTATGTAACTTCGAAGTAGTTTTGGTTTCAGAAAAGAAAGGTCTCTAAATTATACATACACAACTGGAATTTCGTTGAGGGAGAGAAAAGAGTGAAGTGTCATCATTCTTTTACACAGAATTGGTGCAATTGCTGGACAAAGTATAAATTTATTAAGGCACAGACCCAATTACCTTGTAAAAACGATAAATGTGAGCTCCTTCCTTAAAATCATACAAGAAAAGGTATTTAGTGTGATAGTAAAAAAAATACATACACACGAGGGTCATACATACTGATGTACATATGTTTATAATTTCTTTTGTTATTTCCTTATACATTAGTTATAAACACAATACCTTATCTCGACTTAAAACAATATATGTATGTGGATATGTTCATAATAACATTATGACTAGACGAAATTCAAGTCGTCGCGGTGAAATTCAGGTGTGTTAAGATGGTACAACGCAGTTTCCCCCCAACTATCTCTTTGTGTGCCATGTGTGCATTTGGCAATTCAGGTTACCTAAAAGGAATGATAAGTTATCCAATTGGTAAACCCAATATTGCCAATTAATCTTTATAAGAATGGTGAAATACCAGTTTTTGTATAAGAACTGTTTGGGCAACTATTATATATTCCCATTATATTTTACATGCCTATCGTATCTAGTTTTCCGTTTGTTTGCCAACTGAAAAATGCCTAGCAACCCGAATTTCTACTCTTATTTTGGCAATCAAACAATAATATCAATTTTCCTCCATTATAATAGTGTGCTTAGTAGTTATAAGTAAATAAGAATAATTTCCTTCATCAGAATTTCGCTGCTTGTTAATATAATACAACTAATTTACAAATTTTCCTTGTCTTTTTCAGTTTTGGTTAAGAAGTATATATCAAATTTCGATTTGCGGTAAGTGAAACCAAACTTTATTTATTTTAAGCATACAGTTATCGCTCGAAAGAGTAAACCTATAAACAGCAGGGGTGCTCGGTTATTCTCATGGATTATGTTCGATAAACAAGCGATTTCTCTTCGTATATATAGATTTTTTTAACAATTCAAAATCAATTACTATTAGTACCTGAACCAATTATTTTAGAACGGTTCTCTTTTTTGTCATGAAAGTCATGAATAAAATCCTCTAAATTTAAAGTATTGGGCATATCAAAATATGTATAATTAAATAATCTTATAACTCCCTAAAAATACAGTTATACATTTGCCCTGGTTTAGTCATAGTTTTTACGATTGTAATGAGTTATCGCATTTTTATAAAATAAACCAATGAACCAATGAACCTCGGCCTTGTACATTTAGTATTCAATAGGCATCTGAAATTTCTGTTAAAAGTCTAGGTCATTAAAAGTTGATTTGGCTGTCCCGAATATATTCTATTCTATTTCTTCAAAACTGATACACATAACTTGCTTGTTTAAATCAATCTAAAAGCGGCGCAGAAAATACATTTGTGGCACACATTGTCCTGAGCTGTCAGTCTTCGAATCAATATTTTTTATATCTATTTCTCGGTTGGATAACACGAAACAAATCCATTTAAAGGATACGCTGCCTCTTTGTTGCTTTTTGTTTTAGTTGTCAATACATTACATGTATAATTGTCACAGCTTCTAAGTGAATATTCAAAATTTTGTTGTTTCCCTTACAGATGGGCGATGTCGACCCCGAGACGCTGCTGGAATGGTTGTCCATGGGACAAGGAGATGAGCGGGACATGCAACTGATTGCCCTGGAGCAGCTGTGTATGCTGCTCCTGATGTCTGACAATGTAGATCGCTGCTTCGAAAGGTATGTGATAGTTAATTTTACTTCTGAACACTCATTTTCATCTTTTACCCCTCAGTTGTCCTCCTCGAACATTTTTGCCGGCGCTGTGCAAGATATTCCTGGATGAACTTGCACCTGAAAATGTGCTCGAGGTCACTGCGCGAGCAATCACCTATTACCTGGATGTTTCGGCCGAGTGCACCAGGCGCATCGTTTCGATCGATGGCGCCATCAAGGCCATCTGCAATCATCTCGTGGTTGCCGATCTCTCATCGCGCACATCCCGCGATCTGGCCGAGCAATGCATCAAAGTGCTCGAGCTGATTTGCACCCGCGAGGCGGGCGCCGTCTTCGAAGGCGGTGGCCTAAACTGCGTGCTGTCCTTCATCCGGGACTGCGGCTCGCAGGTTCACAAGGACACCCTGCACTCGGCCATGTCCGTGGTCTCGCGGCTCTGCACCAAGGTGGAGCCCAACACGCCCTGCATTCAGAATTGCGTCGAGAGTCTGAGCACTCTGCTGCAGCACGAGGACGCCATGGTGTCCGATGGCGCCCTCAAGTGCTTCGCCTCCGTGGCAGACCGATTCACACGGAAGTGGGTGGACCCAGCCCCGCTGGCCGAGTACGGCCTAACCACTGAGCTATTAAAACGCCTCAAGAGCGTCGGCGGAAACGCACACTCCTCGCTAGCTCAACCGACGAGCTCCAGCTCCAGCTCCAGCCAGCCCGCTGCAGCCACAAACTCGGATGCAGTCAATGAAAACGTTGCGGGAACTGCAACCATTTCCAACAAAGTCAAGTCATCTGAGGCCGCCGCATCGCCTCAGTCGATATCGACCACGATTTCCCTGCTGTCCACACTTTGCCGCGGCTCTCCCTCCATCACCCATGACATTCTGCGCTGCCAGTTGGCCGATGCCCTCGAAAGAGCCCTGCAGGGCGACGAGCGATGTGTGCTGGACTGCATGCGTTTCGCAGATCTCTTGCTTTTACTCCTGTTCGAGGGACGGCAAGCGTTGAACCGAGGAAGTAACAACCCAAATCAGGGCCAGCTGGCGCCACGACCCAGGCGCAATAATACCAACACCGATCGCACGCATCGTCAGCTCATCGATTGCATACGATCGAAGGACTCGGAGGCCCTGCGCGAGGCCATCGAATCGGGCGGCATTGATGTCAACTGTATGGATGATGTGGGTCAAACCCTTCTCAACTGGGCCTCGGCCTTTGGCACCCTGGAGATGGTGGAATATTTGTGCGAGAAGGGAGCCGATGTCAACAAGGGCCAGCGAAGTTCCTCCCTTCACTATGCCGCCTGCTTTGGTCGGCCGGCCATTGCGAAGATCCTGTTGAAATTCGGAGCCTATCCGGATTTGCGCGATGAAGATGGCAAGACCCCGCTGGATAAGGCACGCGAAAGATTGGACGACGGACATCGCGAGGTGGCGGCCATTTTGCAGTCACCCGGGGAGTGGATGTCCCCCGATCACTCGCTTTTGAATAAGGATGGGAAGAAGTACACACTCATGGAGCCGCGGGGCGATCCCGAAATGGCGCCCATTTACCTAAAGGTGCTCCTGCCCATCTTCTGTCGCACCTTCTTGGGCTCCATGCTGGGCAGCGTGCGGCGTGCCAGCTTGGCCCTGATTAAGAAGATTGTACAATACGCCTACCCAACGGTGCTTCAAAGTCTCAGCGAATCCAATTTCACAGAAGATGAAGCCTCGACTTCGGGACAAAATGGTGGAAACCTTTTGATCGAGGTGATTGCCAGTGTCCTGGACAATGAGGTAAGAACTTGTTTGTAAAGTCCTTAAAATTGTATTAATTTTTTTAATTTTGTTTCAGGATGACGACGACGGTCACTTAATTGTTTTAAACATTATTGAGGAAATTATGTGTAAGACACAAGAGGAATTTCTGGATCACTTTGCAAGACTTGGAGTGTTCGCAAAGGTTCAGGCCCTGATGGACAACGATGCCGAGGAATTGTATGTTCAACTGTCTGGAAACGCGGAGGAGACTGCCACAGCGCAAAGGTCTTCGACCAGTGTTGTGCTCACGCCAAGATCCACTTCAGGTAGAGTCATATTTTTGGTTAAAGGAAAATATGTTCTTATGCATTACTTTTTCAAATTCGAATTTAGATGATCCCATGGAGGACGCGAAAGAGATATTGCAAGGAAAGCCCTATCACTGGCGTGAGTGGAGCATTTGCAGGGGACGAGATTGCTTGTACGTCTGGTCAGACTCTGTAGCACTCGAGCTCTCCAACGGCTCAAACGGATGGTTCCGTTTTATAATAGACGGCAAACTAGCAACAATGTACTCCAGTGGAAGCCCAGAGAACGGAAATGATAGTTCTGGTAAGCTGAAAATGTATTATATTTAAAGATATATTTTAATATATTTTAAACATCCGTTTCAGAAAATCGCGGTGAGTTCCTTGAGAAACTGATGCGTGCCCGGTCCTGCGTGATTCCAGGCGTTGTCTCCCAGCCCATTTTGCCCACAGCGAGTGCACTTCGCTTGGTCGTCGGCAACTGGGTTCTGCAGTCGCACAAGACCAATCAACTGCAAATTCACAACACAGAGGGCCACCAAGTTACCGTGCTGCAGGATGACTTGCCTGGCTTTATTTTTGAAAGCAATCGAGGAACGAAGCATACCTTCACGGCGGAAACTGTCTTGGGGCCCGACTTCGCCTCCGGTTGGTCGACGGCCAAGAAGAAGCGCAACAAGTCCAAGACAGAAGGTCAAAAGTTCCAAGTGCGAAACTTATCCCGGGAAATTTACAACAAGTACTTCAAGTCGGCCCAAACGATTCCGCGGGGAGCAGTAGCTATACTTACGGACATTGTGAAGCAAATCGAGATATCCTTTGAGGAGCAGCACATGGCACCGAATGGGAATTGGGAAACGACTCTCTCGGACGCCCTGATGAAGCTGTCGCAACTGATCCACGAAGACGGTGTCGTGAGCGCCTACGAAATGCATTCATCGGGATTGGTACAAGCACTGGTGGCCGTTCTATCGGTCAATCATTGGGAAACTAACTCGCCTCGCTGCAAGCGAAACAAAATGCAAAAGCAGCGAGTTTCCGTATTCAAGAAATGCATACTAGAGGACAACGTTGAATCGGCAACGAACAAGCCAAGGACCAAATGTACTGCAAGTATTTTAATTCAGAAGCTTGTGTCGGTTTTGGAGAGCACAGAGAAGCTACCAGTGTACTTGTACGACACTCCTTGCACGGGCTACAGTTTGCAAATTCTGCAGAAACGACTTCGCTTCCGTTTGGAGCGTGCCGAGTGCGAAAGCACCTTGTTCGACCGATCGGGACGAACGCTGAAAATGGAACCTTTGGCCACAATTGGCCAGCTGTCCAAGTACCTACTGAAAATGGTGGCCAAACAATGGTACGACCTCGATCGTTCCACGTACTTTTATTTGAAGAAAATACGGGAACATAGGACCGGAACCGTTTTTACGCACTCCTTTGATTTCGACGAAGAAGGCTTGTTGTTCTACATTGGCTCGAATGCCAAGACTTGCGACTGGGTTAACCCAGCGCAATATGGTCTTGTGCAAGTGACCAGTTCGGAGGGAAAGACCTTGCCGTACGGAAAACTCGAGGACATCCTTTCGCGCGACAGCATTTCCCTTAATTGTCACACCAAGGACAACAAGAAGGCCTGGTTCGCCATCGACTTGGGAGTGTATGTAATCCCCACTGCTTACACGCTGCGTCATGCACGCGGTTACGGAAGATCGGCGTTGAGAAATTGGCTGCTGCAGGGTTCAAAGGACGGCCTAAGTTGGACCACCCTGAGCTCCCATGTGGATGACAAGAGCCTCGTGGAGCCCGGCAGCACAGCCACTTGGCCCATTACCTGTGCAGCCGACGATTCCGTGAGATATCGCCACATTAGAATCCAGCAGAATGGCCGCAACGCTTCCGGCCAAACGCATTACTTGAGTTTGAGTGGATTCGAGATCTACGGACGTGTCGTGGGCGTTGCCGATGATATTGGAAAGAGCGTCAAGGAAGCTGAGGCGAAGATAAGGCGCGAGCGGCGGCAGATTAGAGCTCAGCTCAAGCACATGACCACCGGGGCCAGAGTAATTCGAGGCGTCGACTGGCGATGGGAGGATCAGGATGGTTGCGCCGAGGGCACAATCACCGGGGAGATACACAACGGCTGGATCGATGTGAAGTGGGACCATGGAGTACGCAACTCCTATCGCATGGGAGCCGAGGGAAAGTACGATCTAAAGTTGGCCGATTGCGAATATCTTTCCGTCTTCGAGGGAAATCAGTCGATGGGCACTGTAAATTCGGCTGCCAAGCTAAGTGACAAGGGAAACACACTCACCTCGCGAAAATCGAGCTCTACACCTTCGCTGCCCGAGGCCACGGAGAAGAATCAAAGCGCCGAGGGTGCCTCCAATCAAACCGTTTCGGCGGACAACTTGGCCTGGAAGCAGGCCGTCGAGACGATTGCAGAGAATGTGTTTGCCTCGGCCAAGACGCAGATTATCTCAAACCAACTGGCTATAAATACATCTTCCTCTCGGGAAGCTCGAGCCAAGCACAAGGAGTCGGCAGCGAATCAAATGCATAAGGATAACATTAGTGGACCCTCGCCATTGAGTCGAGAATTGGAGCACATATCCGACTTGTCGGCCATCAACAACTCAATGCCGGCCATTAACTCGAGTATTGTCTCTGATTTGGCCACCATTTCGGAGAACTTATCCCTAGCCGAATTGTCCAAAGAGAATATATGCAGCGTTCTGACGCCTTCTTATAAACCCGCTGAGAGCGTGGCTGCGAGCCAAAGCTCCAGCCTTCCCGATGCGCAGAGTTCGTCGCCGCGAGAGAGCGATATCAAAAACATATCCAACATTGAGGAGAACAACAAGATGAACGCCAATAACTCGGTGAATAAGATTTCCAAGGACTTGCTGGCGAATCTACGCACCACGAACATTGCGGGCTGTCAGCCGGTCACTCAACTGTCCACGGAGGCACTCGAAATGATTGACAAAATGCGTGATGGCGTGGACATGATACGGAACAACTCGAATAATATTCTCTCCACGGACACCTTCCCAGTGCCCAGCTGCCCTGCAGTCGGTACTAAAAAGACTCCAAAGGCTCAGGCGCTGATAAATCCGGATAGTGCGAATCAGAAACAAATTATAGTTGCCGAAGAATTCCCCAGCAAGAGTTCAAAGAAACCCAGTGTAACATTGAAGCCAGCCCAGCAGCCAATTGCGGATATCAAGGATCCTTCAGCCGAGAGCGTTTCGGTGCCCAGCCAGATGAGCATAAGTGTTCCCAATCTGACCACAACATCGTCTTCGGAGGTTCCTTCTACCTCAGAGGTGGCCACCCACACGGGTTTGCTCGAGACATTTGCCGCCATTGCACGTCGCCGCACCTCGCAGGGTACCAATATCCAGGACAACCAGATTATGAACGCAGATGCGAGCGTAAACGAGCACGGCGATCAGAACGCCTCGGGCTCATTCCTCGGCCACTCGGTTACCAGTTTGGTCAAGCTGGCACTGTCGAGCAATTTCCACTCCGGTTTGCTGAGCACCGCCCAAAGTTATCCAAGTTTGTCGTCGAATAATAGCGAAAACATAGCTCCATCGAATCCATCGAATACGTCGACGGGTCAGCAGTCTGCATCCACCATAAATCACACGCTAACGATGAGTCTAACCTCCACATCGAGTGACAGTGAGCAAGTCTCGTTGGAGGACTTTCTGGAGAGCTGCAGGGCGCCAGCTTTGCTGGGAGATCTGGACGATGAGGACGATATGGACGAGGACAACGACGAGGAGGAGAACGAGGACGAGTACGAAGAGGTGGGAAACACTCTGCTTCAGGTAATGGTGTCCAGGAATTTGCTTACCTTTATGGACGATGAGGGTTTGGAGAACCGGCTGGTGGGCGTGACCAAGCGCAAGTCCTGGGACGACGAGTTTGTCCTGAAGAGGCAATTTTCCGCTTTGATACCAGCTTTCGACCCGCGACCAGGCCGCACAAATGTCAACCAAACTTCCGATTTGGAACTATCCCCCATTGGCGTGGAGTTACCCAAGCCACAGAGCAGCGGGCCTGAAACAATTGAACAGCCCATGCTGGGTCTTAAATTGCGAGGACCGGGAATCGGAGGAATTCCCGAAGTGGAAATCGATTTGAACAACACGGATTGGACCATTTTCAGAGCCGTGCAGGAGCTACTGCAGTGCAGTCAGTTGAACAAGCTGGACAAGTTCCGAAAGATATGGGAGCCCACCTACACTATTGTCTACCGAGAGGTGTCACCCGAGGCGCAGGAGAGCACTGGCTTGGAGTCCGAGGAGTTCCCCCAAACGCCGGATGTCTCGTCGAAGAGTGGGGCATCCACATTGTCCCCCAACTCGCCCATGCACATCGGATTCAACGTGGCCGATAATAACCTGTGCTCGGTGGACGATGTACTCGAGCTGCTCACCCAAATCAATGGTCTCAATCAGTCCGAAATCGATGCGGACGCCAAGGAGCATGGTGTCTCCCCGTTGTCCGAAGATCTCTTCATCAGCAAGAAGATAACAAACAAGCTGCAGCAGCAAATTCAGGATCCACTGGTGCTCTCGAGCAACGCTTTGCCGAATTGGTGCGAAAACCTAAACCAATCCTGCCCGTTCCTCTTTCCATTTGAGACCAGGCAGCTGTACTTCAACTGCACATCCTTTGGAGCATCGCGCAGCATAGTTTGCCTGCAGTCGCAGCGAGATGTGACTGTGGAACGCCAGAGGATACCCATCATGAGTCCGCGGCGCGATGATCACGAATTCCGCATTGGCCGTCTTAAGCATGAACGCGTCAAGGTGCCGCGAAACGAGAATTTGCTCAAGTGGGCCATGCAGGTTATGAAGACCCACTGCAATCGCAAGTCTGTGCTGGAGGTGGAGTTCTTGGACGAGGAAGGAACTGGTCTGGGACCCACGCTAGAGTTCTACGCCTTGGTGGCTGCGGAAATTCAACGATCCGACCTCTGTATGTGGCTGTGTGACGACGACTTGGGCGAGGATGCTGAAAACCCGCCGGAGAGAGCGGAGGGCAGTTCAAAACCTGTTGGGTATTACGTAAATCGAAGGGAGCACGGAATTTTCCCGGCACCACTTCCCCAGAATACCGAAATATGCGAGAAGGTCCTCAAGTACTTCTGGTTTTTCGGCGTTTTTGTGGCCAAAGTACTGCAGGATATGCGCTTAGTGGATATACCGCTATCAACATCATTTCTTCAATTGCTTTGCCACAACAAAGTGTTATCACGTAATCTCCAAAAAGTAATTTCGGATAGACGAAATGGCGATCTCTCTGTCGTATCAGAAGATTCAGATATAGTGGAAACTTGCACCAAACTACTGCGAACTGATTCCAATAAGTCCAATGCATTTGGCGGAATTCTATCGTTGGAGAATTTGAAGGAAATAGATCCAACACGTTACCAATTCCTACAAGAAATGCAAAACCTATTAATGCGAAAGCAGTCAATTGAGTTTGACGATACTATAAGTGCGGAAAAGAAACAAGAACTAATCAACGACCTGAAGCTGCACACCCAAAACGGCTTGGAGGTCTCCCTCGAAGACTTGGCCCTTACGTTCACGTATCTGCCGAGTTCCTCGGTCTATGGATACACCCAGGCCGAACTGCTGCCGAATGGGGCGTGTGTGAATGTCACCATCGACAACCTGGAAGCGTATTGCGAACTGCTGATGAACTTCATTCTGCAGGACGGAATCGCCCAACAAATGAAGGCGTTTAGCGATGGGTTCAACGAAGTGTTCCCCCTGAAAAAGTTGGCCGCATTCACTCCCTCAGAGGCGCGAATGATGATTTGCGGTGAGCAGTTCCCCCATTGGAGCCGAGAAGACATTATTTCATATACTGAACCAAAACTTGGCTACAACAAAGACAGGTATGTTTCCAAAGCGAATGGTTTTTAATCGAGAATATTAAACATCCTTTATTTTTCAGCCCTGGGTTCCAACGCTTTGTTAACGTTTTGTTAAGCATGTCGGGAGACGAGAGGAAGGCTTTCCTCCAGTTCACAACTGGCTGCAGTAGTCTGCCCCCAGGAGGACTGGCTAACTTACATCCCCGACTGACAGTTGTTCGAAAGGTAGATGCCGGCGTTGGAAGCTATCCATCCGTGAACACCTGCGTTCACTACCTAAAGCTTCCCGACTACCCAACCGAAGAGATCATGAAGGAGCGCTTGTTAACAGCAACTAAAGAAAAGGGGTTTCATTTAAATTAAACAATTTATTGTACTCGATATTCAAGTTAATAAAATTTGAAACTTTTGTTATTTAAAGCTTCCTGTTGTATAACATTATAAGCAATTCTGTAAATATTTTAACTGTTTAAACTCAATCATTATGTAAGTTTAGATTTATCAAATAGGTTACCTATACCTAAAGTCTATGCCTAAAGCCTATTGTTTCACAATTTAATTTAGCCAGTAAAATGGTAACTAACAAAAACAATTTATTTTATTTTAAATATTTTTCTTAAGGACGATGATCTGAAAGGATAGGTTATTCAGTGGATTGTGACTTGCCATCTAGCAAAAATTTTTTATTTCTGTAAACGAAATTATTAATATGGCCGAAATTAATTTAAACAGATAGATGGATATTTAACGTATCTGGCGCGCAAAAGCTTTTTCTTATTAATCTTTTTAATTGAGGAAGTGTCAGGTAAATCACAGTCAAAACTCTCGACTGTTTTGGTCTATAAGATTCAAAATTTATCTTTCTTTTTCTGCGAACGAGTTTATCCGAAATCTTTAAATTACGGACTTACACTCACTCAGCTATGTATGTTTGCTTATTAAGAAATCGTTGTCTAAGCAAATGTGAAAGCAAAATTTTAAAGATTATCTGTTTATATTATTATTATTTGTATATACTTCATATACAAAATTCAGAATGCAAATTAAGACATTTAAACAAACTTTTTTTGCGGTGAGATTAAAAATTCAAGATAAAGAATTCCTTTTAAAATGATTCCCTTTCCAGTTAATGGATCACCCTAAGCAGATATACAGTGAACTACCCTGCCAAATTTTTCATTCATTTTATTTTGTACAAACAACAGTAAAACAGTAAAAACATGTGAAATAAGCTGTTAAAATTTGGCGGCCTCTGTGCAATTTGTTATCATTTCGAGAGGAATGTCTGCGGTGTTTTGACTACTTCTTAAGTTCCAATTTATTTAAATGAAGTCTTATAACGCACACCTGTTTGCTTATATCTTAGAGCCAAAATAAAACCTAGAAACGCGGATTCTGCTGTACTTCTATAAATTATATAAAAAGATAAGCTATATCTTGCTGTGCATCTGAGGTTGCTTACTATCTTAAACTTGTAAGGGAGCCGTGAAGACAGTCAAGGTTTTCCCGTCTACGTATCAAGAGAAATTATGATTTCGGTAGCTCTGATTATATTGTGTCTTTTCCCGTGCGTTCAAAATGAATACATTCGTCCTTCTTACCAAGTTCTATTGCGCAAAAGGGATAATTTAGGAGTGTTGGCTGATGGCCACTGCTTTGGAAATATTATTCAAAGTCGTCTTGTTCTAACAGCGGCTTCGTGTTTATTAAGTGCTAATGCCTCAAATGGAAGAGAATTAATAAAATCGGATGAATTAGCAGTATCCTTTAACGGGGAAGACTTGGACGAGTCTGTATACTTTGTTAGTGGCATTGACATCTATCCTGAATTTAATGTGTCATCTTTGGATAATGATATTGCGATTCTAAGTCTAAGTACACAACTTCCACTTTCGGAGCGAAACGATATTCAATGGGTTTTAGTGGCTGACTTTGATCTTAAGGATTATCCTTTGGAGGACGGCGTGGAATCTTACGTAAGTACAGATAACTATTTTCTACTACATTATTGGTGTGTTAAGTTTTAACAATTAATTTAATCCACAGATTTGGAAAACTTCAAACGTAAAAACTATTTATCCCGGCTATGGGGTGGTTCGTGAAAGTAATTTGGTTGGAATCCTTTCCTTTGGATTTCCATCAAAAATCAAACGCGAGTTGAATCTTGAAAATCGGAATTCCACGAGATTTACGCAACTAAACTCATATTTAAGTTGGATATATGCCATTTTACAGAATGCAGAGATTGCGGACATGAAAAATAATAACTACAGTGCATCTCTACCTTATCGTCAACGAAAAAGCGCAGAGATAGGTAATGTAAACAAATAGTATTTATTATTGCTAAATAGTTTATCATATGTACAGGGATTACCAAATCAAATAGATTCTGTCCATTGTTTTCCAAAGAAAGATTAACTGCAATGTGATAAGAATATTTTTCTCATAATGCCGAAAAGAACCAAACTAAACCAGAATTTTAAGATTTAAGAAACTTATAGCTTGTATAGCTATACGTCTCATACAGAAGATTCTACAAAAATTTGTAGTTTTATGAGGATCTATCCAATTAGAAACTAGTTAGATAAGAGCTCCTTGGCATGGTTGACTTTCTGGTAAGATACAAGAAATAATATAATTTTTTCAAAATTCTTTCAGTTAAGGAATTCATTGAACCCGATGCAGTTTATTTGCCAGACCCATCGAACCCCAGTAAGGCCAAAAAAGTTTTATATTTTCATAAAGCATATATATTTTTAAATTATTAAATTATTTTCAAATTGTTGTTCTTACAGTTGAAGCTGACATTGAAACCGAGGTGGAGGATTTAACAGAAACCGGTAAGGAATAAAAAATATAAATATTTTAAAATTTTTAAATTTATTATCCTTTCAGATACTGAAAACGTTGAAACTGCCTCAGTCGATTTATCAAACGCAGCGGACATATGTATGTTATCTATATATTTGAATATTACATTTAAGTGTAAAGTCTTATAAAATCTTTGATTTTATCAATAAAACTTTTTTCTTTTCCTTCTCACAGTTAATGAAAACATCGAAAGTGAAAAAGGATTCTTAACAAACGCAGCAAACATGTCTAAGGCCAAAGGGATATCTTCATGGATTTTACTTTTAAATTTAATTTTTCTTTACCGCTTGCTAAATTTTGCAAATTTCTAAAAAATATTTTAATTTTCTTTGAGAATTTTAATGTGGCCACCTTTAATTAATATGTATTTAATTTATTATCCAAGAAAAATCAATTATATTTTAAAAATTGAATTCGATCACAAGTAAATGTAATATATCTACCATCTGTATTCTATTATCAAATATTTCGATAATAAAATTATGCCACCAGCTGACTCAAAACATTAGCGTTGCTGACGGATTTTAGAGTAGTATATAATATAAGTTTGGATTTGGCCCTCAATATAAAATAAAGCAATTTTTGTGTAGTCAAAGAAGGAAACCAAATTGTTCGTAATGTTTTTTTTATCGTTGCTCGCATCCAATGAATACGGATGCGTTCTTCACATCTTCCAGGAAATTCCAAACGTTCCCCCCAGGTTTTCGTGGTGTGAAAGCCATATTAAGGGCAAACGTGACACGTCACAAAATTTCAATCTCACTCATCTCTAAGCATATTTTAGTGTTGTGCCATCACTAAATTAAAAATATAAATAAAAAAACATTTAAAACTACGCTGTATTTTCCACACTGTTAAGACTGGGATATTTTAAATAGTTCCTTCAAAAATGGGACAAATTTCTTTTGAGGATGATTGCCTCGTCCGCGAGTTGGACAGGTAAGTCAATTTTTGTTCGGCTAGGGCTGTTTAATAATATTTACATCTGTACATTTCAGTCGATACTATGGATTTCTTGACTTGTCCAATCCAAAAAATGTGGAAATAAAGAATCTGGTTCAGCAGACAATTACAAACTTACAAAACTACATCGCTAATGGACAAGTGCACGATTTGAAGAACAGCCATGACAATAAAAATGCTGTACAAAAGTATGACCCTTCGAATCTACCGGATGAACATATGGAAAACACATCGTCACAAAAAAGTGAAGACACCAAGCTTCCTGATCAAAAAATTAACGAAAAGGGTTTCATTAGCGACCAAAAACCTCAAGATGAGCAATATGTTAATGCTCTTTGCAAACTTGGTCACCTGCATCTTCTTCTTGGCGAATACTCTGAAGGTAAATAAACATTTGCATATGTGCGGACGACTTGGACTTAGTTGGCCAAAATATGTACAAAGTTCTCATCATATCACGGTTATATTCGATTTACATTGAACGTCACTCAAGCTATGGCAGTTTTGTCAGATTATTCCTATAGGTGACCTAATGTGAGCTAGAAGATACATATATGTATGTACTTTGTTTGTATCCAATTAAGGCTAATACTAATTATATAATGAGACAGAATTATAAAAAAGCTTTAGTACTGTAACTTAAACCGCAGCAACGGTCAAAATTACTTTCAGTTTTTCCCTTTTCATTTACATTACTATAAATGCCTGAGGTACTGTCCTAAAACCTTATACAACCCTAGTCAAAAGTATTTTCTCAAATTTGAATGTTAACTGTACTCATATTTTGAACTTATAATATAAACATTTTGGCACCTATGGAAAGAGCACTTCAAATCCGTTTAAATGACACAAAAATTTTCTTAACCCATTAAGCACCCTTTGAAAAGTGAGCAAATTAGACAATTTTTTTTGAAAATAAAATTTTCAACTTTTTCCCTGGAGCTTATTGATTGATTTGATTGGGGAACAACTTTGCATCAAAACATTTTTGTTTTAAGCCCCAGGAAAAAAGTCGAAAATTTGACTTTCGCAAAATTTGCTCACTTTTCAAAGGGGTCTTAATGGGTTAAGAACATTTTTGTGTCATTTAAACGGAATTGAAGTGCTCTTTCTATAGGTGCCAAAAGTTTATATTATTAGTTCAAAATATAAGTACAGTTAACATTTACATTTGTGAAAATACTTTTGACCACCCCTGTACATTAGGCCCAGGGATAGTCATGCACTTTGCTACTAATACTTCTTTTAAACCACTCGGAAATTGGTAATTTAATGTATTTTATTTAAATGTTTATTGCAGCATTATCTGCGTATCAGAAGTATTTACGATTCCGAGAAAATAATTACTGGACAAACCATGCATTTATATATGGAATTGGCGTCGCTTATTTCAAACTGCGGTGTTTTAAATGGTAAGTTTATTTCACATTTAATTTCTAGTCTACTCACAAATACGGCTTACTGTTGCTTGAGAAATATGGATCCTATATGCCCTGGCCCTGGCACTGTAGTGTCTTCGTAATAATAATACTTTAAAATATCTTAAACCTAACTAAAAATTTACATTATTATTTTTGTTATTTCAACCCAACCTCACGGTTAGAACTACATAGATAACAAAAACTGTGCGATTGTGTTGTTTCTTGGAAAAATATCTGTCTTGGACAAGTTGATGCCCTTCTTTTTAAAAAGAGATCTAATCGATTCTAATGTTTTTGGTCGTTAATTCGTATTGCTCAACGTGGAAGTGGACGCAAATGTAGTGGAACCGCTTCGATTTGGCATTTTAATTATTCGATAACTTCTTATCGACACTACTGTTTCGATTTCATTCGTTCCCATTATTTCACTTTATCGAGCTTATCCCATCTCCATTGTATTGATATTAAATTGTTTACTAAATAGATTCTACACGAAACAACACTGCCACTAAATTAAATGTATTTGTAAACAGTTCACAACGAATTAAAATTAAGACTGGAGATTTTCTACACAAAAAAAGTGCGTTTACTGGTTAGTTTTTCGGTCATGGATTGTGATTTGATTTACGTTTTCTGAATAACAAATGGATGCTGTAGACATTAATTTTGCAATACAAATTACTAACAGCATTAGTTGGTATAACTAGTTAAAATGAGAACAAAAATAGCTATTCGAAGAATTGTTCCTTTGTTTCCGCAAATCACTGTTATAAAAATACATAAATTCTCATTACATGTATGTACATTGTACAATGTGCTTGTGTGTGTATGTGTACAAAATGCAGTGAATTGCCCCCCTTTAAGGTCGTTATGTGAATTGCGGGGTTAAAATGTGTTCTTTGTTTAATTACAAATATTCAGAATGCTAACGTTTCGGTAGACAACGTCTGGGGTAAATAATCAATAAAACGGAAGATTGTGGGTGCTACTGAAGCCAATGTCTGTCTCATTTTTCTAAGTGCATTCAGACATGTCTGCCGTCGTCTGTCTGCAAGTTCTATTGTTATTTATAAACAAAATGCACACTTTCTAGTCGTATTTTAGTTGCAAAAGGCATTTAAAAATGCTATTATACACTAATCTTTGAGGTTTTAGTTAAATCAACTAGGTTACATGAATTTGTTTGTACATATGGATGTACATGCGTGCATGTGTGTACGTGACTGCAGGCACATAGATATGTATGAACGAATGTACTTATGTAAACACAGTTCACTGTAAATAAAGGATTTGTGTTGTTTTTTTTTTTCAATAATGAAATATATAAAAAAAATAAAAAATATGCTAATAAATATATGTATTTGCCGGCTTTTTGAGCCGAGTCCTGTGGCTAAATAAATCAGTGACAAATTTATCAACTCATATTCCGAAATGTCTGGATTGCTTATTTCAACCCTTATAAACCTTTTTTGAATTAATTTTTGTTTTTTTCAGGGCCATCAAATCATTTCAGGAGCTTTTATACCTAAGTCCCAACTTTACATGTGCAAATGAGGTCCATTTGCGTTTAGGTCTAATGCTAAAACATGGCGGGGAGTTTCACATTGCCCTGAAACATCTGCAACTGGCGCTGCTTTACACATATCCTTCGACCTTTTCAGAACTTCAGGGTAAGTACTTAAAAAATAGCAAAATCATATAACCACGTTTAGATTCTCTTTAAAAAAAAACTCATTAAATATATTATAAGAAGGCTTTAAGAGTTTTATATTTTATGATAATGGATCATAGGTGTTTTGAATAATTAAAACATTAGTAAAATATTTAGCCCAAACACTTATTATTTATGAAAGTGATGATGATATAATTATAATCTCGTTAAATATTAAACAATTAATAATTATTTTAATCTAATTTTCAGTAAAATTTCAAATCGCGCATTTGTATGAAGTTCAAAACAAACATAAGGCAGCGAAGGATGGTTACGAATTTCTTCTAAATGAAAAAAATATCTCATTGGAACTAAAAGCAGATGTTTATCGTCAATTAGGTAAGAAGATCGTCTATAATAATTCGCATGAATATAATAAAAACTGAAACGATCCTTAAAACAGACTTTTAGCAAAACATAATTTTTCACATCCCTAATCCCTTTAACACCTCTTGATTTGTTTTTATCTTAGGATGGATGTACCATTGCGTAGAATGCCTAGGCGAAAAAAAGGAACGTGAAGCAAACGCATTGAACTTTCTTCAAAAATCAATTGAAGCTGACCCAAAGAGTGGACAATCATTATATTTACTGGGAAGGTGTTACGCCGGCATCAATAAGGTCCATGATGCTTTCCTAGCATATCGCAATTCGGTGGAAAAGAGTGAGGGAAATGCAGATACCTGGTGTTCGATCGGGTAAAATATTCCGTATATGTCTTGCCCTTATATGTTTTCCTAATTGCACATATTCTTTTGTAGCGTTTTATATCAGCAACAAAATCAACCGACGGATGCTCTTCAAGCCTACATATGTGCCGTGCAATTGGATAAAGACCATAAAGCCGCGTGGACCAACCTGGGTATACTTTATGAGAGCTGTGGTCAATTACGAGATGCCTATGCTTGCTATTTAAATGCAACCAAACAAATATCATTCCAGGTAAATCTATGTTCCTCTTGTTATTTGCGTATCTAAACATTAGCCATTCCAGAAATCTTCATTATTTCGAAGAAAACAAGCAATACGCATGAAAAAGGACACAATCGGACTGTCGAAGGGACTGTCACAGAGAATCACGTTTTTGGAGGGCCAACTTAGTCAAGCACCATTGCCAAGCATTACATCGAAGCGCCGCCAGCTGTGTTCAATTGAAGAAGCTTGGAACCTGCCAATATCATTAGAAATGAACTCTCGCCAACAACAAACAGCGCAGATGCTACCAAGACAGATAACAAAGCAAAGTCCAATACAGGTGAGTTTGATTTTAGATCAAACATTTCAACAAAATACATTTCCTTTTCGTTTTTAGGGGCCACCTCCACCCTATCCGCACAGCCAAGTCAGCCAAAGTCCCATACCTTCGAAACGTATTAAAGAAGATGGCTCCAGCCAACCCGAAATGATGCAAAACAATGTTCAGACATCTTCGCAATTGCATCAAAATCTAATAAGTAGGTTGACGGTTTAAAAATTATATTCTAGATCGCTTTTAATATCGCTTTTACAGACATTTCAGAGACACTCAACCAGCGCAATTTCAACGCCATGCCGGAGAGCAACAAGAATTCGGAGCAAAGTGTTGTGGACACCTTCGATGACATCTCGAATGATATTTATAAACAAAATGAGACTATTAAACTTGAGCGTTTAAGCCATGATGCCTTGAGCAACAATGAGGACTCAAAGCACAATGATTATAATGGTGATGCAACCTCCGACTTATCGACCACGTTCAAAATTCAAATGGACTCAAAACAGTTGATGGCAGCTGTGAAGCTGCTGCCGATCGATGAACCGCCCGTGCACTGCACTATTTTGCAAGTGAATGCGCCCCCGCCATCTCCGCCCGATTGCCCACCGCAGAAACTCACGAGGGATCAACTCCTTCCGCCCACTCCCTCTGTTCATTTAGAAAATAAGAAGAACGCGTTCAGCCCCCAGCTGCAGGAGTTTTGCCTGAAGCATCCCATTGCCGTTGTACGCGGCTTGGCAGGGGCTCTGAAGCTAGATCTCGGTCTCTTTTCGACCAAAACACTGGTGGAAGCCAATCCGGATCATAGTGTTGAGGTCCGGACACAGGTCCATCAGTCGCCCGACGAAAATTGGGACACTTCGCAGGGCAAGCGAGTCTGGGCCTGCATTTCCCATCGGTCTCACACAACCATAGCCAAATATGCCCAATATCAAGCATCCAGTTTTCAAGACAGCCTGAAGGTAATACTTGTTGCGTGGTCTTTTCTCAACATGAATACAGTTTACTCTATCGTATAGCTTATTTTACCGCAGGATGAAAGCGACAAGGGATTTCCCGGCTCACAAGCAATGTCGGACTCAGACTCCAAGGACTCGGTATCCAATTCAAACATTGTCTTGAAGCGTAAAAAACACAAAATAAACAGTAAAATGTTAAGGTACTTGAACTGCTCTCAAATATTTGTGTAACGAACTTGTTAAACCCAAATTTAATCTTATTTTAGATTCGGAACCAACGTGGATCTCTCCGACGAAAAGAAGTGGAAGCCACAATTGACAGAGCTACAAAAACTGCCAGCTTTTGCACGAGTCATATCCGCTGCCAATATGCTCTCCCACGTTGGCCACGTCATTCTGGGCATGAACACCGTTCAGCTGTACATGAAAGTGCCCGGAAGTAGGACTCCCGGCCATCAGGAGAACAACAACTTCTGCTCAATTAATATTAACATCGGTCCAGGGGACTGTGAATGGTTTGCCGTCCCAGACGCCTACTGGGGCGGAGTTCACAACCTGTGCGAGAAGAACAACATCAGCTATCTGCACGGTTCGTGGTGGCCCGTCCTGGAGGATTTGTACAAGGAGAATATTCCAGTTTACAGATTTATCCAAAAGCCCGGCGACTTGGTTTGGGTAAATGCTGGGTAAGCAAAGAAAATATTTGTAAATTTCTATTTACTAACGATGCCTCTTAACTCCTCTTTCAGTTGCGTTCATTGGGTTCAGTCGGTGGGATGGTGCAACAATATTGCGTGGAATGTTGGACCACTAACTGGGCGTCAGTACTCTCTGGCCATCGAGCGATATGAATGGAATAAAGTGCAGGCTTTCAAAAGCATCGTGCCGATGGTTCATTTAAGCTGGAACCTCGCCAGGAATATTAAAGTCTCCGATACCAAACTCTACGAGCTGATTAAGTGAGTACTCTAAAGCCACTGGATCATTTAGAAATAATATTATTTGTGTTATTTTCCCTTTTTTAGAATGTGCTTGCTGCAAACGCTTAAGAATGTTTTGCACATACAAGAGTATGTTAAATCGAAAGGTGTGGAAATACGTTTTAATGGACGCGGAAAGAACGAAGCATCCCATTATTGCGGACAATGCGAGGTACATATTCCACATATTTTTCTGAAATATATAACTATTATTAAATATATTATATTTTATTACAGGTTGAAGTATTCAATGTACTGTTTATTAAGGAGCAAGAAAAGCGACACGTTGTTCACTGCCTATCATGCGCCCTGAAACTTTCCCCTTCTCTCCAGGGTATCGTTTGTCTCGAGGAGTATCGCCTGTCTGAGCTGCAGCGCGTGTACGATTCGTTCACTTTACACAGAACCCAAGGACTAGCATACACTCAGTAGTTGTAACACGAGAAATCATTTTTAATAATGAAGATTTAATATATGTATATTTTACAACGTACAACCTACACTCTAGTGTTTTGATGAGACCTAACGGATTATTCATAGAGATGGGTTTATTACTGATTAAGCTGATAGAGCTGTTTTTACGGCTATCCCATTTTAGTGGGAAAATGGACATGAGGATTATTTTATTTTCATTATAATATATTTTAGATTAATAAAAACATTTCAAAAGACATTAATAACTCATCTGATTTATAGTTATTAGTTGTAGTTATTGTCCAAAGATTTAAAGCATTTTAGTAACACATTAATAAAGATAATAATAATTTAGCTTTTTATCAATATATATTTATATTTGGGTTCAAAATAAATACCAACGATAACCGCTGCAATTAAAACGATAGTCAGTTTCTATTATTTGCTGTAACCCTGTTTTCAACCAGCCATGTTTTCTCAAATACCGTTTCCAAATATGAGATCACAAAAGGAACTTAACTGGCTGGCCGTTTTCCTCACACTATTTGTCGTTGTCGCTGGATCAGCTCAAGATGATGCCGACTACTGCGCAGAGCTCTCCACCCAGTCGTTGGCCAAAATTCTCGGGCAGGCATTTAATCCGCGCTACATGAGCATCGATCCGCCGGGCGAGCCCGAGGAGAAGAGCTACCAATTGGGCTACAAGCGATCGTCATACGAATTGCCCTTCTACGCGGACAGTGACGCGATCTCAGTTAGCCACTTTCCCGCCTGGGAGACCAACCACTTTGCGATGGTGGAAAAGAAGGAACCGTCGAGGAGCAGAAGCCTGCGCACCAGAAGCGCCTTCATGGACCGAGTGGGACACCCGAGAATCGATGGCTTCAAGCAGCGACCCTGGGAATGCTCCTCCAAGATCAACTGGATCGACTTAGGCTTAAATTACTTTCCACGCTATATCCGTTCCATCGAGTGTATTGCCAGAAAATGTTGGTATGATCACTTTAATTGCAAGCCAAAATCATTTACAATAAAAGTTCTGCGCCGGAAAACTGGCTCATGCATTCGAATAAACGATAAATTGATTTTGATCACCGCTGAGAAATTTGAGAATGATTACACGCAGCTCTGGATTTGGGAAGAAATAGCGGTTAACTTTTGCTGTGAATGTGTTATGCTATACTAAAAATAGCGCAATTTAATCAAGATTTAATTAATATACACGTTTAAAATGTCAACAGAAAACTTTAATGGCATTGGGCACAACAGATACCTTGATGGGTCTTGCATCGTACTCCTCGCCGTCGATCGAGTAGAACTTCTCGGCCATTTCGCCGTCCGGATGCAGCTGAATGGTGCGACTCTTCACCACCAGGCTGGGCAAAATGTTGCTGCAGGTGACTTGCGGTATTTGCTTGATGAACTCCCAGCCCGGCTGCAAGGAGCTTATGAACTGGCTCTCCAGCTCCGCAAAGTTATTCCCGTTCTGCACGCAATTGATGTTTATTTGGCTGGCCTCTACGCTTCCCTCGACCTTTTTGCTGCACTCGTCGTTCTTAACGAGCGTTCTCTTCGGCCCGCCAGCGTTTTTCTGGTACTTAACGAGGTTCCTTGTGAAGAGCCCACCGGTCACAGGCGGTGCGGCCTCCTGGCGCTGAACAGAAGCACAATCAATGCAGCCCGGGCAAGGCGGTGTGTACACATAGTCGGTCTTCAGGCTCCAATTATCACCGAAGGACTTGGAGGCGGCGGATGCATAGTGACGCAGTGGCCCAAAGTACCAGTACTTATCCTTGGCCGAGTTAATATCCTCAATCAGGCCCCAGGAAAGACCATTCAGACCGAAGATGGGCTTTAACTGACTGTCGTTTGCCTCGTCTTCGTTGATCACATCGAAGCGAATGACGCTTTGGTACTGGCTTTCATCCTTGAGCATGGGTTCCAGGGCTTTGCAGAGGCTCTTCACATATTCCACGTCCTTGACGCCAAAGATTTGGATGCGCTTCGAGGCGGCCTGGACCGAACGTCCCAGGGGAAGAATGGTGATGGGGCAGAGATTGCCGCGCCTTCGCATGAGGCCAGTCACCACCTCCGAGGAGGTTCCATCGCCGCCGGCCACCACAATCGCATCGGGCAGCGCAGCCATCTCCTCCACGTAGCTCTTGGCATGTCCAATGTGGTTGGTGCGCAGGATCTCCACGGAATAGCCAGCTAAATGCAAAACCGGCTCGCAATAGTTCTTGAACTGCAAAACTAAGGCTGGGTTAAGATCTTGGTCGGGTGAGTGCCAGCTACTTACAAATTTCTCCGATCTCTTTTTATTGGCCACCGGATTCATGACCACAAGCACCTTTTTCGGTTGATTTCCTGCCCAATTTGATTGAATGTTGGAGGCAAACTCCCTCATATGTTGTTCAATCCTGCAGGCAAAGATAGAGGTTAAAGTTTTGCTTAAATTTTACTGCTTTCTGAATGCTTACTCAATGTGCGTTTTCAGCGATTGCAGAGCGTACACAGATACTGCCGCTCCAAACGTGCATTTTTTCCAATTATTCCGAATAACTCTTAAATAATTCATTTTTAAAGCTGATATTTTATTTTGACCAATGATTTTGATTCCGCATGTATTGGTTTGCACAACACAGCTGAAGTTTAGTTCGTTAGGGGTATCCCAGCGTTTTTACATAAGTTTTAAGTTAACAGAGAGAGTGATTGTGTCGTATTAGGAACATTGCAAGTGGAACACTAAATTACTTAACAGTTTGTAACAGATAGCCGCCAATTATGAATATAATAATTAATAATTAATAATCAGCAAGGTACTTTTATTCAACATTGTCATAGATATCCTCTAAGCCGGGGATGTTTCTCAGTTTTTCTATAAACACGTCGTATGCCTTTTGGTCTTCTGGCGATAATTGCACAACATTCTGAAAGTTAAACATTTTTATTAGTATTAATTTTTAGAGTTTAAATTAAGGTCAAACATCCTTACCATTGGAGAAAATACGTGTTCACTACTTTCAACAGTGTATCCAGCTTTTTCCAAGTTTCTGCTTAAGCTAGTTAAAACAACAGGACTGCACAGGAACTATAAAAAGAGAAAATATCAAAGTCAAACAATACAAAAATGAAAATAAACCCTTTACATACCTTTACTGACCCTTCGGCATTGTCAACTATTTCGATCTCTTCAGCACCGAGCTCTATCGCATCATTAGTGGCTTTATCTTCCAAACTAGACCCGTTGAGGAGCTTTGATGTATCATAACGAGTTTCTATTAGGCCAAAATCCTCAAACAGATTACCAACGTCCATAAATTCACCTCTAAAAGATTAAAAACTGATGATATATAAAAACATAATATAGAAAGTGGTATTACCCGGCTTTCTTTATCATTGGTGTCGCATCCATTTTAACACCGGAAAAGTTGTCTGTGTAGAAAATGCATATCATATATACGCTTCTTTTGTACCGGATGTCGAGCCGGTACTTTTTAAGCTGCACTTTACTGGTTTTAAATTTGGCTAAAGTGTTTTGTATGGTTCCGCTGGGCATATTTTGCTTCAGAGCTCTTTCTATTTCCGTACGTAAAAGAGAGTTTATGGCCGGATCACTGTTAAACATTAATTAGAAATATTATTAATAAATCTCTGATTTAGAGGGATGAGAATTACTTACGCAGAGTTGCCCTCCTGAATGGCCATACGGATTTGCCTCGAAATCTTTGCAAATAATGCCGCTTTCGCTCCGTCTTTTAGGGCTTTTGTGTGCTTGATATTAGCCCACTTCGAATGGCCCGCCATGCCACGAAAGGGCTGCGCTTGGAAAACGCATTTTCCGAAATTCGTGGAAAATGTGCAGCACAAATTTCGTAACATCTCTAGTGTTTTGATCTAAATGAACTAATGTGGCCAGGTTGGAAAAGCAAAAAAACCATTCATTAATCAAGTAAACTGTTCTAAAAGTACAAAACATTTTGCAACTTAACAGATTAGGGATATTCTCTAATACTGTTATTTTTATTGAAAACACTTTTAGAATTACTTAAATTTTAAACAGCTCCAAAGAGTTGATATTTATACATTTATTAACAGACAATATTATACAACCTGCAGTTGAACTTGCTTTTGAGCTAAACAGTTTGCAGCACTTTCGTAGCGAATCAATTTGTTCTGGTGCGTCGTGGGATCGTTGTCGTAGTCCGAATTTACCACAAAAACATCGACGACATTATCAATGGTGAACTGCTCATTTTGGAGTGTGTTGGTCAATATCAGTGGAGTTATTTTAACGAGGCCCAGTTTGGATGGACAAACGGACAGCGGAAACTCGGCAGATTCTCCGCTTTGCAGCAAACCCAGCATAAAATCGGCACATCCCGTGTATTGACTATCCGCTGAGTACTTGGTAGCCAGGCGCACATTTAATTTCATCGCCTGTTCGGAGGTATTCGTCACCCGACAGTTGAACGTGAATATTGTGCCGATTTTGATTGTATTCTTCGCATCCAGAACTTCCAAACGGAGGGTTTTGCACTCAAAGGGCTAGAAATCTTAAATGTAATTAACCATTTTGACTTAAGTTATTTCAGTTCCTACCAGCCTCTGCAGTTGACTGGTTTGCAGCCTGCCCTTTTCCCCAAGATTCGACCTCCAGACAATATCCAGTTTTCCCACATTGTTGAATTGCCGCAGAGTATCTATGTCCTTTGCAATATCTCCTTTGGGCTGTTCAGGAAACACAATAAATGGATTGAACTTGGGGACTTTAGTTTTTCCACTGCTCACCTTAATGCAATAAAGAAACTGGCAACTGTTATTGGGCTGCAGCATGTGCTTCACCGTAAAAACAGATTCGCCATTCGGCAGCGTATTCAATGGGGTTACGGAGTAGTCCTCGGAACCATCCAATTCCACCTTTTCCAGGCAGAAGGGGCTGTTGGTCACGTTTTGGATCTGGGCCTCCAAGTATATTTCGTCGATTTCCGCATTGTAAAACTTGGTCTTCACATCGAGGGGCTTTAAAACTTGAAACTTGAAGAACTTTCTCAAGGACTGTGCATAGCCTGCTGGAGTCGAGTAATTTACTTCGCAGACGAGACTGAAAAGAAAGTATTTAGATGTTATATTATTTTTTTAAAGAATTCGAGAATCCTCTTACATGTGAGTTCCAATTTCCTTAACTTCGTATCGTATAACATCGTCGATGGTTCCTCCCGGAGCCAAAACCACTGGAGATTTGGCATTTTCGTGCATGGACAAGTTTATGCGTGTCGTGTTCGACTGAAGATCCGCTTTAACTGTCACACATTCCACAGGATTGGCGGTGGTGTTGTGGACGCAGATGTAGCTGGCGAATGTTTCGCCCAGATAAATGCTTCCGAAAGATTGTGGCAGCAGCAGAACTTGTCCCGCCGCCAAGGTTTCGGCACAAGCCCCAGATATTCCGTCACTCTCCTGCGAGTTGCTGAATTTCTGAACCAAATCCGTGGGCTCGCAAGTTACGACGGGTCCAACTCCCACCAAAGTGGGCCGCATCAAGCGCATAACTGTAAAAACAGCACTCCTTGGTATTAGTCATGTAAGCAGGTTTATTGTATATTTTGTTTTACCTTTTAGGGCCACCAAATGTGCATCTGGGTCAACCATCTCCATTTTGAAAAGTACTTCAACTCGGACTTATTTTAATAAAATAATTCAGCATAAAATATATTTACTGCGAAAAATTCTGTTTACATCGGTGCGACCAAATCTTTTGATGTTAAATATACCATTTTGATATGAAAAGAATACCCTTAATGTACCTATTGCCTTGCTAAAAATACCAAAAGTAAAGAAATTTAAAATATTTCCTTTATACTAAATTCCGTGTAAGCTTATTTATTTTTTAATAAACAATAATTATTTACATCACAATCTAGTACGAGTTACACTTAATCCTTGTCTTTGCAAATTCTAGAAGTCATTTCTTGCAGTGGCTCCAGCTCCTTAGCCGAAACCATGTCGAATTCCTGAACAAAGTAGTAGAAATGTTTGTAGCAGGCATTTACATGAGCTTCCTGAAAATAAGAAAACCGGTTAATAATTGATAATGCTGACAAGGATTTAACATATAATTATACGTACAGCGCCAATGCTCACAATGCGATCAAAGTGGTGGATATAAACATGGACAAATACACGAAACAAACGAGTTAAAATCTTCCGACTTATGGCAGAGAAATTTTTGGGAAACGGGACATCTGAAATAATGTCGTGAATTAAGTAGACAATTATATTAATATGCTTTTACTTTGTTATCATGAAAATAGCAACTGCTTATCAACCAAAAACCTTACCTGTGGAGACAGGAAATACAGATTCATTATTTATTTGTGTCTCAATCCAGTCCATTAAATGCTCAATATATTTTTGAGCTGAGAGGGCCGTGGGCTTCTTATAACTAAAATGGTAAAAAAGCGTAAGAAATTGATGATGGTTTTATCACTTGGGTTCACTTACAGATCTCCATCAGCCCACAAATATTCATACCGAGAGCCACCGGACATTGTGGGACATGTTGTTTCGTTGCAAAACTCCGAAACAGTACCGTAGAGGAGATTTATGCGGTTGAAAAAGTCCACAACTAAAATAAGACGATATATGTATAGTAATTGTGCATTATTCTATTAATAATTCATACCGTGGACAGCCAGCCAGTCGTTCAAATTCTCTCCTTGCGGCAGCCGCACAACTTGACGGAGATTAATCCCGGATTGCAGACTGGCCTGAGCTTGTTTGTGTAACGAATATCTAATAGTTCCTGAGGCGAAGGGCTTCTTTGGCCTAAAAGTCTGGAATGCAGAGTGAGTATATATATTATTTACATACAATTATGGGTTTGACCAATCCTACCTTGCCCTTTTGGAAGAATTCTAAAAATCCATTTAATGCCATAATATCTTGTTTGAGATTCCGGTTACAAAGATATAATTTGTTGGCACATATGTGGGTGCTACATGTAACACAAGTTCTTAATTAAATGATGAACTATTAACGCTTACATTTGTTTTTTATATTATTATCTGTATTTATATGCCGTGAAGGAGGAGATGGTAGAACATCGATAGCTTTCTTCTTGAAATAATAATCGAATAGACTTCTAAGTACACAGATATGTTACATTTTCAACTATTCACACTAGTACTCAGTTTTGGACGCCATATCAAAATTATTTCAATATAAAAACATTCTATTGAAAAATAAAGATTTTATTAAAATAAAAAAAATGACTATAAGTACGATTTAATAAATTAAGCCCCTTAATTGGATATATTTTTTAGATTTGAAGGTATTTTTTGTAGGGCCGGCTGATTTAAAGAAATCCACTTCTATCGATTTTCCTTAATTCTAAAACCTCTCATAACCGAATGCAATATGTTATAAAACGAAACCGTCTTTAACCACCATGTTCAAATGTATACGTTAAGTTTAAATTATAAATAGTAACTGCCGTATATTTATCAAAAAGTAATTATTTTATGTTAAGAAATAAAATATAGGTTATTCTTGTTTGAGGATTCCGATTTCCTGAAGTAACTGGTCATTGTTGATTGGAGTGTTATTTTCATTTGACTGTCTATTCCATTGAATTAACTATAAAGAGATAAGAATAAATAAATTGGTTGAACTCGGCTTGATAAATTATATACCGACGCGTTCCAGTTCGGCACGCAAAGCCACTACAGCCTTCTCCCGATCCGCCACCAGTTCCTCGAGGTACTGATAACGTAGTTTCTTTCGTGCCCGGCATTCTCTAGCACTTTGTCTGCTTCGTTCTGTAAATGTAAAAGCAAAATACATTACAGAATACTTATTTTTACAGGGTATCAAAATCTCAGGGGTGCACAGAAATCTCTTCGGTTGTAATTGTAATTCGAAACGAATATATTTGTGTGTAACCCCGAATGCAAATATGTTTGTAATGTATTACCAAGTTTGGCCTTGATATCCAATTTTTCAGTCGATGTCTTCCTTCCTGGTTTCCGTCCTCTTTTTCCACATTCTTTGCGCGTCTGCTGAAAGACATTGAAATTATGTTCAATAAATTGTAGTAAATTAATAACTATGTACGTAATTAACCAGACAAACATTTTTCCAATGTCTTTTTTGGCAAATAAAAATTATTAAAAAATAGATTTAAAAATTAGCGCCCTTTAAACGTTTACAGACGCGCATACATATGTACATATTTGCAAATATACATATATTCCCATGGTCTAACTGCGCATTAGAACAAAGTGTATGAATTCATTACCGACGTAAAAATGAATACTGTCTTCAAATATTTTATTTTATTACCGCTTGTGTTTCCTCCGCGATCGACATTTTATTACTTTGCATTTCCATCTCTGCCATTACAATTTTTAAAAAAATGCCAAATTCTCTTTGTTTATATGCGTCGTTTTCGTAAATACAATTCAAGATAACAATAAATAAAAATTACAAATGTACGTAGCCAAAGACTTCTTATTCGGAACAGTGAAAATAAAACACAAAAATAACTATCGAAATTCCATTTTCCAAGCCAAAACAAAACAAAAACTATCGGGGGTGTCACAAAAAATTATTTCGAACCGAAATCCGTTATGTTTCTTACGTACATCAATGCACAAAACCAACAATCTTTGGTTAGTAAAGATTTCTGTGACACCTCCGAATTTGATAGAATTTATGCTTTTATCGATCAGATCCTTGTGCCGATAAAGTTTAATAAAAGCTAAATAAATCACGCATATTTTTAGTACTGTAGATTACTTCTGTTCCTCCAACACAATGTTTTATTTAGTTTTTGTTTGCTTAATAAATCCTAGTTTAAAAAGTTTAATAACTTTAATAACATACTAAAAATTGAATTAAATTGTTGTTACTTAATTTATTAGACCTTTTATTTCTTCTTTTTGTAATTTTACTAATTATTTGTATATAATCTTTAAATTTGTCTGCGATTCTTCTCAATTTTTTCCTAAAACCAAACGGAACCTTAGACTCGTGTAAAGTAAGCACTTCTTGGAAGTTGTTGGTATAATTTAAAGTGCAATAAAAACTTCCATTGCTTTAAACAATTGTTATTTAATTGTATATTCCAGTTTATTAATTGTGTATATTTAAAAAAAATAATAATTAATACGTTAAGCTCTTGTTTTTTTTTTTTAAGTTAATAAGTTTACAAAAGTGCACCTAAAAGTATACCAATTTGTTTAAAAGAAAGTCATTAATGTAATGGGAAGTCCCTTTTTTTAGGGCCCGGAATACTATAAATAAAACCCCATCTCGGCCCGATTTTGGCGTTCCAAGTGCGAGGCTATTTTCAAAAATTAGCATTTTTGCAACGAGTTTAACCACCCTGGTTGAAAACTTGATATAGATACAAACGCTAAATTGTCCGGTGGTGATAACTTATTGATTATTTATTTTTCAAGGCAGGTATCTGAAAGGGATATCGCAGAAAGAGAAACAGAAACAGTAGCAATAGATGTCTAGCATGGGTGATCAGCGCGGGACAAGGGTGTATGTCGGCAATCTGACCGACAAAGTGAAAAAGGACGATCTGGAGGGGGAGTTCACAAAGTACGGCAAGCTGAATTCGGTTTGGATAGCATTCAACCCCCCGGGCTTTGCGTTTGTGGAGTTCGAGCACCGCGACGACGCCGAAAAGGCGTGCGACATACTGAACGGATCGGAGCTCCTCGGCTCCCAGCTGCGCGTGGAGATATCGAAGGGGCGTCCGCGCCAGGGTAGGCGTGGCGGGCCGGCCGAAAGGGGCCGGCGCGGCGATTTCGGCCGGCACAGCATCACGAGCAGTGGCAGCGGCGGAGGGGGATTCCGGCAGCGCGGATCCAGCGGATCCTCGAGTCGTCACACGGAGAGGGGCTACAGCTCCGGCCGATCCGGGGCCAGCAGCTACAATGGACGCGACGGCGGAAGCGGCTTCAATCGCCGCGAGGTGTACGGCGGTGGACGCGACAGCAGCCGCTACAGCAGCGGTAGCAGCGCCAGCTACGGACGCACTGGCGGACAATCAGCTGGACGCTTCCGGTCCCGCTCGCCGGTTGGAAACCATCGATTCTAATGACAACACCCCTCATAGTGGCCTATGAGTAAAGATTAATAAATAATAACTTAAGTGCGACCGAAAAAAGCGCAGACTCGAAACATTTAAAATCGTAGCATTCGATCGTTTTCGATCGGCCAAACAACAAACAACAACTCCCCACATCAACAAAACTGACAGTCGTCGTCGTCGTCTCTTCATTATTTATTTTACGAATACCCATTAACATGACAATTGCAAGCACATAAAATTTAAGTTATAACGTAGAAAACTAGTAAGAAGAAATACGCTAAGACTCGAACAACGTCAAACCAAAATCTAGAAGTACGCAGTTTTAATAAAGCAAATGCGGAAAAGTTTCTCGTATACGTACAAGCTTTCGCATCATAATTGGTCTAAATATTAAAGGACTTTGAGGAAACGGAATTGTTTAGGTGTTCATTTTTACAGCATTTTTATAATCATCTAATACCCGGTTCTCGACAAGTGCAACTGTGTAAAGAACGCGCGGAAGAACGCGATGACCTGTCCGATTTTCTGCATATTTATCTGGATTTTGAAGACTAGGAGCAATAACCGCCAGGTGTTTAGAGGCAGGCCACCAACAATAATTAAGACATTGACATTAAATTTGGTAAGAAATACAACATGACTACTATCCATCGATCTACCTAATTATTTTACTATCAATCGAAAACTATAAAAAAATGCTGCTTATTGTAGTATTGGTCCAAACCGCAAACTCTAGCCAATGCTTCAAGCGCCTAACTTAAGTGAAGAGTAGAAGGTATGTCATTTACCGGTCCTTCGGTTCCAGCACTTGATTTTTATTTTATTTTACAAATTAACAAGTCATTAGTTAGGGTATCTCTTAAAAACAACTGAGATTTATTTCAATGCGCGAAAAAAAATCAAAGCAATATTAGTTTTATAAAAACGTCGATTAGTTAGTTAGCGCAGGGGTTAGTATACATTTGGAGCAAATGACTGCAGATAATTTTTAAAGAAAAGATAAGAGAGAAAAATAAAAATAAAATTGGTTAATACTGGAAAAAATTGGTTTTTATTTCTGCGAATTCAAATCCGTATATTATGTTTATGTTGGTAATACCTTTGGGTTTTCCTTTAATAAGTGGCCGTCTTTCGAAATATAGTTGGTTGATCATAATAAGTCTGTGATCGGATACTTTAGATGATGAATATAATTTCTGTAGTGGAACCAAAAAAACTTTCTTGTACTTAATTATATTCATTTTATGAATCGTGATTTGGTATTATTTTGGTAAGAAAATAATATATAGCTTAGAAAGTTGAAGGATAATTTTTTAATAGTTTTCTTTTCTTCGGTTGGAAAATATTTCTGTGACACCCCCGATTATCTCTTCTGTGTATGAAAGAAAAACAGGAAAAAACAATACAAAAAACCATTTTTGTCGGACATTCAAAATATTTTATCTTTCAGATATACAGAAAGGTATATAAAAAGGAAAACTAGAAGTAGCAATCACTTTCAACCTGTTGCACCTGTATTGAAAAGGACTAATAAAGCATAGAATACCAATAAAATCATAATACCTAATAGGTATTATCTTTGACGGCTAGTGGTTGGTGGTTGATAATATGTCAAAATGTCGAAATATCGACATTCCGCTGAAAACAAATTACAAATAGTTTACCAATAGCCAAAAATCAAGATTTTATAATTTTTTTTCCGCCATCGTTTGATTACGTTCTGGTAGTCAACGTTCCAATTTTCAGTTACCGAAAAAACATCGATTAACTATCGCATAATAAGTCATAATAATAAGTAATGTGGATGGCGGATGGCACTCTGTGGGAAAAGGCTATAACCTATAACGTTGTAAAATTAAAAAATACAAAAAAATTTGGAATAATCCTTGCCGTTTCTTATTAAAAAAAAATATCATCAATACGATATTTTTAAATATACTCGACAACCCTATTTCAAACCCATCTCTAATTCATCGAAGCTAAAGACAGAAGTGTTTAGTCATTTTCAAAGCGACTTGTTTCTGGAGTTTTCCAAACAATATTCATAAAATAGGCCTTGAAACTTCCTAATTCCTCAGTTCAAAAGAAAATATCAACCAGACAAGTACGAACATGGAGTTTCCTCATCTAGGACAACATTGCAGCGAGCCAACTTGCAACCGTTTGGGTGAGAAACTGACCCTGAAAATTGGACAACCAGGAAATACTAATTTAATTAATTTCGATCCGCCTATAGATTTCCTGCCCGTCAAGTGCGACTCGTGCGACAAGGTCTTCTGCGCCTCGCACTACAATTACGATCGGCACAGCTGCCCCAGTGCCCACAGGAAGAACGTCCAGGTGCCCATCTGTCCGCTGTGCCGCGAACCCGTGCCCACTCCTCCGGGCGTGGAACCTGATGTGACCGTGGGCCAGCACATCGACCAGCAGTGCAAGTCGGAGAGCAAGAAGATCTACACGAATCGCTGCCACGCCAAGGGCTGCAAGCGCAAGGAGCTGATCCCGGTGACCTGCTCCCAGTGCCACTTGAACTTTTGCCTGCGTCATCGCCACACGAGCGACCACGACTGCCAGCCGCCGAGTGCCAGGGCTGGAGCAGGAGCAGGATCCTCATCATCTGGCAGCGGCGGATGGCAGTCCATATTCAAGACCCCATCCTCCACCTCTTCCGCTTCGGAATCGCGTTCCATGGCTGCCCAGGCGGCCGAGAGACGCAGGCAGAGCAGGAACACTAGCAGCAGCATTAGCACTACCAATTCCACACCAAGAGCTGTGCAGGCCACCCAAGTACAAAACATTCAGGGCAATATGGTGAGTTGGGTAGCTAAGAGGTCTACTTACTAGCAATACTTATGTTTCTATTTTTGAACTGAGAAGAAACCTTTAGGAGAACAATATTTAGTCTTTTATAATAGGTTTATTACGTATAGAATAGCTTAAAATTGCCATTTCATCAAGAAAATCAGAATTTTGCTTCCTTATTACAGAAAACTGAAATCTCTAGATCGTTCTTGATTTGTATGGAAATTCATGAATTTTTTTTTCTCACAAATCTTTAAATATAGGTCATGTAGCAACACAATACCAATACTTCTGTCTTGAAGAAACCTTTATATTTAGTCTTTGATTATACAATCTTGTAAGAAAAACAGATCTCTAAATTGTTCTAGATTTTTATTGAATCTTATTCATTTATTATTATTATTATATTACTCTCAATACTTTAAATATAAGGAAACCAATCTATATAAGAATATAGAATATAGAAGAAAAATTGCGATTATTAATAAACGTTCTTAAGATCTCCATATCCATTTTAAAGTTCTAGAATTAATAAAAAAATACTATAAGAATTTCTTTACTTAAGAGGAAAGCAAAAGGAAAACTTTATTTAAACACTAAATTCCAGATCTTCACAGAAAATAAGTTTTATCAAAAAGAAAATCGTAATTTCGTTTGCTTATTCTCTAAATTCTAGATCATTCTAGACCTCCATCAATCAACATTCACTACATGAATTTCCTTAATTTCAGAGCGAAGACGAGGCCCTCGCCCGCGCCCTGGCCTTATCAATCATGGAGCAGGATGACGCGGCGGAACGCAACCGCCAAGCACCGACTGCAAATAACGCCCAACAGGTTTCAGTGGGCGGGGCCAGCCAGCAGGCAAATGGCAAGGACAAGTGCCTGCTGTCCTAGTTAACTATAGCTACCAGCCATCTCTCAACATATCCATCACTTGACCAGCAGCAAGGAATCTGCCCAACTATTAGATGTTAATCAATCGCCGTTATCGTAATATTTTGTTGGTAATTTACTTCGACTTCGTCACATTCTACGTGGTTTAGCAAAAATAAATCAATGTTAACTCTACATTTTTGGAAAGCATAGATAGGAGAAGTTTAAATGGGAAATATTGCAAACCGATCTTACGCAACGCAAAACAGATAAATATGATACAAGGCTTAGCTACATAAATAGATACACGTAAGTAGTTCTACAAGGATACATTGCAAATTATTCGGAATTGGCCTGCGATTGTGGCTCTTCCACGATCTTTTCCGTCGATGGTCCTTCCGCGGGCACCACTTCTATCTGGGCAGCGGCTTCCTCGGCCTTTGGCTCCTCCAGCAGCTCGGATTTATTGGACAGCGTGCTTAGCTTTCGGCCGAGAGTGACACTGCCTTCCACCGAGGAGGAGGTACTGATTTTCCGGGCTGCTGCCGCAAAGCTGGCCACTCCCTCGGCGGCCAAAATACTGGCGCTGGACAGGAGTATGGACACCTGCTCGGCCGACGGACAACTCGTGATGATCATATCATCTGTGGAGTAGCCATTGGTGGTTAGCAGTTGTTCCAGCTTCACAAAGGATTGAATGATGTTGTTCTGAAAACAAAGAGGGGGAAATTAGAGCTATGTTTCTGGATAAACATGATGGAGATTTACCCTTATTGGCCGAAAGATAATGAATTCCGTATCACGATTGCTCAGATAGAGCTGCATGGAGCGTTGTAGAACCGCCAGCTTGGCTTTGATCAGGCGCTGCGTCTCCTGGATGATGCTGCTTATCTGCTGCGGACTCGCCCAAGGACTTTGCCTTAAAACGTAGCTAACCTTTGCGGTTTCCGGTGATTGGGGAGTCACCGGGGTAGCTTGATTTAACAAACTCTGCGCCTTTTCGAGGAATGTAACAAGCGGACCCACCAGCATGTGCACCGCATCCTTGATGTACTTCTCGCACACCGACTTCAGCTGACGATCCACCTCCTTGCGCGAGTCTAGCAAATGCTCCTTGATCTGCGGCGTGCCCTCCAGCAGGAATTCCAGCAGCGCATTGTTGCTGCCCATCGAAAAGAGCTGCTTGCGCTTCTGCAGCAGACCAAAGGCAGCCGTTTTTACTTTGCTAAAGTCTAGAGAGGTTTCTTTAACAGTGAAATCCACACGGAATGGGGCAATCTGCTCGCGAAGAATAAGCAAATGCTTGATTTCGAAGAGCTCGCCATCAATTGGGGTTTTGGTGGCGGAAATCTTGCCAGCCGCATGCGAGACACTCTGGATGCAGAGCTTTAGAGCCTCCTGGGAGAGACCCTGGAAAATGGGTCGATCCACGCAGCGATAGAGTCTGGAGAGGCACACCAGTGTGCGACGCACTGTGGGATACCACATGCCATGCAGATCGGCAGGGGAATCTGTAGGAGATTAGGGGGTTTTAGAGGTTGCCTTTGGAATTTCCTGTAGAGGAACTCACTCATTTGCTTCACCCTGTAAGCGGTGTCCACGCTCTCCGTTTCCACGGCACTCGAGACACTGGATATCATGGAGGCTCTAGAATCCGATCGTCGCAAGGGGGCAGGTTCTTGGAGCGACAGGGCAATGCTCTAAAATATATTAACATATGTTACTTCATGCATTTAAATCCCCTCAAGCTAAATACCTCCATCATTTCTAGCTTTTCTGGGTAGGCCAAATCCCCCGACGAGGGATTAAAGTTCTGGATATCCGACTGGAGGTATAGATGCGCTCGAAAGACCAACCGCTCCTGCACATCCTGCAGCAGCTGATGAGCAATGGTGGCAAAGGCCTCCAAGGCGGCAGCTAAAATAAAAATAAAGCCATTAAAAAGTTATAAACAATTATAATAAAAGTAGTTTTAACTAACGATTTTGCTGGACATGCTCTTCCAGCATTTCAATGCGTAAGATTGAGCAGATCTCGGCCAGCGTTTCCAGGTGATTAATGTGTATTATAAAGGGCCGCATGGTGTCGTAGAGTATAGTGCACAAACCCTCTAGGTAAACCCTTAAAAAAGCAAGATAAAATCAATTATAAAGCCATTTAAATCTATCCAAATTAAGCCTACGTCAAGTGCTGAGCTCCCGTGCTGAAGAACTGGTAGAACAGCCGCTGTTCATCCTGGCAGACGTGCACCAGGAAGGCACAGGCACTGCGCGTCAGCGAACAGTGATCCCCCTTGTGGGCAATCTTAACGTTCTGTATCGAAGCATTCACCGCTGGGGACATCACACTCGCCCTCTGAGCCAAATAGTGCTGCTGCAGGTCGGCCATCAACTGGGCGTAGTCCTGACTGTGCTCCGAGCGTCCCTCAATCAACTGGGCCACTCGCTTCACCTTCGCCGCGGCCGTCTGGTATTTGCCGTAGTACAAAGCAAAGGCGGCATCGGGCGCTTTGAGGGCAGTGGAGGCATCGGGCACGTTGTTCTTCGGATGCAGCGTGGCCTCGGTGGCCTGGTTGATCACCCCAGTCACATAGTTCCTCACCAAACCAGAGGCTTTGGCCAGGCACTGCCTGTATTTCACATTGTAAGTAGCAGCATCCTTGAATTTGGGCTGAAAAAATATGGTTTTTAGTATATAAATCAGCAGGGATTGGGAGAATCATCTTACATTCTCCTCTATATAGTTGAGACACTCGTCAATCTTGTTGAGACACTCCCTAAACGCCTCGCTGGCCACCGAAAGCGTGGGACTCTGCAGCCGCTGGTTGAGCAGCTCCACCTGGCTGAAGTAGTGCAGTCGTCGCTGAATCTCGTGGCTCAGCTCCTGCAGCTTCTCCTGCTCTTCGATCAACTGCTCGCTGGCCGTGTTCAAGGCGCTCGTCTTCTGCGACACAAAGTCGTACTCATCGCAGAGGGCTCCCAATCGCTCCATGGCCCCGGCAATCTGGCCCAGCATGTGGGAGCACTCCGCCTTGCGCTGCTCCAGCTGCTGCAGGTATTTGTGGTAGTCGGCGTCGCCACGTTGCTCGATCTCCGCGCTGACGTCCGCGAACCAGAGCAGGAAATCATTGGTGTTCTGCAGACCATCGATGGGGAGTTCCACGTCATCGCCGCTCGGCGGAGGAGTTGCTGCCAGGTGGTCGGCTGGACCAGGCTTTGTTGGCGACGAAGGAGCCGGTGCCTGGAGAGAAACAAGGTGGGTTAGAACAGATCTTCACCAGGAAAGTCCACTCACCGTTGTGGATCCACTATCCCGCCACAGATTCGTGAGCACGTCCAGGTGCTCCTCCTGCTGGACACTCAGCGCCGCCAGCGGGTCCGTCTTGGACTCCCACTGCATCAGGCGGTTGCGAATCTTGCGCAGATTATCATTCTCGCTCTGAATTCGTTCGACGTCATCCATTTTTCTGTTCTGCGGCGGATCTGTGGAAACAATCAATCAGCTGTTCAGAGATGGCAGATCCAAGTTGGCCAGTGATGCCAAATGGGGATAGAGCTGAGCAACTAACTAGTTTATATTTAGAGGATTTCCTTAACTATTCAATTTATGAATTTTACTAAGCTGTTCCAAACAAATTCAATTGTAGCAAAATCTAAAAAGGCCTTCTTTTACACATTTAAATTAAAGCTCTATAAAAAACAACCTATCCCACTTGCTATACATGACTTAATAAATTCTGATGCTAATTCAAGTCAACTGGGAAAGGTGGTATTGGTATATTTTCAGAAAATACAATCAATATCCATTGCTCTTTTACTAATATCCCTTTTGGAAAAGGGATTTTCATCAAACTGAGAATTGTAACAAAACTATTTCCTTCTCGTCATGTATTTTGATGTTTTGAGTTTTTCGATTTTTTACTAGTAGCACACCGATTAAAATAGAATTCCTCGTTTTATGAAAATTAAGAGTTTATTAATTATTATAGTCGCATCTCATAAATAAATAAATATTTTAATTTTTTTTATTTTCCGATGCTCATTTTCAATATCCGCTAGAAAAGCCGGTTCTATTTGGCTATAAAAAAGCTAAGCTCATAGCATCGCCGCTGAACTAAACTAAGCGTTTTCCAACACTGCGTCATCGCAAAAAAGTTCTGATCTCTTTTGTTTTTATTGAATTTTTACCAGTTTTTTCGGGTAATAAAGCTATTAATGGCCCCGCAGCCGGTGGTAACGGGGCTCTCCCCCAAGGAGGGTCCACCTGGCACCCGCGTCATCATCCGCGGCGAGTTCCTGGGCACCCGGGTGCAAGATCTAATTGGTAGGCGTAGTCTTCCCCCGAAATAAACCCACTTTTCTGATGACTTTCCCCTATTTTAGGTTTAAAGATCTGCGGTTCGGATTGCCTGCTATCCGCAGAATGGAAGTCGCCCAACAAGATCATCGCACGCACGGGTCCGGCGAAGGGCAAGGGCGACATCATAGTGACCACCCAGAGCGGCGGAATGGGCACATCCACGGTGCAGTTCCGTGCCTACCACGAAACCATTGGTCCGCTCAAGGAATCTGCCGTGTGGATAGAGGAGTCGCCCTCGCAGAACTTTGCCTGGGGTCGTCGCACTTTAGCCCAGTCGGGATTGACCCAGGAGGATCCTTTGGGCCTCTCCATCGAGGGCAACGAACAGAAGATTCCCGAGGATTTGCGTGATTTGTTTCCCGAGGCCTGCGGCGATCTCTCCCAAGAGCACTTCTCACCCTCGTGGTTCCTGCTGGAGAATCATCTGGCCACCTCTTTTGAGGACCTGAAGGCGGGACTGTCTTATTTGAAGCGCAAGGTGGAGAGCCAGAAGGAGGGCCAGTTGTCCTTCCTCAAGTCGAATGCGGGCTCGGTGATTGACCAGCTGGACACGCTGATGAACATTAGGGACAAGCTGCAGGAGGATGTCAAGCTGCATGGGAACGAGACGCTGAATGTACTGGAAACATCCATTGAAAGTGAGTTTTTCTCTTAAGAGAATCCTACTATCCTATCCTATTACACACTGTAAAAAAACTTGTGTAAAAAAGTTATTGACTTGTGTGTAAAAAATTGTATCCTACATTTGATAGAAACATAGATAACACACATACATATGTCATTTGTGTTATTTACTCGACGTGTTTTTTACACAGCGTGTTTATAACACAATGAGTTTTTGACATTAAAGTGTCAGAATTATATGTTTAACTGAAAAATGCACGTTTTCTAAAGTATAAAAATTAATATAAATGGTTAAGACTAACATATATTCATTTTCCCTTTGATTCGTTAATGTCAGTGAAATATAATTTTCATTTGCGTTAAAAACACATTGTGTAAAAAACACAAGTAACAATTATTTTTCACATTTTAACACTTTTGTATTTGACACACATGTCAAAAATTTTGCTCACACTGTAAAATAAAATTTTTCATGTTTTTAACATGCGTGTCTATCTCCCTCTTACAGACTCCATCAGCGAGTCGCAGAAGATCTTCACGGATGTGCTGGTGCGCAAGGAGAAGGCCGACTCCACCAGGTCGGTTCTTTTTGCTCTCTCACGTCACAAGTTCCTCTTCTGCCTGCCCAATTCGGTGGACCGGCGGGCCAAGGCGGGTGAGTACGACATAGTTGTGAATGACTATTCCCGCGCCAAGAATCTCTTTGGCAAAACGGAGATTCCCATCTTCCGCAAAGTCCTGGAGGAGGTGGACCACAGGATACTGTCCATTCGGAAGCAGCTGCACGAGAAGGTGGTCAAGATGCCGCAGAGCGTGGAGCAGCAAAAGAAGCTGATTAAGGCTTTGATCAGCTTGGAGCTTCAGCAGAGCGGCACGCCCATAGGCGAAAAGCTGAGGAATATCGATCCCGCCTGGGATGCCATCGAAGCGAGGGCCAAGTACTTAGAGGGCACCTTCCGCCAGACCTTCGAGCAGCATGCCAACAAGGATTCGAGTGCGCAGGAGAAGGTTAAAAGCAGGGATCCCAGCCAGGCACCCAGTCGTGTGAACTTTTGCGAGGAACTCTGCGACATTGCCGCCTCACAGCTGCCGGATTTGTGGCGTCTGGGGCAGCTTTACTTCACGGGAGAGCTGCGCGGTCCACATGATCCCAAGCCGGGTGACTTTAAGCGAATGATCCTGAACGCCATTGAAAAGTTTTGTGTCTACTTGAGGCTCGCTATCCTCATTGCCGCCGATCAACGTTCGCTGCGCCAGTCGAGCGGCCTTTCGTGGCCCATTGGCTCCGCCTCGGCCACGCATCAGTTTCTCCCCTGGATTCCGCAGTGCCTGCGCTTCACGAGAATAGCCTATGCCACGCTGATCAGCTTGGATTTGCCCTCAGAAGCACTGGATATTATACAGAAACTAATAGACGAAGTGCGCCTGTTTTGCTTCTCGATAATCTTCAAGCGAGCCACGGATCGTTGCAAGAAGCTGGGCAGCCAGGAGTCCTGGGAGCTGGGCGTGGAGGAGTATCCAGGTGCCACCTTGCTGCCCGCTGCCCTAGAAACCCTGCTCATTGAAACCCTAGACGAAGTGCAGTCGGTGTGCATGCAGCGGGAGACGCGGGAGGGTAATCTCCTCGAGCCGCAGTCGGATGGTCAAAGGGAGGTTACGCAGCGCCTGCAGGAGCTCCTCTCCGCTTTTAGTGGTGTAATAGAAGAGCTGGCCTTTCACTCGCACGACGAGGAGACGCCCACGCACAATGTATCCCAGCTGCTAGGATTTCCAAATGCCCAGCAACCGGATTCGGTGGCCGGAGGAGGAGGAGGCGGAGCAGCAGCTGTCACCTGGGAGCAGCGGATGCTCTGCTGCCTGGCCAACTATGCGTACTGCAACAAGAGCTTCTTTGCTCGCATCGGCGAGATCTTCGTGCGCTACGGCTATCCACTGCCCACTTTGGCCATCGAAACAGCTCGCTACACGGTGAATCAACTGTTTACCAATCTCCTAGAGGAATATGTGGAGCACAAGGGCGATCCCCTCGTGGGCACCATAGAGCCTTCCATGTATTTGGGTCGCTTTCAGTGGGATCACGAGATGGAGATCGGCCAATTGCGTCCATATGCCCACGAATGTTGCGATAATCTGGTTGGGGTTTACTCGGAGATCTACAGTATTTCACCAGCACTTTTGCGTCCGATTCTGGAGTCCATTGTGCAGACCATCTCCGAGGAGCTGGCCCGCCTGATGAGCTGCGTCCAGCGGTTTAGCTTCACGGGCGCCATTCAGGCCCATGTGGATATCCGACTGCTGAGGGATTCGCTGGAGGGCTACGTGAATGAAACGGCCAAGTAAGTTGGCTTTATAAAATACCTATAATCCTATAAAATAGCTCATACTCTTATCCCTTGTAGAAACTACTTTATGGAGGCACTGGAGGCCATCAATCCCCCGCTGAGCGGCGAGCAGAAGCGCAAGGCAGACGAGATTCTGGAGCGGGTGAAGCGCAACATGCGACTGCAACTCCTTTGCTTTAGCGTGAGGGATCCCTAGGAACATTCCACATAGACTAAGCCTAAACTATATAACTTGTGATTCAAGGGATAAATCTTTATTCGAACAGAACACAGAAACTATCTTACAGGGTTCGAAATTAACACACATGTTAAAAACATGAAAAATTGTATTTTACAGTGTGAGCAAAATTTTTGACATGTGTGTCAAATACAAAAGTGTTAAAATGTGAAAAATAATTGTTAGCACACACAGCTCCCTTGTGTTTTTTACACAATGTGTTTTTAGCACAAATAAAAATTACATTTCACTGACATTACATCAAAAACTCATTGTGTTAAAAACACGCTGTGTAAAAAACACGTCGTGTAAATAACACAAATAATATGTGTGTTATTTATGTTTCTAACATATGTAAAATACAATTTTTTACACACAAGTTAATACCATTAAACATGTTAATAACACTAGTTTTTTACAGTGTGTGTTATTTTCCGAAATCTGCTATCTTATTTACAATCCTAATATCTTTGGATCAAAGTTAAAGTCATTCTGCGCCATATTCTTGATCACCTCCTCCACATCGATCGAGTTGAACTTCTCCTGGACGCGCTGCTTGATGGGATTCTCGATGGCGTCCATGATCTGGTAGCGCAGCAGGTTCGGGATCACATTCACAGCGAACTCCATAATGTAATCCAAGGTGCCGGCTCCATCGCAACGCACCTGAATGTTGCCCATGTCGAACTGCAGGTCGGTTATCTGCGCTCGCTTGCGGGTGTCCAAAGATTGACTTACGCCCACGGTGGCTCGGATGTGCTGGACGGTGAACTGGACATGACCGACGCGGGTCATCATGCCCAAACCCACCTCCCATTGGCCAGCTCCCGTGATTTGTTGGGTTCCCACCTGCAGAAGCAGCGACACCGTCTTGTTGGCCATCCCGGCGGTTATGTTGCCCACCCGATAGAAGCTCGAGATGCCATTGATCCATGTGTGAGCCAGCTGAACACTAAAGACGCCCATGGTGCGATTCACATCGGGCAGATGATACGGATCGTAGCCCTTCTCCCGCACCATCTTGCGGGCCATCGCAATGGCGCTATCCAGCGGGGTTATCGAGTTGGGCAGCCGGCGGTCTCCCAAAGTCTTCTGGATCATCGTGTCGATCTCGCTGCGCAGCTTCTTGTCCGCCTCCTGCAGCATAAATGGCTTCATGGCATCGAAAACGAGATTGGGTGCCCCATTCACCACGCTCTGGAAGACGCTGCCCACCAGGCCGAGGTTCTGGAAGTCCATGGTCATGTCCGAGAAGGTGATATCGATTTTGATGCGGTCCACGGCCAAGTGGCCATCCCGTTCGACGGCTAGAAAAGCAGTGGCTTCGGCATAGACGTTCTTCAGGACCACAGTAAAAGGACCACTGCCCTTCGAGAAAAAGGAGCTCATCGTGTACTGGCCCTTGCACAACATCTGATCCAACTGGAGGCCACCATTGAACTGGAACAAGGAGTGGGAATTAAATATAAAATATATTCTTTATTAATATAGGAGGATTCGGAAATTGACACACATGTTAAAAACATTAAAAATTGTATTTTACAGTGTAAGCAAAATTGTTGACATGTGTGTCAAATACAAAAGTGTTAAAATGTGAAAAATAATTGTTAACACACACAGCTCTCTTGTATTTTTTACACAATGTGTTATTACCACGACGTGTGTTTTACACACTGTGTTTTTAACACAAACAAAAATTACATTTCACTGACATTAACGAGTCTTATATGGCACTATTACCCATTTTAAAGAATATATGAATTGCTATACTCTAGAAAATCGTGCATCTTTTAGTTCAACATATAATTTTGACACTTTAATGTCAAAAACTCATTGTGTTAAAAACACGATGTGTAAATAACGCGAATGACATGTGTGTTATTTATGTTTCTAACATATGTAAAATAATGTCTTGTACACACAAGTCAATAACTTCTTTTGAACTTTACACTCTTAACAATTTTTTTACAGCGTGTTTTATTTTCCGAACCCTGTAATATAGTAACTCACCCTCATCTCCTTCAGGTCCAAATTCATTTTGTCTATGCGAAACTTGGACAGTCCGTAGGCCTTCACCTGCTTCATGTCCAGATTGACCATGCCCATGCTCTTCTTCACATTCGGCACCTCCAGGGGATCGGGCACTGGGACGCCGGGCAGACCCTGCGGATCCTCCTGCTGGAAGTGCGCCAGCATGGCCTCCACCTGGGCGGCTACGTTGGCCTTGCTCTCCTCGATCCTAAGTGCGTCATTCGATTCGCTGGCTACTGCTCAAAGGTCATTATAGTTACGATTGAGCTGGGATCATCAGGATTTGGCTCACCTTCTCCGGTTTCCTGTGACTGAGCAATGTGGCAGCACAGACCCACGAGTACAATCACTATCAGTGACTTCATCGGGGATTAGATTGAACTTCTCTGCTTATCAGTTCGCGGGGAAAAACAACAAGGAAAAGGCAGCCTCCGTTCGCGACTCGCGGCAAACACGCACTGCCGACTGGCGCGTTAATCAAAAGATAATGATGAGCTAAGCCAGCAGGCGGCGATCCGCTTATCTAAGGGCGACTCTTCGCCGCGGAGCCCCTGATTAAACTCGGAATTGAGAACGAGTGACTTAAGTGAGCGGAAACGGTGCTGAATTGGAGAGTCTGCAGTCTGGAGGCACTCAATTCTCCCGCTCTGAAGTAGGATTGCGTTCCAGAAATCTCGAAAGACCTTTTAGATTTAGGAAACAGCACTTTGTAATCGAAGATTAAATTTAAACTTCTTATAAATTCAGAATAACTACCTATAACTTTATAGTTACCTTCAATTCTTTAATATTTCCCTACACATATTTCCAGAATAACCTTTCAAAACCCACCCATAACTTTAAAATCACCAAATTCTTTTAGATTATCAATGCTCATATTTATTTGCATATTTGTTTAATATTTTAGTTATATTTTCGCATATATATTACGGCTATATATGGCTTGTTTAAATTATTGTTTCACGTGCTCAAAAAAATTCATGCTCAAAAAAATGTCTTAACCTATTCAAAAAAAGTTTCTTAGCCTAGGAAAAAAATTGTTTTTTTTTGGCTCACAGCAACCGCATTTTGAGCAAAGCATTTCGTTAAACGAGAATTATTCTTTAGTTTTTCTGACTATTGCTTTGCCCTTAAATACATATTCTAGTTTTTTTTTAGCGGCAGCTGAAGAATTGCTTTACATATTTATATGTAAGTCACATGGCTTAATACTATACGACTTGTTGGGGTTGTTTAATAACTAAACAAAAAAAAATTGAGTTTTGGAAACGTTTGCTGGTTGATTACAAAAAGGGTGGAAAGTCCTCGGGAAGAAGAATGCTCCTAAGAGATAATTATAAGTTGATTTGAGATACAGGAACTATACAGGTTGAAATAAATATGCTACAAACAGGAAAAATAAGAGGATCAATGAGGATCAACACTCAGTACATGGGAATAAAAAAAATGGAGATACAAAAAACATTCCAAGGACAAAACAACATCTACAGATCAGTTTTCCGCGCTTACAAATCATCCGAACCGGACATTATCTCCTCGAACAGCGAGTGGGCGTTGTCAGTGACCGACGATCTGTCGCCAGCGGCAGAATTGCTCCTCGATCCGCCACTGACAAGCTCGTCCACGGTGTCCAAAGCCGAGAAGTTGGCCCTTCCCCGCCGCGTTCGAACTTTCGAGGTTCTGAACTTCTTGGCCGGCGGCTCGATGACGATCGGAATTTCGGGAGCTGGCGGCGGTGGTGGCGATAGCGATGGCGGCGGTGCATCCGGCACGGGAGGCGGCGGAGGTGGCAAGATGTAGGCGAATTTCGTATAGGAACCCCGCTCATCATTTAGCTGCACTTCGACGCCAAGGCAACCAACTGCGACGGGATCAACGGGCTTGTTGCCCTGGAAGAGATTGAAGCCTGCAAAGGGTTAAAGAGTTAGTTAGTTGATGATTTAACTGAGCTATTTAAAAGCCTACCCTGCATTTGTCCATGCTCGTTTTGCATCACCACCACGGGATGCTCGGCCATTAGCCAGTTGGGATGTGGTTCCAAGGTGATGTTGCCCGTTGGCGGAGGTTCTGCAGGTGCTACTGGCTCCTCTGAAGGTTCTACTACTGGCTGCTCTGGTTGTGCCTCCTCTGCAACTGCAAAATCCTCCTCATCATCCTCAAGATCGCTCTCCACAAAGTCCTCCAGATGGGGATTCTTGCATCCCACGCAATTGCAGCCAGCGCAACTGTTGTAGTTCTTGTAGCAGGGACATCTGCCATTTCGGCAGGTGGTCAGCGGATTGGCCGAGCCAGAGACGCCGCAGCGGCACTTGGCCTTCGCCGGCTTCTCATTGCCCTCCGCTTGCTTGCCGCCGCGCACCTTGCGGAAGGCTCCCTTCCCCGCCTGCAATTTGGCTTTAATTTCTGCCGGTGCGGGTTCGATTTTAGCTGCCTGGGTGGCTTTTGGAGTGCGAGTTTTCTTGCGCTTGGCCGGGGCTTCCTCCTCCTCCTCCAGCTCCTCGTTGTTGGGCTGCCAGTCCTTGTCTTGCGCTTCCTCGGGAGTTACCTGCTCCTCCTGCCACTCCGTTTGCACCTGGGACAGCTTTCTTTTGTGGGTAAGCTGTTCTTCTTGGGGAATTTCCTCCTCCGCTGGCAAAGGAGGCTCTGCAGCGACTTGTTCTCCCTCCACAACCTCCTCAACGGTGGCCAGAGGCTCCTCCGGCTCAGCCAGCTCCTCCTCCTCCTCAATTTCCCTCGCCAGCACAGCCAACTGAGTGGTGGTGGTGGTCTCAACAGTTTCCACAGTCTCCACGGTCTCCTCAACTTCAGCCAGCACAGCCAACTGTGCGGAGTTGCCCATCTGCACCACCTGGCCGATCTGCAGTTCCTGAGGATCAAAAGGCGTCGAGGCATAGGAAACAGCAAAGGTTGTGCTGTTCCCGGGGAAACTAGACACAGAAACGGCATTGGACAAATCCACCTGATCCGGCCAAGCGTGCTCCATGAATCCCGATTCAGAGGACTCGGTGGCGATGACTATCTGCCCGCCGGCCATCTGGTGATGCAGCAGGCCCATCCTAGAGCCCGTGGGCAGCAGGGGCAGTGGCGAGTAGTGACCCTGTTCCGCGGTGGCCGCCGCCTCAGCCTCAATTTCGCTGATATTCAGGCGGTGATGATCGTAGGGGATTTCAGGCGTAGTTGCAGCCGTTGTGGGTGGAGTCTCAGCGGGCAGCGAGGAGGGTAGATCCTTGAGAAAGGGTAGATCAGGCTGGGGGAGAAACAAATCTCCCGTATCCGAGATATTTGAGCCCTCGCGTATGAACTCCTGAGTGGTCAGAGGAGGCAGCTTGATGCGCGGCGCCAGTTCCCTGGGAAGTTGAGGCTTCAAACCCGCCAGCTGCCCGTAGAGCGAGGAATGCATCAGGTGGACGCACAGCGTCTTGTAGCAGAGCAACTGGGTGCCCATCATGCGGTTCTCCTCGTAGGTCCTGAAGTCTGAGCAATCCTCGCATTGCGAGCACTGCGGAAACAAACGTTTCTTGCCGCGCAGGCACAAACGACACACATTGTGCTGGCATCTCTTGCCCTTTGGAGTATATGGATCCACCAGGAGTTGGCAGCAAACCACGCAGGAGAGGAGCTGCCGGAGTTCACCGATCCCCGCATTTAGCTCATCCACGCGGCGCATGGAGAGATTGGAGGTGGAGCGCAGGGAGAGGCTTGTCACCTTCAAATACGCCGATGTGGCCAGCATGGTGGCTATATTCGTGTGGCCGCAACTGTACGAGGGCCGGCGTTTTCGTTTTGTTTACCACCCAGTCGCCCGAAAACGTGAGACTCCGCTGGCCAAAACAGCCTCCTCGGCTACCTGGTGGCCTCCTGCCGTATTACCTGTATTATCCTGCCGCTGGGTACCTCAATTACACATCCTTGAACGCATTTAATCCTTGAATTCTTGGAATTCCTTATTAAATCGGATTATTTTCACAGGAACGCTCTTTTCGGTTTCACTTTTTTCTTCGTTGTTTGCGAATCCTTAACACTATGTTTCACGTGCAAAAAAAAAAAAAAATATGGGGGTTTATGTTTGAGTGGTCTCAAGGCATCGTAAATGGTTTGCACTGTACAGTGCGCACTTGAAAATAAAAATAATTTAACTTAAAAAAAATTTACCCAAGCGAGTGCTGAGCGTAGCAGTGTGACCGCAGTGTGGCCAAAATACCAACTGTGGGACCGTTTTAGGCTGTGGATAAAAGACAATTTAACGAAACAGCTGATTAATTAAGCCGATTTTACAAATTAATTTTAGAAATATTTGTAGACCTCGTATATAGTCAAGGAATTATAATTATTTTCCTTGATTTTCTATTTATGTTTCTGCAATAATAGCGAGACAATTAAATTATTTCCATGTTCCATTATCCATTGTTCCTTAATCCCCGTTAGCTCGCAGTTCTACATTTTTCGATTATCCAGCCTGCGGTCCTACTAAAAATTGTACACTAAGTTTTTTAAGTAATTATGGTTTTTTAAGGTTTTTCCCGTTAAAGGAGCAGAAAATAATTAGATTTATAAACTTATAGTTATCCTTATATTCCAGGTGAAAGGAAAGCCACAAAATGCCGGAGCCGCGCAGTCCGATGGCCAGTTTCGCCGAGTCGGTGCTCAATGTCATCGATGGCCCCATAACTTGGTTCCGCGGTACGTAATCCTTAAGGATTGGAATCCACTATGGTCTCAGGACAGTCCAGACCCTGTTTAGATGGTTTTCTTTTAGCCAGGGAAGCGAAAAAGTGGAAAAACTCCTGGCAATTACATAATGACATAACCTCAATACTCCGGAGCATTTGTTTTTGTTTACACTGATCTGCTAAAATGCTAAAACCTAGATTATCTTGGGATTATAGTAGAATAAGGTTTAGGAAATCTTAGAAGTCAATATAAAGAGATCTGTTACCATGTAAATATTTAAGCTGAAAGCCGGATAAAGTCATACTTGATTTTTTCTTGTCATTATTTGAATCAAGATCCTGTCCGTTAAAGTTTCATGTCCGTACGACCAAGTTATACTTGATTCTTATCTGATCATCATCATTTTGAATCAAAATCTTGTCCGTTGATAAAGTTTTTCAATATTTTGCCTTTAGATAATCTATTGTTACTTCAATAGCTACCCACGTTCCAAATTTCATAACAGTACGACCAATTATAAGATCAGAACAGAGATTTTTAGGACCCATGTTAATCATATGAATTTTATTTTCAATATTTTGCCTTTAGATAAACTATTATCATTTCAATACCTTTCCACATACCAAATTTTATATCAGTACGACCAATTTTACGATCAGTACAGAGATTTTTAAGATCCATGTTAATAATATAATTTCTACCCCTTAGAGAGCATTGTGGAGCCGAACCAGGAGAAGCAGAACTGGTACCACCAGCGCTTCCGTCGCGTCCCGACCATCGATCAGTGCTACACGGACGACGCCGTCTGCCGCTTTGAGGCCGATCAGCAGTTCCGCCGGGATCGCATGGTGGACAACGAGATCGTGAACATTCTGCGCCAGCGCTTCGAGGACTGCACCCTCTACGAGGCCCCCGATCACATCGTCAAGTGCAAGCCGCTGCTGGAACAGTACGAGAAGGCCACCGAGAACTGGTTCATCAAGTGTGAGTGGATAGTCCACTATATTTAATCTTCAATTTGGCACCTTAATGAACGCTGAACCCCATTTTTAGATGGCGACTTGGGTGGCTATGCCAATGCCAAGACCGCTTACATGAAGCAGAAGCATCGCCTCATCTGGGAGCGTCGTCATGGACCCGTGGGCAGTGGCATGAAGGAGGAGGCCGCCCATTAAGCACTGCTTTTATCTGAGCCGATGTTTTCTAGTTTCATTATCCGTTATAACTAAATATACACGCCCTGAAATGCTAATCCCAAGGATTGGGCTGAATTTCCATTGTTTTGAGTGCGGAAAATTAGGAATCCCCGGCAAATACTTTGGAATTTGATAGGTCAAAAGGTTTATATGATATATATATAGTAGATCTGTCTGTCTGTCCGCTTAATTTAAATGAAATTTAAATCATTTGTCTAAAGTTTTTATTATTCAAAGCCATTAAGGCAAATGTTCATTTTATAATTGTGCATAATACTATTTTCTAAGGTCTTGATGATAAAATATTAGCTAGCTTAAAACTATTTGAGACAATAAATTCTCAAGAGAGAAAGTCTTTAAAGTTATCAAGTCGGTGTTAAGTTTATAAAATTCACAATTCTATTTGGTTTTTAAGACTCCAAGAAATTCACAATAATTGTTGATGAAATCTTGAATTAATTCTTTTGTTAAAAAGCTGAATTATTTCAAAGAAGCATCAACTACTAATCAAGAAATAATTTTTCGTCTCTTTAAAAATTAATCAATGGTCCAAAAACCATTTCCTTTCTCTCTAAAGAAAGAAGAAATTACACTTTTCCTAATGGAATGAGATAAAACTCTCTTTTGTGCTACCATTCAACTAGGGATTAAACTTAAAGCTCAACTAATCGAGACCAGTGGCTTGTTGATGAGACTCTTTTTGAGCTTGGCCAGTGCGCTATTTGCGGCCTTGCTGTCTCCTGGCTTCTTGTCCTTGTTCTTCGGGCCCAAGGGAATCATGGTGGTGTCCATTAGCTTGCGTCGGAATCCCTTGTAGAATTGCAGCACCTGCGGATTGGCCCACACTTGCTTGGCATCGAAGTCCAGGATGCGAATGGATTGCAGGGACTTGGCTCGCGACAAGGCTACATAAGCTTGTCCAGCCTCAAATACTTTCGACAGGGACATTTCCACGCAATCGAGCGTTAAACCCTGACTTTTGTGGATGGAAAAGGCCCAGGCCAACTTCAAGGGAACCTGACGACGTGTAATGAGGCCTCCTGTGGCGGTTTTTATGATCCACTTCTCGTGCTTGCACACGTATTCCTGGTTGTTCTTGAATCTAACCACAGGGAGATCCTTATCCATGCGAACTACCACGCCGCGTGCTCCATTCACCAGACCATTGGATATGTTTATGTTCTTGAGCAGCATTACCTGCGCATTCACTTTCAAGTACAATTGCGAGGGAGCCTGAATCTGTTGATCCAGCGTTTTGGTCATGCCCGCATCCGAATCATCAGCCTTGAACAGAATCTTGTCCCCCTCAAGATTCTCCAACTTGGACTCGTTAATCGAATTGGCGTCGTTGGTATGGGAGCACAATTGAGTGGCCAGAATGCCGTTTCCCTCGATTTTCTGCTTCGAAGTGGCTGCCAGTCGAGTGGTTATCGAATCATTCACATGACCTATACGTAGATGGTTCAGGATCTTGACAAACTCCGGATCCGATTGACGATGCACCTGCTTCAGCTCGTAGACACACTGGATGCAGGTCTCCCAGGCGCTGGACTGAAAGCAGAAGCGCTGCTGCGGCGATGCAGAGGGGGCAGAACCAAAGTCCGCTTTAATAACCGGTGGCAGCTGCAGGAAATCGCCGCACAAGATGAGCTGGATGCCGCCAAAGGGTCGATCATTGCGACGAATGTGTCGGGCAACGGCTTCGATTTTCTAAAATAGAGATATAAGGTGTTTAAATCAGGGTTTGGAAATTGACACACGTGTTAAAAACATGAAAAATTGTATTGTACAAAAACTAAAGTGTTAAAATGTGAAAAATAATTGTTAGCACACACAGCTCACTTGTGTTTTTTACACAATGTGTTATTAACACGACGCGTTTTTTACACACTGTGTTTGTAACACAAATAAAAATTACATTTCACTATATGTTAGTTTTATATATGTTAGTTTTAACCATTTCAAAGCACATATAAATTCCTTTACTCTAGAAAATCGTACGTTTTTCAGTTCAACATACAATTCTAACACTTTAATGTAAAAAACTCATTGTGTTAAAAGCACGCTGTGTAAAAAACACGTCGTGTAAATAACACAAAAGACATGCGTGTGTTATTTATGTTTCTAACATATGTAGGATGCAATTTTTTACACACAAGTCAATAACTTTTTTTATATTTTAACAATTATGGAGAAAATAATACCTCGAAGAACTGTCCATCCACCATGGAGATCTCGTCGATGATCAGCCGCTTGCACTTGCGCCATGTCTGGGCGCTTACGGGTCGGGCAGCCAGCTCCAGGCACCGCTGCATGGTGGCGTCTCCACCGCCAATCCCGGCAAAGGCATGCAGCGTGGTGCCGCCAATCAGGCAGGCAGCCACTCCCGTGGAGGCCGTGGCCACGGTGCCATCGGGCGGCAGGGCCGAGATGATCCTTCGCAGCAGGAAACTCTTTCCAGTGCCGGCGGAGCCAGTGAAGAATACATTTTTCCCGGAGGTGCAGGCACGCAGCACCTCCATTTGCTCTTCACTTAGTCTCAGTGATTCATCGGTGGCCGCCTGGTAGAGTTTCTTGGCCGCTGGCAGGCTGCCTCGCTCCTTCTCCTCCCGCAGCTCCTCGAAACGCCTTTTCTTAGACGCCTGCGGCGAGGGCGTGGTCACTGAGCCCTTGGACAGCAGTCCCGCCTTTTTGCGCGCCAAAATCATCTCGGCCGTGGTAACTGGAGAAACCTCTTCGAAGCTGCTGGGTTTCCCGGACATCAGGTGCTCCCGCAGCTTCTTCTGCAGGGAGGCATCATCCGGCTGGGATCCTCCCTCGGTTCCATTCATTTTGATGAAGATTGTGCGCAGGAAGAACATCAAAGTGCCCGGTGGGGCATTCGATAGGTAGATGGTGCAGTTCTCCGCCTTGAAGTTAAACGTGGCCTTGCCCTCCGCCATGAACTTCTTGTGCACCATCAGGTCCTTTAGCTTGAACTTCAGGGGCTTCAGCTTCTCCGGCGTCACCTCCACAAACAATTCACGCAGATCATTCCGCACCAGACGCAAAGTGGCCGTCTTGTAGGCCAGTTTGCGACCCGTAATCCCCACCGCATTGGTCCACTGCATGTTCACCGCACAGGTGAGCACTGCGTCGTTTAGATCCATGGCAGATTTACCTCGTCTTTATTCAGATTTTCGTTTAAATTAGTTTAAATTTAAATTATTAAAAAATCCATGCGCGAAACAGAACAGTGTGAGTTCACGCGTTGTGCTAAGAAATCCCAAAAGCGCATGTGGGAAAATACCAAAAATACTACATTTACCGGGTTGAGGACAGTGACTAGTCACGGTTTTTGTTTGGTATTCTCGAATTGAAACTATCTTTTAAAATACCAAAAAAAACCTTTTAGCCAAGTTCCCTTCCACGATCAGCTGGGACTCAAACCAAGCTAGGATTCTATTTTCCGTTGGAATTTTGAATTATTTTTGGTAGGGATACTATTCTTCATTAATAAATTAATTAAAAATATTACAAAGAAATTTCCAATAGCGGAACGACCCAGTTTCATCATCTTTGTATTATTTATCACCACTTAATAGGTGCATTTGATTACATGATTCATAAAATGAAAGCTTCATTAGCACTGATAAATAAAATGTATAAATAATAATAATATATTATATATAATAATAATATTCAACTGTGAAATATCGTAATTATATTTAAAAACTGTATAATTCATAACAAAGAAGTAGGCTTGGAAAACAAATTTGTTATAAATACACAGAACCAGGGAACGAAAATAACTGTTATTTTTGTTTTTTTAAACAAAAAAATCAACGACAAGGAAGACTCATAAAAAAAAAAAACTATACCACTGTCATTATAAAACATTGTATTTTACATATTCGCAATGATTTTTATTTTTGCAATTTTTATTTAAAACTCAAAAAATAATCGTTATTCTCTGAGTTTTATATAAAAATTGACAAATAACACTTATTCTCTGAGTTTTATTTTCCTCCTGGAAAATAACAGTTATTCCTTGAGTTTTATATAAAAATCAAAAAATAAAACTTATTCTCTGAGTTTTATTTTTTCGATCAAAAATAAAACTCAAAATCGTTTAGTGGCGGCTGTGTAGGCGATAAAAATGTTTTAAAAAATAAGGTATGGTATTTGATCTGTTGGGTTTATTTAAAGATTTTTACCAACTGAAAATAACCACCATAAGTATGATTAATTAATTAATTTACGTCGCGCAAAGGAGAAATCCAAGTTTTAATTCATTATGCGCGGATCCACGGAATGTGATATGGGTAATACATTTGGTCAAGAAAATCCATTGTATATACTGGCTCAGTGGGTAAGTGTAAGCTCCACATATATATATAATATATGTATAATAACAGTAGTTCAACTCTTACAATTTTTTATAATTTATTCATAAAAGAAAATTCGTCTTGTATGTCTCCGCTTAGACGTCAAAATTCTTATAATGTGTTCGTTTATATTCATAGAGTCTAGTATAAGCATCTGCTCCCAAAAAAATAATTTTGAATATTAATATGGGACGTGAAGCCTATAACTTACCGCGAAACTATTTCGATTTTGATGCAATAAAAAATCAATCAATTTGTAAAATATGCAAAAAGAGTTTTGCAGGTTCCTACTTATCGAATTTAAAGCGACATCTTTCGGACCACCACAAAAACGTTCTCGATAAAGACTTGCACGATAGAAAAACCATTATAGAAAAAGACTCGAAAATCAAGTTTTCTGTCAGCATGACTAAAAGTGAAGTCATGGAGGCTTGTATAGACTTGGTAACATCCGAAAAAATGCCGTTTTCGGTGTTGGATTCAGAAGCTTTTACCACTTTAACCGGGCAAATCTTCGATGGTCTCAATATGAGCCCTATTTCATCAAGAAACATAATGACGTTAATTGCCAGGAAGTATAATGAGTTAAAAGACTCTATAAAGTTGTTATTTAAAAACCAAATTATATGTATTAAAATGGATACAGCAACAAGATGTAACCGTGGAATTTTAGGAATCAACGCCCAGATGTATCATAATAACCGGATTTGCGTAAAAACTCTCGGACTTGTCGAACTGCACCAAAGACATTCAGGTAGCAATCTATGCTCGGAAATCGAAGATATTTTAAATGAGTTTGATATTTCAAAGAATCAGATATACAGCATAACCACCGATAATGGCAGGAATATGATTAAAGCTGTGTCTCTTTTAACCGAGGACCCTGCATTTAACATGGATGATGATGACGATGACGACGATCTAATTAAAAACCTGGAATTATTTTCTATCACATCTGTTAAATGCGCTGCCCATACCCTGCAGTTAAGTGTAAAGGATTTTCTTAACAACCCGGAGTGTATCAAATTCATAGAAAAAGTGCGTGCAGTAGTCAAAATGTTACGGACTCCGTCATGCAGGTTTGTATTAATAATATTACATTACTAGATGGCATATCCTTAAGTTTTATAAATGTTTAAGGTATAAGTCTTGCGCCCAGGGATTACCTCTACCCGTCATGGATGTCCCAACTCGTTGGGTCTCAACATACTTGATGTTTCAAAGACTGTTGGATTATGAAGCGTTTTGTAAAAATGAATATAATGATCTATCAAAGTTGACGGCTACTGATTGGAGTATGATCAGAACTATGTGCAATACTTTAGAGCCATTATTCGTCGCTACCAAAAAATTTCAATCGGAGCAAATGTTTTTGGGAGACTTTTATAAGATATGGCTCGAATTAAAGCTAGCTGTAAAAGCGATGGGTACCAGTAATAAGGTATTGGTGGATTGCCTTCAAAAAAGAGAAGATACCCTTTTGGAAAATCATATCGTTATTTGTGCAGTCTATTTGGATCCTCGTATTCGTCGAGTTTTGAATAAAAACCCTCAAGACATAATCAGAGCAAGAAGTCAGCTGAAGCAATTGTATTTACAGATACATGCTGTTTATAACAAAGTAAGTAAAAAGCTTCGGCTTATACATTAATTAATAATTTGGTATGACTTAATATATGTTTTAATTTGATTTGTTTAGAGCGATTCTCGTCAAAATATACCTGAAGATGAACCAACATCATGTTCTAATCAATCGAACTCTCTCCTCAAAGAGTTTCTTAACTCTTTTGAAGATATTCAGAGTGTAGAGAACTCCGACGCTTATGATGAGGACATTAAAAAAAGCCTACAGCGAAATCGACAATTTTTGCCCCAAGCCTATCGATGTAAATACGGATGTTATGAGTTATTGGGAGGAGAAAAAATTCGTATATCCATACCTCTACCAAATGGCAAAAGTGGTACATGCCGTGCCAGCTACCCAAGTGAGCGTTGAGAGGTCCTTTTCTGCTCTCAAGTTAATTCTAACGGACCTTAGATCCAAGCTATCATCAGAATCCATAAAACAACTTTTATTTGTGAAGCTAAATAAAAAGTTTAAATAAATTCCAGCTTAAACCTTACACCACTGGCATTTTTAAACATTGTATATATATGCGTTTTTTAGGATAAAACTCATAATAGTTACGATTACTGTTTGCAGTCTTATGTTATAATTTTTCGTGACGAATGCTGCAAAATATAGACAAAGCTTTATATCTGAAAAAAGGATTTACCCTCAGCTGGAAGTTAACCTCTGTTGTTGTGGAGCTGATACTTATCACTGAGCCAGTATATACAATGGATTTTCTTACCAAATGTACTCACTTATGTACAGTGGTTCGGATATGTAGTGCAGTGGCGGATCTAGGATTTTGTTGTAGGGTGTGATATCAAAACAATTTTCCTTTTATTTTCACTCGAGTGGGGGGTGTTCTATAACCCATATCACATTCCGTGGATCCGCGCATAATGAATTAAAACTTGGATTTCTCCTTTGCGCGACGTAAATTAATTAATTAATCATACTTATGGTGGTTATTTTCAGTTTCTTTAAATAAACCCAATAGATCAAATACCATACCTTATTTTTTAAAACATTTTTATCGACTACACAGCCGCCACTAAACGATTTTGAGTTTTATTTTTGATCGAAAAAATAAAACTCAGAGAATAAGTTTTATTTTTTGATTTTTATATAAAACTCAAGGAATAACTGTTATTTTCCAAGCGGAAAATAAAACTCAGAGAATAAGTTTTATTTGTCAAGTTTTATATAAAACTCACAGAGTAACAATTATTCTTTGAGTTTTACTTAAAACTCATGACATAATGATTTAAAAGCGATTTTTAAAATAAAACTCATAACAGTTACGATCCCTGCACAGAACTAAAGACCTTTAACCCAATATCATAATGAATATAGATCTAAGATTGCTGGTGCGCCTTCTGATCGCCATTCTATTGGCTTCCTTGGTATCCACCATTATAATGGGCAGTCAGATACACAAAAGAATAGTGAATTCCTTGGCAAAGAAAATCAACCAAAGGGATATTCCTATAACGGAAATGCCAACCAGACAGCTCCCGAAAAGAGAGATCCCTAGAAAAGTGGTAATCCTAAGCCAAAATGAATTGGATGTTTTGAAAATCCAGCCCCACGGAAAGTTTCACCTGCCAAATCAAGAAGCTATGAAGGATTGGCAAAGCTGTCCCATTAAAGAGCATCAATGGGGAACGGGATTGGGTGAACTGGGAAAAGCAGCTGAGTTACCGAGTGCTAATGAAAAAGAAGCAGCAGATAAGCTCTATAAACTGCATGGTTTTAATGCAAAACTCTCCGATTTCATTGCCCTTAACAGATCTTTGCCGGATATTCGACCTTTAAGGTGAGTTCTTTAGGTTCCAACTTTAAAATCCAAATAATATCTAATAACTGCAGTTGCTGGAAACGTGAATATCTAGAGGTGCTGCCAAATGTTACTATAATAATGGCATTTCATAATGAACATCTCAGCGTTTTGCTAAGATCGTTAACAAGCATCATTAATCGCTCTCCTCGCGAGTTACTCAAGCAAATTGTCCTCGTGGATGATGGCAGTAATTTACCGGATTTGGGGAAAAAACTTAAGGACTTTGTGGCGATGAACTTTCCCAAAATAGTTGAGATAGTCAGACTTAAAGAGCATCGTGGTCTTATTAAAGCAAAAGTGGAAGGAGCCAAAAGAGCCACCAGCCAAGTTTTAATCTTTCTAGATTCCCACATCGAAGTGAATATCAATTGGGTGAGAATTTAGATTTCATAATTAATTTTAAATAATATTTTATTTAAATTTTCCATTACTTTAGCTACCTCCCCTGCTAGAACCCATAGTTGTAAATCGGAAAATAGTTACCGGTCCCATTTCGGATGTAATATTGCACAAAACATTCGCTTATATGAAGTATAATGCATTAACCCGTTCTGGATTTAATTGGTTGCTTGAGATTAAGGAATTGCCGCCTTTTTACGATGAAGTAGAACTTCTTTCCAGGCCGTATCGCACACCTCTTTTAGTAGGTCCTTTGGCGATTGACAGAAACTATTTTTGGGAACTGGGAGGTTATGATGAAGAGCTGAAACTCGTGGGCGGCGAGCAGTTCGAGATGAGCTTCAAGGTTTGGATGTGTGGCGGAATGTTGCTATATGTTCCCTGCTCCCGAGTGGGACAATTAAACAAAGAACCCAAGACGAGTACAAGGGATAACGATTTAGTGGCCAGGGTGAGTGGATAATCCTCTTTTAAGAGGTAGCTTATAAGCTATAAATGTTTTTTATTTTAATTTTAAAAATATTTTAAAGTTTTGTGTGGCTTTTGAACTGCGTATACGTAATATTTGATATACTAAAAATTACGTATAAGTAATGAGAACTTTAAATATCATTTACTTATTATAATATTGCATTATATTATATTATTAAAACTATAATAGAGTTCATAAAAAATAAATTATCCAATTAAATATTTCCCTTAGAACTTCAAACGAGTAGCTGAAGTGTGGATGGATGAGTATAGAAAATACGTTTACGACTCGAATCCAGAACTCTATAAAAACACGCACCCAGGATCTCTTAACCATTTGAAAACCCTAAGAACATCGCTTAAGTGCAAATCTTTCGACTGGTACATGAACTATGTGGCTGCGGATTTTCTGAAAGCATTTCCTCCCGAGGATCCTTCGCATATTTTATCGGGTTCGATTGAAAGCGTGGCTTTTCCTGGATTCTGCGTGGACTCCCTGCATCAGAAGCACATGAAACCAGTGGTTCTATCCCGCTGCACTGGAAATAAAACGGAACCCGGTGAATCTCAAAACTGGTTTCTAACGGAGGACCATGAGATTCGACTGACAACGAGTGAAGATGATTGCCTGGAAGCGCAGGGACTTAAGTCTAAGTCAGTGTGGCTCTTTCGCTGCCATGGAGACGCTGGAAATCAGTCCTGGTTCTACAATCGCCGGCATCAGTGGATCCAACAGGGCCAAATGTGGGTCTGGTGCCTCGAAGCTCATTTGAACAAGGGCAAAGAATTTGGCAAGGTGTTGTCTAATAATAAATGCGACAAAAATAAGAAGAGTCAGCAGTGGAAGTTTGGAGAAGTGCAATGAAAAAGTGTTAATTAAGTATAGAAAATAAACATTAAAAACATATTTATTAAATTATTGTAAAGCCGAACTTATATATCTTCCAGAGATATATTAAAAAAAATAGTTTTAAGTTTTTAACTATAATACTCTTCCAAAAAAATATGCATAAACTAATTTTACTTATAAGAAAACATATTTGCAATCTATTTTAAATAAATTTTAAACTACCTTTAAAATGTTTACCCCAATATTGTGTTTTATCCCAATATTGTGTTTTATCCCAATATTAAATAAAAAATTTGTTTTAAATTTTTAGACTTTATTACTCTACTCTTTTATAAAATAGTTTTAAAATATTTTATTTATAGGAAACATATTAGCAATCTATTTTAATAAACTTTTAAACTAACTTTTAGATGTTTTGAAAATTCTAGAATTTAAGAGTTGACACCATTTCCGAAAACCCTAATTAGTTCCGAAAATACCCCAACAGATGTCGCCACCGTGACGCGCGATAATTTGAAATCGCATGCTGATGCCAAGTTTATTATCGTTCTTTTCGCCCGACTTTTGCTCAGGTGAGTGCGGGATCTGTCTTCACTTACACGTCACTGATTGATAGTGGAGAAGCGTGTTTTTTGGCCAACCGAAAATTGAACTTACTCCGCCACCTTCTTATCACCGAATTTTGCCCCACTCAAGTAGCAATTACACTAATGGCTGTGCTTTTTTGCCAGGTGTCAGCTAGGCAGCCAGGTAGCTGCTCCTCCGCTGCATCGCCATGCCAGCAGTCAGCACTTTGGACTTCCGCCGGCAAGACGTCCACATGGCCATGAAGAGGAGATATGTGAAGCGCCTGGTGCGCAAGGTGGTCCTGTTTTTGGTGGTCATCGCCGGTGTTTCCCTGGTCACCACCTTGATTGTCGAGCGGAGGATGCGGCAGCCGACGGAAGTGGGGGAAAAACTAGATCCCAATGGAGATCCCATAACGCCCGTTTTCCGCGCAGCCAATGTACATCCCTTGCGGAAGAAGCCACGTCCTCCGTATCAGGATCGCAACTCCGTGGTTGATTTGCCCAAGAGCGACAAACTGGAGGGTTTCCGGCTACCGGAACCCAAGGGAGAGCGCAAGGATTGGCATGATTACGCCGCCATGGAGGCGGATAAAAAACGAACGGGTTTCGGTGAACATGGAGTGGCGGTTAAGATCGAAAATCCCGATGAAAAGCAGATGGAAAAAGAAATGTACGAGATGAACGGATTTAATGGTCTCTTGTCGGATCGAATATCCATAAATCGATCGGTGCCGGATGTCAGACATGAGGCGTGAGTATTTTTATGATATGATATTATGGTATAATATGAATTCTAGCGGTCTTTAATTAAAGATAAATTGATCTCTAAAATTCAAAATTATATTATAAGCTTACATTTTTCATCTAAGGATTATGTTACACTTCTAAACATTAGATTTCTAGCGGTCTTTAATTAAAGATAAATTATTATCTAAAATTCAAAATTATTTTATAACTTTGAACTCTTTAACATTTTTTATCTAATGATAATATAATCAATCCACTTCCAAACATTCGATTTTAGCGGTTTTTGATTAAAGATAAATTGTTCTCCAAAATTCCAAATTATATTAAATCTTAAAATTTTGTATCTAAGTTCTCTCGAATTCGAGTATTAAGAATATGTTTTGCATATAATTCGAATAATACCCATAGTTTAATTAATATTAAATTCTAATATTTGTTATATAATATTTATTTGTTTAGTTGGAAAGAACTAAAGAAAAGTTCACATTTTTTACTTCCTCTAAAGATTCCGCAGTATGTCTATTATTAGAACTAATATTTCTTATCTATTTTGTATTGTAGTTGCAAAAAGCGGAAGTATCTGGCCAAGTTGCCCAATATCAGTGTGGTTTTCATTTTTTTTAACGAGCACTTCAATACCCTGCTGAGATCGATCTATAGTGTGATAAATCGCACTCCCCCGCAATTACTAAAGCAAATTATCCTCGTGGACGATGGCAGCGAGTGGGAGAGTCTAAAGCACCCATTGGATGAGTATGTGGAGCAGCACTTCCCAAATCTGGTGACTATTGTGAGGAATCCGGAGAGAAGAGGTCTGATTGGGGCGCGGATAGCTGGAGCCAAAGTGGCCATAGGTGAAGTAATGGTATTCTTTGATTCACACATCGAAGTTAACTACAATTGGGTAAGGTTCTTTTTGAAATACATTATAATAAGCTATACTAAATTCTGATATTTTAGCTCCCCCCGCTGATCGAACCCATTGCCATTAATCCCAAGATCTGCACCTGTCCCATTGTGGATACCATTGCACATGGTGACTTTTCCTACTCGGGTGATTATAAGGCCGGAGCTCGCGGTGGATTCGATTGGAAGTTGCTGTACAAACAACTGCCCGTTTTGCCCGAGGATGCGGTGGACAAGTCCATGCCTTATCGCAGTCCCGTGATGATGGGCGGCCTGTTTGCCATTAATACGGACTTCTTCTGGGATCTGGGTGGCTACGACGATCAGCTAGACATCTGGGGCGGTGAGCAGTACGAGCTGAGCTTCAAGATCTGGATGTGCGGAGGCATGTTGCTGGATGTTCCCTGCTCGAGGGTGGCACACATATTCCGAGGACCCATGAAACCGAGGGGCAATCCAAGGGGCTTCAACTTTGTGGCCAAGGTTGGTACTTAACAGCAGCACTATTGATACTATCGATGGTTTTAAAATTAATCAAAATAATCATTTTATTTTAGATGTAATTTTTTATTTCCCTTAATTTTCGGTAGTATCGATAATATCGATTGTGACCACTATCGATAGCCAATAGTGGACACTATCGATGTTTTTTTACAACCCTAGTTCTTAACTGATTTTCCATTTTATTATATTTCTAGAACCACAAACGAGTAGCGGAGGTTTGGATGGATGAGTACAAGGAATATGTGTACTCCCGTGATCATGCAACCTACGATGACCTGGATCCTGGCAATTTGACCCGTCAACTGGGAATTCGAGAGCGGCTGAAGTGCAAGAGCTTCCACTGGTTCATGACGGAGGTTGCTCCCGACTTCCTGGTGAAATTCCCGCCCGTGGAACCACCATCCTATGCCTCTGGCGCTATACAAAACAAGGCAAATCCCGTCTATTGCCTGGATAACATGGGCTTGAGTGCCGAAAAGGCGGTGGGAATGTTCAGTTGTGCGGATAACAAGACCCATCCGCAACCCAATCAATTCTGGGAGCTCTCCATCCATCGAGATTTGAGGATGAAGCATCAGGATTCGATATGCTTGGATGTCAATGAGCCGCCGCCGAATGCCACCGTTTGGATGTGGAACTGTCATAGTCAGGGAGGCAATCAGTTCTGGTTCTACGATCGGGAAACCCAGATGTTATTCCACGGAGAGCATAGAACTCGTTGTATGGAGGGACTGGTGGAGGATGGCATTGCCAGGGTTGTCGCCAATATTTGCGATAGGGACAACGGTCGTCAGAAGTGGGAGTTTGGATTCGTTAACCACACCATGATGGACGATTTCCACAAGGGATTGAAGTATTGAAGTAGTATTTCTTTTTTTAATAAACCACAACCACACACCCACTTAAGTAACCACACGGGCCACATGTCGGATCGACTAAGTTCGGGGACCTCGATCGTCACGGGTGTTTAGTTCATTGATCGTTGTGAAGGTTTCAGGCGAAAAAAGTTCTCCAAGTATATTCCATTTTTCCATTAATTCTTGCCCCATGCATTATTGATATACGGCAGCGGAAAGTGAAAGATCTGGACGATCAGATCGCAATCGTAGCGAAGATTCTGTCCGATCGCAAGCCACAAATTTTGTTCTTTATTGCTGTCTTATATTATACACTATGTTTAGGTATCCGTGTTTCGAAGAGATCTATTGTAAAGTTGATTATGTATGAGAGTAAATTATTTAAATAAATCATTAAAGATATTAATTATTTGTTTTTAAAAGGGAAATTAAATGAACTATTCCTGATCACAATATATATAAGGGAAAGATAACGGGTCCTTGGTAATATTAACATTATTATATCCTCAAAAAATTTATAATATTTAAAAAATCTCTAAAATTTTTAATAGATTGTTTAAAGCGAATAAATGAAAGTGTGGTAAGGGTATTTAAAACTGTGTGTACCATTCCTTTTCTTCCGATTACAATATTCGACTGTCGGAAACCTTATCAGAAAGGCTGTTGAACTTTCTACAAAAAAGAGAAAGAGCAGTCGAGAAGAGGTAGCAGACACCAGATAGACTAGAGAAGTTTCCCTCTTCTGAGGGGGAAAAAACCAGACATTCGTATTGTTTAGCTGATGTAATTTAAGACGCAAATTACGCGATTGTCCCGGGAGAGGACGAAGATCGAAGATCCCTTAATGCCAGCAGGCAATGACTTAGCGTCAAGCAGTCTCGATCTTCGCTGGCTTTATCCTTATCTATGCAGTTCATTATTCTATTCATTATCGGGACAAAAGCACATGGTAATTTATAGACAACATGTTGTTGTTTTGGTTATTTCCTCTGCGCTTTTTCTCTCGGCATTTTCATATTTTTTGTGCATAAACAAAGTCAAATGATTTGATTTTTTTGGCCAACGCGACGACGACTGCGGCGCTTCGCATTCGTATTCACAGAATGTGGGTCATCGACGTCAACAGAGATGCGGGATGTGATCGATGTGGGTCTCATTTGGGTCTAAAGATGCCCTTTTTTTGGGCAGTTTGTGAATTTGGGGGGTTTTTGGTAAAAACTACCTTATAAAACTTGTTTACATTCTTTTTATTCATATCTTTCTTGACTTTCTGAGATGTTTTCTTGGAAATTTAATTACTACCGAATGCCAAACATTTGAATTTATTCATAAGAATAACTGAAGAACCAAAGAAAACTAGAGAAATAGTTACCACGATTTACATATGCTCTATTAATCTCTCAAAACTATAAAAGAATACCTATTTCAAATGGAAAGATTAACAGTCAAATAGAAAAACATCTAAAAAAAAAAAAAAAAAAAATAAAAAAAAATCGAAGAACATATATGGTAACTTTTTTTTATAATTTAAAATATTTTATTCTTAAACTAACGTTTTGTTTATGTTTATAACATTATTTTAATAATCAAGAAATGTAAAATTTTGAATTTGGATGCGTATTTTTCTGTAGATTTCTTTAAAGTCGTAGTTTATAGAGCACTCGAAAGTCGGTAGTCCTCTTTGTTTGAAGACATTTTCGTTTGTTTACGGTTTTCATGATATTCGCTTCTGCCGACAAAATAAAAACAAGTTGATTTCGTCTAGCTCATTCACAACTATCTCAGACTCGTTTAGAAATAGATCCCACGAGCGGTGATGACCCACCTCATACCTACTATATAAGCACGCAATCGGATGGTGCAATTTCATCAGCCACCCCGAAAACAGATTTCTGCCGAATTTTACTATATTCTACCTATACATCCCCTTGGCGGTTAGAAAGAACACCCCTCTGGCTAAGAATTTCTCAAGACGCATTTTCACTTGGCTGCAACGCAATAGGAAAACTTCCTGCCGTCTCTTTCTTTAATGGTTATACGTCTCTCTCTCTCTGCGCAGGTACATTGTATCTGATAAAACCGAAAGCGAAATCCGAACTGGTTCTTTGAGGGTTGATAAGCCCTAAAGAGCCGGTGTCTCTCACATTAACGAAATAAATATATGAACATATCTCCCGGCACGTAGGGCGGTTTTTATGCTGTGGACTACGTGCAAGATGACACGGCATAATTCTCCGTGTTTTCTAGGTTCTACTAGCGCTCCCTTGTTTACCGTTGCCTTTTTGGGGGTCAGTCGGCACTTAGCTAACTCCCACCCCCATGAAATGTATTTGATGGATGTGGGTCATGCTTTCCCTACAAATATATAAACACAATGCCTTCCCCCCACACCCTGGAAATTATTTCAAGGTCTGAAGAGCTTCCCCTGTTTACGGATCATAAATATCAGCACGCTTAAGTGTTGACCTTGTGCAGATTTCTCGGTGGGCGCCACCTCTTGTTCCACATCGTGATCGTTGTAGATCAACACACGTGGCCACCTTACGTTAACCCCAAATCCCTAAGAATGGCCCGTGGCCAAAAATCGAATTACGTCGAATCGTGGGCGCCAACGCAAGCAAAAGTTCCTTTGGCACTACTTACATGCGTCCAACGATTAAAAATCGTCAACATCGCCCCCGCATGGCGAAAACCGCTCGTGCCGCTTCTTAATTTCACCCTGTTATTGGTTTGATTTGTGGGGTATAATGTTTTGGCGAAAGATAAGATTTGCCACCTCAAAGAACTCGGGAACTAATAGGGGTTCGGGTACAAATTTTAGTATGGGGGTTTCTTTAAACTCAAGAAGGGATTTAAGATACCAATGGTAGTTGTTACGAAAATAAGAAGCGTAGGATCTTAAAAAATAACATTAAAAATATGTTTCATTTTTAATATTAAAGGGAAAAATGTGGTAGACTTATAAAAAAGCTTATTTAGCACAACTTAATTACTTTTAAATTTTTTTGCATTGCTTTAAACTGTTTTATTACACCAAGCATAATTTACCCTATCTTGCAAAAACCGCTAAAACCTGGTCTCGAACTTATGCAGAGTTTTGATAATTTTTTGGTAATCACTTAAACAGTTCGTGTTAGTACAAAGCGAAAGTAAACATTTTCCGCATCTAAAAAATAAATTTACTGGGTATCTTTTAGCCGAAGACTTCCTATAAAAAATCGTACTATTTATTGCTATGCTCTCCGAGTTCGCACATGCATAGAAATACACAGAGAACCTACGTCAACGTTTGCCGGCTACGTGTCGTTATGCTAATTAAACAAATTTCGTGAAAACGAGTGCAAATTAATGGCCCCATGGGTCGCAGACAGTAAGTACTTCCCGAAATTCCCTGGAACACCAATGTATTTAACAACCATTGATAACAAACATCCCACTTGCACCTGAGTCATCATCACATTTCCCTAGCAAGATCGATAATAGACGGTTTTTCGAGAAAAGAATGCGATTGCCGTTTAGTATTGCTGGCTAACTTGTTTACCAATAATATTGCCATGCATTAAACAATAACAAATGGCTAAAGATAAACAAGAGCTCAAGGCGAGAAGCCCCTCAAGACGAAAGCCCCCCCTTTTCCCTTATCCACGGAAATGTCTGAGGTGTGCAGCGGTCTGCAACAAAAATAAAAACAATAGGGGTTATTAGAATATAAGGCAATGGCGGGAACAACAACAATAAGCACCCGGTTTGTCATAAACTACGCAGAAAATACAACCAGATAAAAACAAAAAACATCAGACGACCAAGCAAAATAATCAGAGAGAGAGAGCGAACGAGAGTGACACCCCACAAAGTGAGAGAGAGACTCCGAGGGGTATAAATAGAGCCCGCCTTCGTAAAACCGCCAGCAATCGCCTAGCGAACAGCCAACGGTCAACATATAGCAGCCATATAGCTCTATAGCTGATAAAAACCCTCAGTTCAAACAACGCAGTTTGTGTAAACAATCAAATTGTCACCAGCCATATCGAAGTGTGCTTACAAGTCCAGCGGAAAGTTTTTCGAATTTACCTCTTGAAAACAATCCAATCAATCAATAAAGATGTCTGCTTCACCGACCGCCCGTCAAGCCATCACCCAGGCTCTGCCCATGATGACCAGGAAGATCGTCATCTCGGACCCCATCCACATGCCCGAGGTCTACTCCTCGACGCCCGGAGGAACCCTGTACTCGACCACCCCTGGAGGTAAGTTTCGAATAGAGGAAGTGGGGATTACAAGCCATATATCGTCTTTAAAAATATTAAAAAATATTTTTGAGATCTTGTATAATTATTACAACAACCTTTAAAACTTAAAAACATTTTATTTTCCAATTAAACCTATATAAATCTATAATTATATTTGACCTTACAAGTTTCCGATGATAAGATAAACTTTTTAAAAGTAATTAGTAATTTCAAAGCATAAACAAGATATCTGAGTTCCTATCTAGTTATCTCTCTTAACATTCTAAAGGTTTTCCCATTTTGTAACAAACCAAAACAAGCTTAAACAAACCGTAATTCATACTAATTTTTAAATACCTAACTCACCTCATTTTTTTGGCTGATGAAACCTGGTCATCTCTCTGAATCAGTCAGTTATTTTGATGATAATCCCGAGCACATGTGCTCTGGGGTCCGTGACTCAGTATCGCAGCAAAGAAATGTTTACGCAGCTGTTCTTATCAGTGGGCGAACTTTGAATACCTTTCTGATGCAACCCAGACAGACACCCTGACTAATCATAATTTCCCATTTCGTATTCTTCCAGGCACTAAACTGATCTATGAGAGGGCCTTCATGAAGAATCTCCGTGGCTCCCCCCTGAGCCAAACGCCCCCCGCCAATGTGCCCAGTTGTCTGCTGAGGGGAACTCCCCGTACTCCCTTCCGCAAATGTGTGCCCGTCCCAACGGAACTGGTCAAGCAGACGAAATCCCTGAAGATCGAAGATCAGGAACAGTTCCAACTGGATCTGTAGGGGGATAAGCTTTAAATGCCACCTAAGCAGCAACTGCCAAAATCACTTAGTTTATAGTCAAACCCACTAAAACCCGATCTTATAAGCTTAGTGTGCATCGTTTTAGCCATACCCATTAACTAGATGCTAAGTTCTTAGTTCTTCCACCATGTTTTGTTCTTTCGGTCATATTGACTTTGTATCTTGTAAAGTTCTAGATGTTAAGTAAAAAGCAATAAAAAAATACACATTATTTAAAAGGAAACTAAATTGGTTTTTGAATGGTTTTTAATTAATATTCTTTACAATCCCAAACTACTTTCTTTATCAGCGAATGAACCTTGGGAGGCAGCACGCGTGTGATAGAACACTTTCCACTTCACCTTGAGTCAGTTTCGGTTGAATATTATTTTTGGCAGTTTGTTGAACTGTTTGAAGAGAAATATGGCAAAAGGGGGAGGGTGGGTGGATTATAGACAGCTGGAAATACCGGCCGGCTTTTTTAGTTAGCCAGTCAGTGGCCCCAGCAGCGCGTGTCCCAGTTATCGGAAAGAATATGTATATATATGATATACAAGCAAGCCAAACAAAAGATCAACAACGCATTTGTGTGTATCTAGAAACCGGCAAACAAGCCCAAAAAACCGAAACCAAAAAAACATAGATCTTTAAAAACTGCGCAGTTAGAAAAAACGACTCTGCCTTTGCCCCCTGGTCTCCCTTTTCACCACTATGCAGAATTATATATACAAAAGTATTATGCCGAGCACATGTTCAGATAGAACGATTCGATCCCTAGGGCACAAACAACAACTACTTACTGATCCCGGCACGTTCCAGCCCCATTTGAATATTGCGCATGAATAATTACTTAATGGCAAACAGGCGTTGGCAAAGTGTTTGCTCAGCAGAGATTCAGAGACTTCGAGATTTAGCATCGCAGTGCAAAAATTCAAGCACACGAGATAGTGCAAATAGTGATACGCATGCGAATTCTGTGTGATCTAAACAGATGTTTACCGAGTTATAAATACAAAGCAATCAATTTAATTCAATTAGTAAACATCGCTAGCCAGTCAAAGCAGATAGTTCGAGGCGATGTATTTTGTTATTTTATTAGGAAATTAAATTGAATAAATTGGTAGATAATTGGTTAAAAATATCTTATATTTTCCTATGAAAAATTGTTAAAACTTTGTTACATTAACATAAAACTCAAGGATCATGATTAAAATAATAATGAATTAAAAGCATAAAAATAGTTATTAGTCTTAAAATTAAAAATTTTAAATTTAAAAAATATTTTAAAATGATTAAAGAAATAACTTGTAAAAACTACTTATTTTTAAACTTTGCGCCTAATAACTTTAGTATTTTTTCCATTAGTGTTTTTATAGTCTACTTTTAGGCAACAATATTTTGTAGTTCCTGAAATGACCATTTTTATAAAATGTTCATTATGGCGCCACTGAGCTGAAAATATCAGAGCTCACATAATTACTAAATATTAATTTTAAATATATTTAAATAATAATAATAATATTTCAATTTTAGTTAACCTTTTCAACTTCTTTTCTATTCAATTTTTTTACCTTTTATTAAATGTTTTTAATTTTTCCAAATGACTTTTTTCCCAATTTCAAAATCTTTTCTATTATTTTTAACCATATTTGTATTTATTTGATCAAGTTTCGTTGTTTCGCATAGGACAAATGTACAGAAATCTCGAATAGTTTAAGCGCGCTTACGGTCTACACAAACAAGAAGGTGTTCTTTAATTACATATTTACAATAAAATATACATATATTTTTTAATAGATGTAGAGAGATGTGTGTGGATGTGCGAGTGGGTAGGAGGTCTACTTAAATCTCAGCAGGTTGTCCACTCCGCCCAGGGGACCATGACCAAAGTGCAGGGCATCCGAGTTGGTTTCCGATCGAGTGCGTGCCTCCAGGACAGAAGCCACCCGCTGCTGACCACTGATGTAGCCCAGGGATCCGGAACCCAGGTAGACATTACCATTCGGCAGTCGCACAAATCCCAGTCCCCCCGAACCCAAGGCGATGGCATCTCCGCCAGGCGGTCCTCCCTGGGATCTTGGTTGGATAGCCAGCTGCTGCTGCTCCAGGAGTAAAGAATTAGCCCGGGAATCTATCTGGATTCCACCTGCCGCCGACGGAGCACCTACATGTGCTCCAAACCGATCGAAGAAACTGGATCCCGAGAGGAACGGAGCCGGTGTCTCATCTATATCGTTGTCTATGATCTCAATAACCGCATATTGCTTCAGCTGCCGGCCATTGGAAACGTAGGATTCCCCGGGAGAAATCAGTGCCTGTTTGCCAAAGGGAATGCGAAGATTTCCTCCCTCGGGAACCAGAGGAGCTGGACCCGTGGGCGGCACCACAATGGGCGTGGCCAGAGTGGAAAGCGGCTGGCTAATCCTCGGCGGGGGAGGTGGTCCATAGATGGGCTTGAAAGTGGGCGCTCCATGGAAGCTTATCGATGATATAGGAGCAGCCGCTGGGGGTGGAATATATGTGGAAACCACTGGCTTGGGCGGCAGATAGTGACTAATGACCGTTGGACGACTCCTGGGAATCGGAACCCTGGCCGTGGGAAGTGGAGGAAGTGCCGGGATCGGTGGCAGTGGATGAACGGTGGGCAGGGCACTGAACTGGTGACCCGTGTACACATTTCCGGGTCCCGAAGGAGCCGAAGGTGCCGTGGGTCTCGTGGGCCTGTTGTAATGATAACCCACATCCGGTTGGGCACAAATAGCCGAAGAAAGTAGCAACAGCCCCAGAATACTCAGTCGGTGGTAAGGCATCTGTAATTGAAAGCGGGAGAGTAATTAAAATTAATTAATACATACATAATTAAAATAGGAAATATATCTCTTGGCACACATGTAATTGCCTATGTGACATCACATAACCGCTCAATCAATTCGATAAATGTTTAATGAGCAGTCGTAAACATAATTGATCCAAAATCACTCAACTCCAGCGGTTGCCGCTGTCTATACTCTGTAAATTAAGTGGGGTATATTTGATTATAGAGAATTTGTAAACATTTATATCATTTTTCAGTCCTCACATTTTCAGAGTCAATATAATCTTGCAATACCTTTCAGAATCCATACTAATTTTATTAAGTGATAAAATAAATAAATCTCTTAATTTATCTATTATAAACAATACTTTTTTTAATAAATTGGAAAAAAAAATAAGAAAATAAGACTTTCTTTTCCTATAAATTCAGGTTGAAATCCTATTTTTATATATTTTATAAAATATTTATTAACCAACAGGAAGAGCATTCAGTATTTGATATCTTTTTATACCCTTGTAGAGGGTATTATAATTTCAGTCAGATGTTTGCAACGCAGTGAAGGAGACGTTTCCGACCACATAAAGTATATATATTCTTGATCAGCACCAATAGCCGAGTCTATCTAGCCATGTCCGTCTGTCCGTCTGTCCGTCTGTCCGTTTCTATGCGAACTAGTCTCTCAGTTTTAAAGCTATCGCGATGAAACTTTCCCGAAGGTCTTCTTTCTATTGCAGGTAGTACATATGTCGGAGCCAGCCGGATCGGACCACTATATCTTAAGGCTCCCAAACAAATATAAGAAAATTCATTGTAACTTTGTAGGAAGTAGGCGTTTTGATTCTTGACTACTTAAAAACAAAATTGAAATAAATCGAAACGCTGAATCTGGAATCCCTGGAACTGCACCGAGTGAGTATTCTTTTATCTACAAGGGTATATAAGCTTCGGCTGGCCGAAGGTAGCTTCCTTTCTTGTTAAAATTCAATCCCCACTCTTTTTGATTTAATTGATTTAATTTTGCAGTGCACCGAGCTTAAAGTAACTGGTTGTGGTTAGCCGGTAGATCGGTGAATCGATGGATCGGTGAATCGTTAAGTTGCTGGGGATCGGGCCAACCGCTACTGTAATTGGCGTGATATTTCATGCACAGATCGTTGCCCAAGGCGGCGATCATAATGGGAAGGTGGTGGCCAGAAGAGATCGCCACAAGCTAATTAGCAAACCGAATCGCAAACATCTCCTAGTCACCAGGGGTCTCGGCTCCATTCACTCCATAGTCTAGCGCCCCCCACAAATCGCCAGCCAATTAAATCAAATCGCCACACTTAATTGGATATTTATATTCATTCGTCCTATTAACACTTCCCACACAAATAGCCCTCCTTTTGTGCGGCATTATCAATCTTCTTGGGCGCTCTGAACAAAAGCAAACAGCCAGGCGGGCGGCTTAATGATATTTATCAACTGGCAGTCGCCACCAATGAAAAACTGTGCACAGAAAAAAATATGTTATTCAATTTAAAAACTTAAATGGTTTAGTAGGTACTGTAAATTATAAATATTTAAGTACATTAATATACTTCACTTTACAAATATTACATTATTTACTTTAAGACTGTATAAATATTATTATTTGTTATTATAAAGGGTATTTATTTTAAATAATCCCAATAAAAATCATAAGCAACTGAGCATATATGATCAATATTTTATTTTATATCATTTAATTTATGTGTTATTATTATATAAATTTATCAAGGGTTTTGTATCCTTATCAAGGTTTTAATAAATGGATATAACAATAATACAAAATTTGCCTTTGAATTAAAATTATTTAATAATTCTGTTATAAATTATTTTAAAATTACAAAAAATTTTCTTACTGCTCTGACTAGTTTTTATTTTTATTAAATTGAATTCCTCAACTTTTTTCCCTGTGTAGATACAAAAACAAACATTTACTGAAACTGGCAGCAGGTTCAAACTCAGGGGCCATGGCTAAAGAGGTGGCAGAGGGGCGGAAAGGGGGCGTGGGAAGTGTGCAGCCAAGTGGCGTGTGGTCATTGTTGTTGCTCCTATTCCTATTTTTGTTGTTGTTGCGTGGGCGTTGCTCTGGTGTCAGTTGTGGGTTCAGATCATGAATCGAATTGTAGTTTTTGTAGTTGTTGCCGGCTCACTTGCCGTTGTTTACATAAAAGGCGTTTAATTAAGTCATTAACAAGGGGGGAGATAATAAAGCATGTATTTATGTAGTGCCACCAAATGGATTGTCAAGGAGTTTGCTTTTTACTGCGGACTTTGGAGGGAATATAATTCTATAGAAGATAGAGTTATGATAATTACCTACTTAAAGTTTTAATATACTGTTACTATTACTGTGTACTAAATAGAAAATAGCAACAAGTGCTTCCGCATTGAAATACTTATACATTAAGATGTTACTTCTTTTTCATATATCAATCCTCTATCTTAAACGAAATAGCAAGTTTGTTGCCTAAGTCTTTTGTTTAAATGCCTCCCTTGAAGAATAAACTACTAGCCCCCCTCCCACTTAAAACGTCTTATTGGAGACCCAACTCAAATAGATTTGTAATAAATTATGCGCTATATGCTCCGTAATAAATCAATAAATTGTAGCCATACGCAATTTTTTGCTGGTCATCGATTTTTGCCGTCTATTTTGCTCACTTTTTTTGCGTGTGCTCAATTTTTTCTTTGCATACTAGGAAAACGCATTTTTTCAGAGCTGCCACAGCTTGTGCCAAGCAGACAGAAGGGGTTTTCTTGTATTGAAAACAGGGAAAGCACATGCCAAATAAAAGGAGGAAAATGGGGGGATCCGGGGACTTTGGAGGTGACAGTTCAAAAAAGGACAGCGAAGGGGGGCTTTCTTTAGTTTCAGATTTAACTGAAAACGTATGATTTAAAATATATTTAAAGTAAATAAATAATGTAAAATTATTTAAGTCAAAACTTTAACTATCAATTTTAATAGAAAAGCAAACTAAGTAATAAAATGACTGGGCAGTTTATTAAATATATATAATTTTTTGTAAATATCTTTGCATATTTTTAACCATTTTTAGGATATTTCCCCCTTTTTCTAAACGCCACTGGACTTGAAAGGCACTTGGCTGGCAGGCAAAAAGTCAACTTGCGTGTTGTTGGCCACTTCAGGCTCAATGAATGAATTGCATTGATTGAACGACTCACGCACCTCGCTTTGGGCCTGGCTTTTTCGGCTCCGGTCCAAATACACATTGCTCTATAAATTTTATGTGGATTTTCCAGCCAGCAGGGAAAAAGGGGGCGCGGGAGTGGGCGGTGGAAAGCGGGCGGGAGGGAAAAGTGTGTCAATGCGGCTTTGGACTCGCTTTGATTTGTTGATAACTTTTGTGTGGCACATTTCGGATGATATTGCATCACCGCTCTAGTTTTTTTTTCGCCAGCGGAAATTAGATTTCTGGCCAATCGGTTAATTAAAATCCTTTTGACCACGCCAAGAAACCAAGCGATTTTCCCACTCACTTTTCGGCCAGAGAGCCAAAGGCTAAGAAGTTGTGGCCGCATGAAAAGTAATCGATGCGTTGCATATTAAGTTGCAGCGTTGCAGTAGCCAGGATGTCACGTTATGGCCTCCTCCTAGCTGAAAATTGTGCAATGTTCAGGCCACAATCTTTATATATTTTTCTGGGTTTTTCGGATTAGCCGAGGGGCGTTTTGTATTGCGTCTAAACGGGTTTCGATAAACTGGTATCAATTGGCATCGCTACTTAAAAATCACGGGATGATGGAGAGCAGAGGGCCGGAATGTGGATCGGTTACTGCATCGAGGGGGTAGCACATTAATCACTCAGCTGTACATCCTTCTACCACCGACTTTAACACGCCGAAAATGAGCATGTCCAGACCGAGTGGACATATCATGACAAATGTTGCGTATGCGCCGCGTTGACCGACTAAGAAACGTGAAAGGAACCGAGTTGTAATGGCTTGAAGGTGGAATACTCTATTGATTGGAAATTGAAAGTTATAACATGAATATCAATTTAAGAAATGAATTCTACAAATTAATAAATTTATATACCCAATTATTCTAATGACATTTTATGCTAAAAGCTACGGAAGTACCATTAATAACAAATAATGAAACTTAAAAATTATTTAACATTCCTACTAAATAGTTTTGGCTATATTTTTACAATCTCTATCATAAAAATTAAAAAAAATTAACTTGGGTAATTAAATGGCAGTCAGATATAATCGCATTCCTAAAATTATCATTTTATTTCCCCATTAAAAAAAACCCATTAACCATCCTAAGGCCATCAAACCCCTCCTTGAGATCTCCTCTCCCCAATCTTTTAAGGGTACTCAGCTAAAAAAAAAGTTATCAAATCAAACGACAAGTTTTTAATTACCAGCACAGCACAGCAAATGCAGCACTTTCAAATGCGTAAACTAGTTGTCAGCCAGACAGTCGGACCATTGCAGATTTCAATTAAAAATCTTTGAAAACCCGAGATCCAGACATCGAAGCCAAACTCGCATAAAAAAATACACACACGGTGTCTGGCACTCGAAAACTCTGTTTCCAAGTCCGAGATCCAAAGACATGGCCCGATTAGGGTGTGTCGCTGAGTATCTCCCTCTGATGAGGCGGCTTTTAGTGGCTTGGACATTCGGGCCTTAGGGGCGATCGCAGATCGAGGATCTGGGGCAGGGGAACTTGGGGACTTCGGGGGACGACGGACCACTGAGGACTGAGGACTGACAAAATTTGCGTAAGTTGCCGGCGCGTAACTCGAGCGCTGCCTTTCCAAATGGCTTCCAATCTGGCCACGCAATCTTGACCAGGCTCGAGCGTCGAGTTCGGGCCTCCTTGTTGGCCAGTACACAGGGAAAAACCAATAGATATTATAATTTGTTCCTCTTAAACATTTTAACATTTTAACTAAAACTTTTGACATATTTGTACAAAACATTGGTCCTTCG